GGCCCTCGGGGTATGTAATGCGTCAATTGTTCCAAGGCCATTACAATCGCTAACAACACCAGCCTTCAACCACGACAACAGCACCGACGCCGAGGCGGAGTACGATCGGCTCCGCGACCTCGCGCGCCAGGAAGCCTCCAAGCGCGGACAATGTTTCGGCCGGGTATGCGACCACCTAATTCCAATCGCTTGGTTACAATCGCAATCGCAAGCGCTGTTCCAGTCATTTCAGCACTACTAACACTATCGCCAGTCGAAGGAAGCCTACTCGAGCGGCGATGGCGCCGGCGCCAAGCAGCTCTCCGAGGAGGGGAAGGCACACGGCCGGAAGATGGAGGAATATAATAGACAAGCGTCTGAGTTTATCTTCCGCGAAAACAATGCAAACGGGCGTGTCGAGGCAGACACCATCGATCTGCACGGGCAGTTCGTTGAGGAGGCTGAGGAGATCCTGGAAGAGCGGATCAAGTATGCCAAGTCGCATGGGCAGAATCACCTTCATGTGTAAGTGACAGAACGTATCGCTGGGAGAGTATTGTGCTCTGGACTCAATGCGACTAACACTGCTTCGCGTCAATAGTATCGTCGGCAAGGGAAACCACTCCGCGAACCACATCCAGAAAATTAAGCCGCGCGTCGAACAGGTGTGCCGTGAGTTGGGACTGCAGTACGCCACTGAGGATAACGCTGGTCGCATCTACGTGAACCTGACTGGTGGTGACGCTGTTATGCCTCCCTCGACTGGTCACCAGGGCGGCTCATCTGGGTACCCTGGCCACCAGCAAGGACATGGACAGCATCAAGGACAACAACAGCCAGACGAGCTCGAGGAGCTTGCCAAGAAGGTCCTGCCCAAGGTTCTGCGCAAGCTCGAGAAGGCTTGCTGTGTGGTTATGTGAGCTTGTATTTTTGGTGTTTGGGACATATACATAGATGCATAGCTGTGTTTGTGGACAGGTCTTGGTTGTTTCATGTTGATGACATTTTTGCGCTTTGGGTTTCCCGTTTCTAGATCATATACCATCCACATACTCGGGGTTGGGCTCATGATGGCAAGCAGTTATGTGGTTATACCGTTACATGAACATGAACATTGTTCCTAGTGGAACTCCCACTTACTTTTATGCTATTGAGTACTTTGCGCTCCGGGCACATATAAACATAAATCATATCATCGTGAACACTCGTAGCTACTACATAGCCAACTTTGAAAACAACACAACTGGGACTGGGTATATCCAACAAATAGCACGACCTCCACAAAATCATAGCAAACGAACAGAGAAACAATTTAGCGCGCGTTGGGATCCGACAGCGTCGACTCCACGATTTTTTCCACAATACCACGCACCATCTGCCCATCACCACATCCATTAATCTTCGGCATAGCATCAATCTTGTCAATTAATGCAAACGCCTGATCTCGCAGATCCGCAACAACCCGGCTGGTGTGTGCAAAGCTGCCTGTATTCTTCATGTACTGCACCGCATAGTGCTTAACCTCCGCATCCTTGGTATTTTGCTTCAGGATATTAATCAGCTGATGATTAGACGGGTTCGAGCGAATGCTATGAATGATCGGGAACGAGAATTTGCCCTCAGTGAGATCCTCGCAGAACCCCTTATTTTCCGTGTACACCGTATTCGAGAGGTTGAGGTAATCGTCGCAGATCTGGAAAATCAAGCCCATGACATTGACCAAGACGACGCAGTCCTTGCCCGTTGTACTCTCCGCCTGCATAAGCTTCACTGCGAGCCGGAAGAGCCCGCCTGTTTTATTGCCGACCATTTCCAGGTACTCATCTTCCGTCGGACAGGTCAGCGTGTCGCGCCAGAAGAGGTCCATGCCCTGGCCTCGGTGCAGGTTCAGCATCTCTTGTACGTAGATATCGATTGCGGTTGGGTTTTTGAGCTGCTGCAGTTCTTGCAGGGCGAGGAAGTACACGTAGTTTGCCGAGTTGATTGTCTGCGCTGTTCCGAAGATGTTGTGTGCGACGGGGATGCCGCGGCGGAGGACGGAGTTGTCTTCGACGTCATCGATTCTGTTGCCCACACGGTCAGCATCAGGGATATAAAGTGGGAGAAAGGAGAGAGTGAGTTGGAGTTGGGGGTGGGGGGGTTGGTTCAAACTCACAACAGCGATGAGGTATGCAGCATCGTTACAACTTTGGTGATGATAGCCAGGCTCGCCGGCGGGACCTGCAGCCAAGCGTTAAAGGCGTTGATCAGTTGTCGTCGAATATCTTTCCCTGGTTGCTCGTGCACGTAGTCGTATGGACCCATGAGGATCTTGTCATTCTTTGATGACCATGTTCCATCCTTGTATTTGGTACCGTCCACGCTTGACTTGTTGCGACGATGTCCGGTTCGCGTCGGCTCTTCATCTGTCACCGACAGGTTGCGTCGGTGGGAAGTGCTCCCTGTGCCATTTGTTGCATTAGCTGAGCTTGTCCGAGGAGGAACGGGACTTGGTGGTTGGAAGGGTGTTGAGCTCATAGTTGTGGATGGGGAGATGGAGGGGTTCGATAGGCGGCAAAAAGACGTGCGGGGCTAGGGACCTCCAGAGCTACGTGTAAGTCCGGAGTTATGCGATAGTTAAGTGTAGGTAGATGACACCAACACCACTTTTATAAGATATATTCATATGTGTAAAATGACATTATATCATATTGTAAAAGGTATTGTGCATTCCGTACAACAGACATAGTATAACTAGTTAGTTAACATAGTACCCTTGGAGGTATGACACTTAGACTCGGGATGCCGAGGTCCATGACTAATCGGAAGTTGAGGCACCTGACACCTGACACGTGACATGACAAATGAGATAGGTCAATTTGATTAACAAAAGGAGTGGAATGATATGATAGGTCATAAAGAGGTAGGGATTAACAAATGAATTGTTCAATAATTCGATATCAGTTACAAGGGTTCACTAGTTAGTTATAGCAACGGAGTACTATGTATGTTGTAGAGTGGAAAAGAGGTCAACATACGGTGTAGACTATTATGTACGTATGTATTTAGGGCTCTATACTTAGTTAACTACTACTCTTACGGAGTACTCTATAATTAACATTAAAGTCCAAACTTGATTAACGCCAGGGGTCGATCTAAGGTCAAGCTAAGAGTTCTCTAATGTGATGAGTTCCTTGGTTATTGGCCAGTTGCCTGGGGCAACCGCCCTTTATTTACTACGAAACCTTGGAAGGGCCCAACTGACCTCATCCACCCAACCCGAACAACACACGGACAACACCGACAACACGGACCTTCTCCACTTTCTTTTTGGACCTTTGCTTTTAAAAAGAATGTTCACTGCTTTTCCTTTTTTTTATTTGAGCGGTTGAATAGCTCACTTTTTCACATCTGATTTATCAATGGAGGCTCTATTAGCCCATTCGTTCGATTACCTCTCCTCATACGAGCCGAGCAAGATCCGCAAAGGATTACGCCAGGTCGAGGGACTACTAGCACAGATATGTCTATCCAAACCTAAGCCTGTCTTGGACCGGAGATCACGCTCCCCCGATACCCAGCCCGTGCCAAAGACATTGTCAGAGTTGCGCGATGATCCAGCCTTTCGGGAATTTTCCAAATTGCAGGAAAGCTTCCAATGGAACAGTATGACTTTGAAATTTCTATCGCAACTAGGGTTTGCGCGCTAACAATATCCTTCAGTTGCTATGCGCCTGGTATCCTGCCTCGAACACCTTCTAGGCCGAGGAAGCAACGGCACAAACGACATGCTGATTGTCTGCACACTGGATCTAATCCAAGGCGCCCTCCTCCTCCATCGCGGCTCGCGCACCCTCTTCGCCCGCGAAATTTACATGAATCTCCTCCTCGACCTCCTCGACCCGATCAACTGTCCAGCCGTGCAATCAGCAACCCTTCTCACACTCGTCACCGCCCTACTGGACTGCCCGTCAAACACACGCACATTTGAGGACCTAGATGGCCTCCTCACTGTCACATCACTCTTCAAGCAGCGCGCCACCTCCCGCGAGGTCAAGCTTAAACTCGTCGAATTCCTCTATTTCTACCTGATGCCCGAGGCCATGACCCCGGCACCGATGTCTCCCCCGCCAGGTCTGCAGCGCAGCCCCAGCAAACTCTCCTCCGTCCCCTTCTCGCGCAGTGCACATTCCGCCGCTGCAAATGCTGCGAGTAAGACAAATCGCGATACCCGCACGACGGACGAGAAGCAGGCTCTTCTGGGGAGGTATCTCAATAATGTAGAGGACCTCGTAGAGGACCTGAAGGAGACGGCTCCGTTCGGAGCGACGGTTTACTGAATGACTTGGCTCGCGATGATTGACTCACCCACTGCTTGATGACCAAATATGCGCGATGCCCGCTGCCATTATTTGGTGTTCTCCCCCTTCCTTTTCTCTCCACCCTTCTTCTATCTTTACTTCTCCTGACCTCTTTTCCTCTTCTTCTCGAGCGTTTGACTTATGTTCCGTCCGGTACGGCAATTATGCGATTCCCTGGACTGATGTCTTGCCCTCTTTTGGCCTGTCTTTTGAGCTCTCTTTTTATCTTTTATTCCCAATCCTGGAACTTTGTCGACCTATCTAGTGCGCCCTTTCACCGGGCTTTGTTTCCTTATCGTTTTCCTTATGTCTCTTTGATGGTGACATGAATGTGTACGATTCTTCTTTATGACTAAACCAACAGTCATATCCCTGATGATCATCAACATTTCTTCGTAAATTCTACTTCCCAATGTAGGCTTAGCCTTCGTAGACTTGGTTTTAGGGCTATCAACTTTCTCGGTTATTCCCGGTGTGGTATCTCTATATGATCTAGATCAATATTTGTATAAATGAGTCACCGTTCATGTATGAGTCAATGTAGCACGGACTCTGTTATATACTTCAAGTTCGACGTTCAGAGTGGAGAAAAGTCTAGTATTAGCGTGGAACATGAGTTCTATATATCCCCGCAAACCCACTGAAATCCAGAGTCGTTCCACGGTACAATCATCTCCCAAAATGACAACAATCCAGGGATTGCTGGCTACAAAGCCTTCTGGACATTCACAACAAACGCAATATATCGACACTATAGAAGCATACGATAAATGGGCAGACGTGAGTGCCTATATTCCATTTCATATTTCCCCATCATCTATATCCTACCCATTATAATCTATACCGCGACACAATGTAACCAACATATGTTCATATAACCGTTCAACCCACATACACCATATGCTATATACCCAAACTAACACAGAAAAGATCTACGACACAGATGGCAACTTCCTCCAACGCCTCGACACAATCGAGATGCGCACTCTACTACCCCAATTCATCGACCGGGTAAGCAAGCGCTTCCAACCAAGCCCACCAGAGACAGAGACCAGGACAACCCGCCCCAGCCTAGTAGATCTAGGCTGCGGTACCGGCCGCAACACAATCCAACTCCTTTCCACGCTAAGCACCGCCAACAAAGTCACCTCCTTCTCCGTAATCGGACTAGATGCTTCGCGCAAGATGTTAGACGTAGCGCGGGCTACGACATGCGAGTATGTATCGAAAAGCGCAACGAAGACGGACGTTGAGCTTGGTATTTTTGACCTCCTTCAACCCGAGCTATCAAAAACACAGCTTCCGTCTTCGTTGTGTGAACCAGGTGCTGTGGGTGTCATATCTACACTCGTGCTGGAACATATTCCGCTTGAGCGGTTTTTGCTGCTGCTGCGGGGATTATGAGGTCCGGTGCGTATTTGCTTGTGACGAATATGCATGCTGAAATGGGAATGAGGAGTCAGGCGGGATTTACGGATGAGAGGGGGGTGAAGGTTCGGCCTACCAGTTATTGTCATGCTATTCCTGATGTGTTGGATGCTGCTGTTCAGGCTGGGTTTGAGGTTGAGGAGGTTGTTGGTGCGGGTTCGGGTGGGGTGGTTGTTAGGGGGGTTGATGAGGAATTGGGGGATGTTTTGGGGGCGAGGGCGAAGAAGTGGGTTGGGGTTAGGGTTTGGTTTGGGGTTTGTTTTGTTAAGAGGTAAAACAGGAGAGATATTATTTTTATATTTTTATCTAAATAATGAGTCCGCATGTCCCAACGCCATGGTTTGTTGTTATACATTTAGAAGAATTTCAGTAGTCTGTCGCGGTGTTGTACAAGATTGGGATGCTCTTTGAGAAGTTGTCCCAGCCGGTTGCGTTTCCAGCCCAGGGCGTCGTCCAGGATCAATTGCGTGTAGGCGAAGACGCTGGCATCGAAGAGGCCTGGGTTTGGGCGGCCGAAGAAGTGTTCGTCTTCGCCGAGCAAGGTGGATAACGCTTCGAATGCGCCACCCGCATCGCCTTCTAGGGCAGCGGCGTCGATGTAGCGCGATGTCTTGAGGAGTTCATCGCGCGCGGCCTGCTGGAGCTGCTGGCTCAGAGCGGCGCGCACGACCGAGTTTGAGGTTGTGGGATTCACGTAGAGTCGGCGTGCGACGGCGTCGAAGTTCTCACTGTCTAGGTAAAGCATGTATAACTAGACATGTCGGTCAGTTCCTTCGAGTCTGCGTTTTGTTTTTGATAGGATCATGTGCCTACCCAAGCGCTGCGTATCCGGTTGTCCAAAAGCGAGGCATAAACCTCGAACCGCAGGTTCAATTGTTGTTCCTCCTCGCAGTGAACTTGTTCAATGGCCCACTTTTGGATCTTGTGTGAAGGGATTGGATGCGACGAGTCTGCAGGCAGAGAGGGTAGGAGGAAAGGCAAGGAGCCATTCGGCGATGCATGATTGTTGGACGAGGTGATCTCAAAGTCAATCCCGACGAATTTCAAGTATGCCTAGAGCGAGGCCTATCAGTATGGTTCCGACAGGGACGGCTACACGCGTCCTTGCATGTGAGTATAGACAGCACGAACCTGCCATTTGAGACATTGAGGATTGAATGAAGGTCGACCATGTCGTACACCAGATGCGTCGGCGAACACGTAGAGCTGGTTGACATTGTCGTGCGGTCGAAGGCGTTGAGGGATCTCGTTGGCGGGATAGGTAGTCAACGGGAACTTGTCGAAGAGGCGCTTGATGGGAGCGGGGACAGTAAAGAATGGACTGGCATTGGACTCTTCTGGAGGACCATCGGCAGCTTTGGGTGGCATTGTGGTGGTATGAAGCTTTCCAAATGTCGCCAACGTCCAAAAGTTGTCCCCAAGTGCCGTCATCGAAACAAGTTCCGACGCGCCAAGCCCAAACAGGCAGGTATTGCCTTACCTAATACTTGTCAGGTACCATCCTCCCCGCACCTTTTTTCCGCCTTTTTTCCGCCTTTGTTTCCGTCTTTACTTGGGAATAGTCTGAACTTGCTGTGATTTTGGACTATTCGGATCATATGGAGTCGATATTTTAGTGCTTATTTCATATCTCGTGGTGTTTGGTGTTGCGATCACACCAGCCCGGTCTCTCCCGCCATCGTTGAAGAAATCTAAACCTCCACTTCGCTCCGTCTCGACTCCACCTTCCACTCTGATCTGCTCTTGTGAACGACATTTTGACAATACGGGCATACATATGGCTTAGTTTGTCGCAAAATAAGAGGCGTCTGATGGTCCTAGCGGAAACGGGCGATTGCATGCGCGGGGTATCGACTAGCCGTTGGGGTTCTGCAACTCACGGTTGCGCTATTACGAATCAATCTTAACCTTGCATCTCACCTTAACTTCGACGGAATCATACATACCTCTTTGCCAATATGCCTCTTGATGAAGAAGGCGCCAAATGGTCCTGGTAGGAATATATTGTATATTGACAATGAAACCGGGCTAAAGAGTTACACCAGTGAACCATGCATTCGAGGTCACCGATCGTCAAAATGCCAGCACTTCGATCGACTCATGATGAAAGTACCTAAAGCCGGGCGTCCTCTTGCGAAATGTCCCCACCCGAAAGGAACGTGCAGCTGCCAGAAGACATATGCCGTGATGGTCCGCATTCCGAAAGGTATACGTTTGTCACCAACACACATACATATGTTTGCGTTGTACTGACTTACCCTAGGCTCATCATGCTTATGTCGTCCGCTCTATAAAGTTCCCATGGATGCCAATGATTCAACTCAGTCACCCCCTCCCTCCATGGTTTCCACATCCTCACCAGCTCCGGGAAAAGTCCAGAAGTCTGGAAGAAGACAAAGTACTATGCAAGCAGCACCTGAAAACATAGCGCGGGCATTAGAAAATATGCCAGACAAGGTTAAGCTCGAGGATGGAACTTCGAATTTGGTTTCCGACTTCTCTTCGCGGCTCGGGTTAGAGGGTTCACACACATCTCCCACCACGTCTACGCAAATCCGAAAGACGCCATCACCCATAGAAACCACCATGGAAGACTCGCAGTCTCCCCAATTATCAAGCTGCTGCTCTCAAAAGTCAAAGCCGAAGGCACCTACTCCGACTCCAGCTCACCCTGCGGCTGCTGCTCCGGCTCAGAATGGTGGATCTTGCTGCGGAGGGTCTCGTCCTTCCACGACAAATCTAGCCATGTACCCAGAGACTGACCAGCAGCAATTCCAACAGCCTATTGCTTGGAATGACCAGAGTTACATGCAGTTCCCCATGCCTCAAATGTCTCCATGGCAGAATTCCTCGATTCCCACGCCAGGAGACTACATGCATTCCGCCATGCATCAAGCACCCCAGCTCCCAAGCCTCCATAATGGGTTCATGGGAATGATGATACCAGAATCTCAAATGTCCCAAATAGGGATGCCACTCGGTGTGACCTCGCCGGCTTCCATGGCGTACTCAAACCCGATGAACGGTCTTGGAATCACGCAGCCCTCTATGGGCCCGTACGTGCTCAACAACCTCGAGCCTTCCTACAATGACCCACCAGGCGGCGACTCTTGTCACGATTGTCACTGTGGAGAAGATTGTCAGTGCCTTGGCTGCGCTGCTCATCCATTCAATACCACAACCCGGAAGCATGTCCAAGAGATGGGTGCGATCATCACCTCTAATGGCGATGACAAGAATCCGGAAGTCATCAACCCTTATCAAGCCTCACCTTACCAGGGAGGCACACCCTCGACTCCATTCCCTTACCTCATGCAAAACACTCCTTCAATGGACCATGGCTTCCAGCCGATTCCATTTGATAGCTACTCGGACCCAAATTCCACCCTACCCAGTGGTTACTCCTCCCCTCTGTCGGCAAACCACCATCTGAACCAGCAGTTGATGCATCCTTCGGAGTACTACACCCTGGAATACCCAGTCGGGCTACCAAGCGCCTGTTCTGACATGACGGGCAGCTGTCAATGCGGTAGCGACTGCAGCTGTGTTGGCTGTCTCACACATAGCGGCCACAATGGTCTTTCTCTGGACATGCCTATTCCCGAGCACCCCATGTCTAACACAGCGGACAAACAAACTCAACCTTCACGCCATGCTCCCCACACAAATTCCACTACGTCTCAGGATTCCCGGATCCCGGTACTAGACAATGTGTCTGTGCCCTGCCTCAGTCCGCGTACACTGGAGACTTCCATGATCTAGATGATCTACGGCTTGATGATTTCTTACTATGTTCTTTCTCTACTACTTTTTTTTTTCCTGAGCCGTTTTTGATCTGCATGATTTATGATCTCCTATGATACCCTATCTAGAATCTATGCTCTAGACGGCCACAGTAATAGAATGTAATCTGTTGGGATGAATGTTCCCACTATCCCAGTTATAATTTTCTTATTACCGTTTGTAGTGTTTTGTGCATCCTTGCCTTCAAACGTAACTCATCTAGAACCCGACAGCGTATGTATGTGACTATACGTACCAGGCTTCCCGTCCCCCTTGAGCTATAGGCCTAAACCAAAAGCCCGAAGGCCGTCACGAGCTTTAGAAATAGGGTCGGGTCGGGTTTGTGAGCTTTGCGGGAGTCTAATTATAACCTTAGGCTTAGACTTTGCTTAGGTCGGTCATCAACTAGCTAGGTATAATGTTGGTATCTGCCCAGGTCCTCCTCGGGAGAACGAAGTGTTATTCCCGCGAAGGTTACCTCTGAAACTAATATGATGATCATCAATGCATTGGGGGATATCATAATTCTTAAGCAAAAGATAGTGTACAGATGAAGGACAGTTACCCACAAAACCAAATCAACCCTTGTTCCACTTGCCGAACTTCACATAGTCATCATAGAGCGACTTGAACACCGCACGTCCAGAGACATCCAGCGCAGCGTTAAGCGCACGCATAGAATCACGCGACATGACATCCAGAGCCGCATACAGACCAGGCAAGATAGCAGCCTTGACCTCCGGTGATAACGATCCACGCAGCGAGCACTGTGCATACTCCATGACAACATACTGCAAGTACTGACCCGCAATACGCTTCGCCTTCTTCGTCTGATCAGTCAGGGCCTCGCGAGATGCACCAGGCTGGGGGCGAAGAACCGCCGAGACGGTAGGGTCGCACAGCGAAGTGAGCAGACGGGTGTAGTAAGTCGCGTGGGAGGCATCGAGCGGGGCGAGCCAGAAGGGCTGCGACAGGGTGGGCTGGAAGCGGGAGCGGCCGCGTTTGCGGGACCGCGCGAAGAGACATCCCAGTAGGCGCTGCATGGCGTTTACGACTAGGTGGAAGCGGCCGCCGATCTTGAGACGTTGCAGGCTGAGTACGACGCCCATTAGTCGGCACAGGCGGGTGTAGATGGTTGGTGCGTAGGCGGGGGAGATCTGGGGGCCGATTTTGGAGGAGGCGCTTGCGATCGCACTGAGAATGCTGTCGATGTTGCATTGGCTGAGACTGCGAGTGTGACTGCGGAGGAGGAGGTCCAGACATTCGGAGGCGAAGCAGAATTGGTCGATGCTTGTGCTTTGGGTGATGGCTTCGGCGAGGGACGTGCAGAGGAGGGAGATCTCGCGTGCTGTGGCGCTTTCTTTGTCTTCGACGGGAGGGAGCGAGAAAACGGCGAGGTAGAGCACGAGAAGTCTGTAGCCGGCGTTTTCCCCAATCAAGCCAAGTCCTCGGACTTCGCAGATCGTTTGGGTGATTCTTTCCACGGTCATGGAGCGGAAGCGTTCGGTGGTAGTCCGGATGAAGAGCTGCTGGTCCTCAGCATAGAGAGACTGAAGGGCAAGAGTCTCGGCGCATTGCAGGACTGGCTGAGCAATGCTCTGCTCGGGTCCTTTGCTGGCAAGAAGACGTCGTCGGATTAACCGAGACGGTTCCGAATCAACGGACATTTCCATGTAACTGTCAATCTTGGACAGGAACTTCTCCACTTCGACATTGTTGGTGGCCAGATCTTCGAAATCCTCTAGAGCATCGATGGTCTTGATAAGAGTAATTGTCTCCTCCATCTCCTGCTTCCTGCACTGGTCTTTGACATGTTTCATATCAGCCAACACAAAGTCGAACACTTTCTGGCGACAAGCGGCAAGTTCCTTCTCAGAGAAGGCTGTTTGCAGCTGCTTGCGGTGGACCCAGAGCTCTGACAGAGTCAACCTCAAAAGGTAACAGGCCATGGAGTCACGATCCACTTGCTTCATTTTAGCTGTTTGCTTTGATGCCCGGACAAAGAGTTTCTTGAACACCTTGTTCCGCTCGTCCTCAGACGAGACCAGGAGCTTGGCCGATATCGCGCGGTGCAGGCTTCGGAATGCTTTCATGATCTGGAGGTCGAGGTCGGTACCCTCCAATGGGACGGCTCGGGCAGCAGTCCAGATGGGGTCCCAGTCACTGGTCAATGTGGCATCGCACTTAGGCATGGAAGCTAGTTTCGCCATCATCGTAATAATTCCGATCGTGATATCGGGAGAACTATCCTGCTCAAGTAAAACCTTTTGCAACTTGTTCAAAATGGTGGTTCTCAACCCGCGAGTGATCAACGGGGCCGGAACCCTCTGCAAGCTCTCGATAAGCAGTTTGCGATTGGAGGAGTCTTGCTCGACGCTTTCGTTGAGGAGGAGAGAAAGATCAGAGACAATGAAGGGAGCGTTGAGCATATATTCGTGGCAGACCACGCTCGCCCACGCCTGGAGGAACTTTGCTTCTTCTGCAACAGCTTCCAAGGGCAACGACGTCGAGTGGTATTGGGCAGCTGCCAGGGACAGGATATGACGGAACAGACGGGATCGATCATCGGAAGAGATAAGAGCCCAGACTTCCGGAACTCTGACAAGGGCCAGGAAGTAAGCTAGGCCAAGGGTGGTTTGGGAATCCACAGTATCTGTGCGGCCATTCCAGGGTGCCTTCATCGATTTCTTGGCATCCTTGGTTGAGATAGAGCTGATGAGGTCGGTGACATCCTTGGTGGCTTTAACGAATGAACCCAGCTGCTCATCACTAGCGTGTGCCTTGGTTGCAGCAATTAAAAACCGGTAAGCCTCCCACGATTCGAGAGGAGCGAGTTGAACTTTGGTTAAGTCCTTGTGGTTGCGATGAACAGTCTTGGCGGCGACTTCTACCAATGACATGATTGAACTTGCCATGGTATTATCGGCCGACTGCAGGGTGTTCTCTAGGAAATTCCGAACCAACCGCCACAGACGCCATCTCCAGTGTAGAGCCTGCTTTGACGACAGAGTAGAGGTTATGCTTTCCAGGAGAGATGTCAAAGTCTTTTCTGATTCTGCGAATGTCGAGACTCGGCCACGGAAGCTTGCCTCCACAATAACAAATTTGGCATAAGACTGAGGGGTTTCGGCAACCTTGCCATTTTCAGCCCGCGTCTCGCTAGCAGCGGTACGCATCTGGCCAGCAATATGCGTCTCAGTAAGGGAAGTTCGCATCAGCTCCGAGTAAGCGTCCGCCAGCTCATCGTCTTCCCAAACCGAGAATAGGCTCAGGTTGCTGTTATTTTGGCGAGCTTCCTCCACGATAACGAGTTGGTTGTGCCACAATTCCATGAAGCCGGGCAGGTCTCTTGCGGCGGCAAAGCCTCGCAACAAGGGCAGCACAACCTTGCTCTTGATTATGTCGTAGTTCCCCCGTTTCCGAGAACCACTTTCGCGCCACTGTAATAGAACCTTGTCGAGCAATGCGTCAAGAAGCTTACGCGAATCACGCAAACCGGAGTTTGGGAGGAAAATATCAACCCCGAGACTGATAAACAGAGCGGTTACATTCCACTGAACCTTCTCAAGGCCTTGTTCGAAAAGACCAGTGTAATTGGCATGCGCCAGAATGGTGTGAAGAGAGAGACCGACCTTTCGGTCGAGAGCTACCTGGAGGAGGTGTTCCAGTACCGAGATAAACCTGGAAGAAAAGGTGGCGAAGTCTTCCTCCTTTGCAGTAGAGAACGCAAGCTCTGCAACAGCGACGAACAAAGTCTCCAACCACGGGGCTTCATGTGTCTGCCTCCGGAACACATCTCTAGGAACAGCACGCACAGCGTTGTCAAAAAGTTCAGGAAGAAGCTCCACTGATCGCCAGGGATGCATACAAGCTTCATTGCTTGCTTTGTTTTCCTTGGCCACAGCAAACTCGCGAATGATTGGCCTGAAGGTATCTGTCACTGGTTTGACCGAGCTCCAGTCAGGCTCATCCTGAGAATAATCGATACCGGAGCTTCCACGCTCAAAGAATTCTGCACGAGCAGGGAGCAAGACATGAAGGGCAATAATGCGTTCAATCGCATGCAGGAGAGTGGCCCTCTCATCGGTGTCAAGTTTGGCGGATCGGAGACAGATCTGGAGCCTAAGTGCGTGGGCGAAGCAATGTCTCGCAAAAAATTCATTGCTAGACTTGTTGTCCATATCATCTTCACGGTAAGACCTCGATTCCCACAGCTCCACTGCCGAGGGAAACACGTATAGCAAGTGTTGAAGATCGGTTGTTTTCCCCTCATGCGAGAACTGCTTGGCGGCCACCGCGGCTACCCGGGATGCTCGGCCCAGCAACATTGCGACGGCCTCGGGCTCGCCCCTCAGTGCAAGCTTCAAATGAGAGTTTGCTACCCCATCGGTGCCTAATGTGCGGTGCGCAAGTGTCACAAATCCGTGTAGACAATCCAAGGCGCGGATGAAGGCGAGGAAGCATGCTGCGGGGGTCTGACGTTGCTCGTCCACGTCCACGTCCACGTCCATGGCGTCTGCATCATTCTCAGTTGTCATTCTCTTGCGTTTTTTCCCTTGGTTTCCTCGGCGATCATCGCGTGTCGGGGATTCAGACAGTGTGTGACTGGACTCTGAGCCAGAGCTTAGGGTTGCAAGCCCGTTCCCCAGACCGGAAAAGATGTCGGCCTCCAAATCTTCAAGTGTATCACATAGAATCGATAAGAATTTTTGATCCTTAAGAATAGCAGCGAGGTTCTTTGGTGAGATCAGATCGATGAGCTGTCGTAATAAAAGGAACGAAGCCGCATCCACTCTATAGTTCTTCCCACTTCTCAGTCTCTTCAATAGCCATCGCAGAACCCATTCCTCCTTCGGGGTAGCGTTTGTTTGAATTCGAACATCTCGGTGAACTTCCGGATGACTCTCACATAAGGTCAAATCCACACCGATAATCTGAGCCGCTTCGTGAATCTGAGTTGTTGGACTGGCGGTGCCCTTTTCAAGGCGGAGGAGCGCCTCTTGCGATGAGCGCGGACGCTGTAGAAGCGCAACACATTAGACCCCGGGAAAAAGACATATAGTATTTCAAGATAACATTTGACTTACCTCCGCAATCAACGGCATCTTGAAAAAAGCAAATATTCAAGAGTGTGGTTGGTTATTTGTCGAGGGGGAAAAAAAAGAGACCAAGAAGAAAAACCGCAGATTGCTCCGACCGCCTTTGGCCGAATCGACTCGGTCCGCTGCACCTCCCAGACTCCTTGCACTCGCACGCCTCCATTCACCTCTATAATTCCACACAATTGCAACTGGTTCGTGTTTTACCCTCGGAAATAGCTCCGGCTCAATTGATACTTACTTCTGCCCCGGTAGATTTATCACAATGGCTGAATCCAGTGAATCCGGGCCGATCGCACGCGCCACCAAGCCCGTTAGCGAGGCTTTGCTTAACGAGAAGGTATGAGCTAGCTGAATCCTCAAATGGGGGAAGTTGCAATATATCATCATACCATTGATATTATGACGATCGTCTCGGTCTGGGAACAAACATGGGAGAACCCGTTAGCTAACCGTCAACGGCGTATAATTAGTGGGACCGCGCCATTTCCTCTGTGCTCATCAAGTCCTCTCTCGGTCTGTCTTTCGGTGTTGTCTTCTCTGTTCTCCTCTTCAAGCGCCGAGCTTGGCCCGCGTGGGTTGGTCTCGGCTTCGGTGCCGGACGTGCCTGGGAAGAGGCTGATGGTACGTTAATATCTATATCTCATTTTGGTTTGGCTTTTAGAGACCTTTGATGAAGTTGGAGCTTCGGGTCACCGTGGGATAAGCTCCCTTGAGCTTGGGCAGAGGCTACTTGCTGTAATCTTCTCAGCATCGAGCTTCGCAGGCCCGTCGGCAATGACCCGATTCTCCGCTTTTCTCCGAGCCTGCCTATCTCCAAGATCCAAGAATGACTGGACTAACTTCTACTTAGCCTCCTTCCGCCGTGGTGACTCCCCTATCAGAGATGCCCTTCGCCGCTAAAGAATGGCTTCCAAGTGTGTACGATACATTGTACAGAAGGCAAGATACCATCAATGAATGGTTGTCCTCGGCCTAGAGAAGATTTGGTATACCGGTATCCACCAACCACCATCAACACTGAACAAGGTGTTTCCTTGAGTTTTTCCCCCCGTCTTTTGAATTAAGAAACATGATTTGAATTGGAACCATGTCCTGGCACTTCACGTCCAACATTTGCCTTCAGTAATTTAGATTTTGGTTCCTTGTGAGAACGAAAACACAATTCGATACAGGAACATTCAAGTTGTAAACGGCACACCTGGATGAGCCCATTCTATCAATTTAGAAGCAATACAACAACACAAGGAGTTACTGATGCTTTGTAGTTGATTTTGGTATATTGTCAAGTCCTCTGTATGATCTCATTTGTGCAAAAAGTAAAAAAGTAATTATGGTATCCCGTCCATTTTGTTATCGCGAGAATACTCTACACAACTAGAGACCAGATCAGGGGAGACCAGGCCTGATGCGCCTTCAGTATGGCCAACATGCCCCTTTGCTGGACAAGGCCGACCAGATTCCTCACAATCACAGATTCTTTAGAAACCCCGTGATTTCTCAAGGATTTGCTCTCCGAAGATTTTTCACGTCTTAACGGGGTTTGACTGTAAAAAAAAAACACGCTTTTGGACTGACTTGACGATCAAAATGAAGATTGTTGACCCTAGACCCTACCCGGAAGGTATCATCTACTCCACTATTATCCACTGTTCACCTAGTTTCACTTATTTTGCTCAATGTAGAAATTCCCGGGATCTTCAAAATCCTCTTCTTTGGCATATTATCTTTTTTCCCCCTGGATGTCCTTGACACGGGCGTCTTCGGACTTGACAAGATGGCTCTCAGCAAAGAGGAATATCAGCTCACGTATGTCCGACTGGATGACCCATCGGGGACTGCGACAAACACAAAACGCAAGTCACGGCCGTTATCTGTGTCAGAACAACAAGCAATACTGCAATCTCAGACGAATTTCTTTGGTTCGAGTTGGACCTTTGAAATCCTTAATTGTCTCATCGCTGTGGCTTTTCTGGTTGCCATTATACTTGTACTGTACAATTTCGATGGGAAACCAGTGCCAGAATGGCCGTACGGTATCACGTTGAACGCGTTAGTCTCAGTTCTGTCTACAGCTATGAAGGCCGGAATGGTCTGCATTGCTACTGAAGCTTTGTCCCAACTGAAATGGTCCTGGTTTAACCAAGGCAATAAACTAAGTGACTTGGCATTACTCGACGCCGCTAGCCGTGGACCGGTGGGGGCCTTGATTGCTCTATTTTGCTTTGTTCCTCGGTGAGTCTATAAGAATTTTAACATAGATCTTAGCTAACATGTCTTAAAAGCCATCTTGTCACATTCGGATGTCTGGTCCTCGTTATTGCAGCTGCTACGGACCCATTTGTGCAGCAGGTGATGGGAATTTTAGGACGGTCAGTCCCAACCCACGGCAATGCATCCATTCAAGTGTGCAACTCAAGTCTTTACACCGATTATGGACTAGGCGAAGGCCCCGGAATGAACAAAGCACCACTGTCGACAGTCGGTGCCATCTACTCTGGGATTTTCCAAGAACAAAGCGCAAACAGTAAAAGTCCTTTGATAGCGTGCGCTACAGGAAACTGTACATTCACGCCATATCAGTCTCTCGGCATTTGCAGCCGGTGCGCCAACATCACCGACTCTCTAACAGTCCAGAAGGTGGATGGGTCCACCCCTCAGCAAGCAATGTACAACTACAAACTACCAAATAGTTTCACTTTCCATACATCCACATTTGGAAAAGATCTCATGAACAGCACATATCTTCGTCCTCTCGTCAGCCTAAACACAACCGGCCTGGCAAGTATTCTCAACTTTACCGCAATCACTTCTTCTGGCTATAGTGTACCCCCCACAGTGAGTGCAACTGAGTGCTCCCTCTACTTCTGTGTCGATACCTATCATGCAGCTGTCAAGAACGGGTCCTTCACGGAGAAGCTCACCTCAACTGAAGGTACATCGAATTACTCGAGCACCTCCTTAAAAGACTTTGAAATCGTACCAAATACTTGCTACGTGAACGGCACACAACAAGAAAGCACACACAGGCCAGAGTGTGCCTTCAAAGTGAACTGGCTAAGCACCCTAGCTCTTTCAAACTCAATAGCCCCTTTGCTAAAAGGTACGGGGTCACTGTTCACGAGTAATCGACCAAGTTGGTCAGCCGACTCTATCCATGCCCTCTACGGGACATACGGCAATTACACCGATATAAATCTTGTCTTCCAGTCACTCGCAGCCTCACTCACGTTCCATGCACGATCAAAGATCTGCCATGCCTCTCACGGCGGAACTGCCTGGTCCACGGTATCTTATGTTCATGTGCGGTGGTTGTGGATGATTTTACCTATCACGCTGGTGTTCCTGAGTGCGCTTTTCTTGATCATCACTATTTTCCATACAAGGAGAGATTACATTTGGAAGTCTTCGCCTTTGGCTCTGCTATTCTCCAACTTGGATCTTGAGGGACCCAATCCTTTCAGAACGGATCCTACCCTCAAGGGGATTGAACGGACGTCTCGCCAAATGGACGTGCGGTTGGAGACTTCTTCCAACGGCCCTAGGATTAGGGTCATTCCTATTCATTAGTGATGACTCTTCCACTGTCTATAGCCGGCAGCCCGGTCTTGGAACATCCAATGCTAGTGAGGATGCAATAGACCCTATTTAGAACTTAGAGATTAATTAATGTTATTTTCAATCGGAGAAGCGAAGTATCTAGCTAGTAATATATAAAGGGAAGCTATTCCACGGCGGGATTGGGTATAGCCCCTAACCTGGCTTGTGTGTCTTAGATATGGAAGAAGCTGTTCCTAAATACATGTTTCCTTGTTCATTGATCTTACTTACAATCCCAAGTTCACTGCCTGCGGGCTTTATGATACTTTATGTAACAGATTGTCAAACTAAGTAACTATTCAAATCCAAAATTCTTCGTCCAGACGAGAGTCCATGTGGTTACAGGGCGAAGATGTTTAATCCAGCCCCGGCCGACGGATCTCGAGCTTCGAACTGTCTTCCTGGCCCCGGCGATACGCATTGGGATCTCGAATGGTTGATGTGCGACTTCTACTATTGCGTAGCTTGATGTTGTTTTCCTTCAAATAATCATCCGCAACCTGCTCCGCTGTTTCCCGGAACTGAACAAGCTGCATCCCGGATTTCCACGGAGATGATACTGGCTCCGACTTGAACCCAGGCTCTGTTTTGATACTGGTTTTTGTCTCCGTTGTGAATTTGGGAATATCAAATGGATCAGACGGCTCGACAGGCTCCCGTTTTAGAAGACTTTGGATGCCTTCTTCCACGTCGTCGCACAAGTCTATGATCAGCGCATCATCCGTGTTGAAGTCAGCTTTGATACCAAAGCCGCCTCCTTCCCCAAATTCGTTATCGGAGTCGGAATCGAAGCCGGTCATGTTTGAATCTGGATTCACTGAAATCCGAGTACTATCCGAGGATGAGACGTTGGTGTCAGTCGAGGGAGCCGGTAGAAGACGTAGCCTGTTAAGTTGTAGTTGACGTTCCTTTGCCTCCTCCCGCTCTTTAGCTGCGATCGAATCCAGCTCTTTACGCCACACATGATGAAGCTCTCTGCTCTTTTCTTTATTGGCCATGGCGACCAGCCCATCTGCTACACCAAGGCGGTAACTGAATGTGGGAGTGCCCCCTTTGTAGGCACAAGCCCATTCCAAGATGTTATTGTGGGCCATCTCAAATGACATCGCTGCTGCTGCAGTATTGCTAGCAATTCCGAAAAAGGTCCAGTGCATATCCGTGTAGTAATCGGTTGAAAAGTGCTTGCAGTCAAAAAAGGTGCACATTGCTCTTGCAACTTTCCCAACAAAAGCCTCTTTCATGACCCTTTTGGATGAGCCTGCGATTTTTGTAATAGACACGATGCTCCGTCCGCCAAAATGTGCCTTACTGCCATTATCATCAATAGCCATGAGATCTGCTTGGCTCACGTTGTGTTGACTCATGAGCTTCTGGGATAGAAAGAGAGCGGCTTTGGCTTCTGTCTCCGTTGTGTTGACGTGATAGGCGCGGTTCAGACACTTTTGAATCCTATCTAGAATCTTTTTATCGACAGTAGATGTGGGATTACTCTGGTTTTCGCGGGCATTTTTGACCATAGTTGCCTTCTGAGTAGGCTTTCTGGCATGTCCTTTCCGTGAGGTTCGGGAGGATTCAGTTGGCATTCTGGGGTATGTACGCTCGTGATTTTAATACTAAGTTGGAATCAAAGATGATAGGAAACTGGAAGAAAGAGGGGAGGGGAAGCTACGCTGCCTTTATAAGACTAATTTGTCCTTTGTACTTGGTACTTTGGCACTAGTGGAAACTGAAAGGCAAGGTCCTCATTCGTTAGCACCAAGTGTGATAAAACAGTGTGTTGGGCCTTTTCCCGTCACATGCAGGTTCTGATGTGATAGGCGTAGCGTATTATTCGAGATTTATCCTCTTATAAATTATTCTCGTCTAAAATACCCGTAACATAGAGGCTTGTTAACAGGCCAACCTATCAAACATACGTCCTAAAGGAGAATGCCGGGGTCATAAAAAGAAAAGGAAATCCTGGGGGAGGCCCATCTCTGGAAGCACACGAACCCAGAAGCAGTCAATTATCATATCATCGTAAATATATCCCAAATAGGGAGCTAATTATATACATTCAATATTGCCGGATGGAACGAACACCAGCGAAAAACAGTATCAAAAGGAAAATGCCACCATAAAGACCCAAGCCCGCTTAAATCTTCATGTCGGAGGTACTTGGACCCTTCCGATCATCCGACCCAACCGCACCATCAAACGAGCTCCGATCAGCATACCCTTGACCCTCCAAGTCATTAGGGTCCTTTCCGTATGCAACGGAGAAATCCTCAACATCGATATCAACCTCGTTCCAAGTAGCGCTTGTCTCAGGAACGGGGAAGAACCACGTCAGAGCAAAGTACACGCCACCAGAAACAAGGACACCGGTGAAATAATTGATGTTGTAAACGTATTGCGCACCGATAGGGACTTTGCAACCCACGGCACCGGCGAAACCGACGATGTTGATCATGATACCGCAGATGTAGGCGGTATAGGCGCGCCAGGAGAAACCGCCGGTGTAGTAGTAGCAGTCTGTTTTGCTGGCGCTGTAGAGAGAGTGGATGTTCAGGTAGCCCTTTCGGACGACGTAGTAGTCACAGATCATGACACCGGCGATGGCGGAGAGGAAGAGGGAGTAAGCTGAGAGGTAGGTTGTGAAGTTGTTTGAGGTTGAGAGAAGGTTCCACTGTGGATTTTGTTAGTTTTGGTCATGGTTATTTGAGGGGGCTAGAAAATAAAAAAGTGGTACGACGTACTGGACACATAGCTAGACCGACGGCGGCGCAGATGTAACTACCGCGTCGGATGGACATGTATCGGGGTAGCAGTGCAGTCAGATCAGTGCCTGCTGAGATTGAGTTGGCGGAAATGTTTGTTCCGAGCTGGGCTAGGGCAAATCCGGTGGCGATGATGAAGATACCGAAGCGCTGGCCGGAACTAGCTCCATCGAGGAACTTTCCGAGAAGATCAAGGGGGTTCCATGTGTAGCCGTCGTTAAAGATTACCGACGAGGAGGAAGACACGATGATTCCAATGAATGAGGTGATGCCAAAGCCGACGGGAATGGTCAATAGCTGGGACCAGAATGCATCCTTTGGTGTTTTCGCAAATCGTGAGAAATCCGGGTTATTCATGATAAGTGCCGCGAAGTTTCCAATGCACGACATGATTCCTTTCACCATCGCCCATGAAAGATCGCTTCCGTGGACGGTGTTGGACTGGTGGATAATCGGGCCGAGGCCGTGGGCACGGGAGATAGCCCAGGCAAAGAAAGCGATGGCAGCGATAGGAGAGTAGATCGCCTTAGCGGTGAACAAGTGACGGACTTTGTGAACAGGGAACCACAAGGCTGGAAGCGAGAACAACCAGAATAAGAAGAAGCTGACGAAGTTCTTGGTATCGATGCCAGCATTGGCAGAGAGACCATTGTGAAGGTTCCGGTAGCTGGGCCAAATGGCCTCGATCATCAAAGTAACACACTGGCCTATTAATGTATATAAGTATGCATGTTTTCACCGGATTGGAAAGATACATACCTCCAATATAACCTTGCACACCGTACCAAATAATAGCCATCACTACGCGGTTAAGAACGGGCCATAAAGAGCCCCATATTCCGAATGAAGCTCGGGCTGTGACGGGAAAAGAAATATGATAGACAGCGCCAATTCGTCCAGTCAGGCACACGAAACCTGCAGCCACAAAGTATCCAACCCAGACACAGATCCAAGACTGCCACCAGGAAAGACCGTCGACGATCATTGAGGAGGAAATCATCCATGTGTTCTATATTTTGTGTTAGGTGTCACTGGGCTTGTACCGGGCATCATTTAGAGATACTGACGATGTTCAACGAGTCTGCAATCCAAAAAGCAATAAAGTTGATCCATCTCCATTGGCGTCTTTCTGGATCCACTGTAGTGTAATTTCCATTGATCAGTCTTTGTATTCTTTGTGTACCACCATGAGGGTGATAAATAAGGGTAGGATCCGAAATCCTATAAGCCTGGATAGTCAGTCTCACCTGGCCGTAAATCACTGTTGGTCAACATCATCTGAGCATTGGTGAGTCCCGGCTCGTTCTCGACGGCCGCCTTGTCAAGTATCCATTTGAGCTTGGACATGTTGGCAGGCTAATTGTTCCCAGTAGAGTAATCGAACGTCCCAAGAACACGTTAAGGCAAAGTTATTGTGGGGAAATTGAATATTTTAAAAAAAGAATCTTGGAATAAGGAGTAAAAAGACGGGGGATAACAGGATCATTATAACCTTGCCCATATGTAATGATTCTGGAGTAGGTAGCCATATCCTCCAGGATCCGAGTCCTCTTTTCCCCGAATGCGATAAGAAAGCAATTCGCTGCGGATCTCCGGTCTTGAAATGCATCGATAGTTTGAGCCTATCATAGTCACGTACTGGTAGTGACCGAATGACCTCAAGTAAGACATCCCGACCTTATCTCCAGGAATTGGCGAGGGAATCGACAACCTTGCAACGTTGGCCCCACATAGTCCCACATAATAAATAGGAGAAAAGGATATGATTGGTTGACTGTAATCTATGCTTCGATATGGAGAAAAGCTGGAGATAGAAAAGAGAAAACTTGGCGTTGACTCGATGAGATCGAGTAATAAATAGGTCACGTGGAATCATGCCTTAGGCCATCTATCTATAACATGTGCTAGTTAACTAACTATTGGCCACTACTATAACTAGATCATGGATTTCATCAAGTGAAATCCATGTAATCGTGACTACAATAACATCTACATATGTAGATATATAAATACCAGCATACACGTGGGCATATGATGTTGTGCCACCCTATGTACGAGTGTATTAAGAACCAATCGTCAGAAATAGCTTAGTAGCCTTGCATGATGGTGTGGAAAAGGTAATATAGGTACTAGATATGTTTAGATATATTAACTACTATATAACGTAACATTCTTCATCCTCTCCAACTAGTTACCTAATTATATATAAACTCATCATACACAATGATATATAAATTAACCAAGAAAGTTGGGGTGATCAAGTTCTTGAAACAGTATTAATGTTAACGGAGGACGTGCGAGGTAAAAAGAAAAGCCAAATAATACATCCCACGTGAGTACTATGTCGACATAAAACAGAAGTGATATGCTAGTGTGCAAGAGTGTTTAATTGAATTGACAGATCAACTGTGAGAGCCTCCTGAAAATGAAAAATCCCAAGTCCCTATGCTATGATAATAAACGACATGATGAATGAGAAGAGTTGCTCCAGTGAACCAGCCACGTATATGTTCTCCGATGTGATTGACTCCCTCAAATGCAATGATGATGATGAATGGTAGAACCGAGTTCCCGAAAGGATCCTATGCAGACACGGAGCGCAACAAAAGAGATAAGATGAAAAGCAAAGACATACATAAGACCAAACAAACATAAGAAAACAGGGAGAGAAGATAGGATGAAAAAAAAAAAAACACAAACACAAACACAAACACAAACACAAACACAAACAAACACATCTCCCAGTCGAATACATAGCCGGATGGTCAGTTTCCGGGTTTGTCGCAGACAAATGACAGGACAAGGACGATGAACAAGATAATACCCATGGTAAATGGCAAAAATAAAACTTGAAGCAACTTGGGGGGTATCGCTGTGAAGGGTATGGATGACAATGGCGTAATAAACAAAACGTCCGGCAATGTACGCACAGATGAGAGCAAAGAGTGGGATATGATGCAGTAGAAAGACAAACGCCGGAACCTTGGTTAATGCTGACACTGATAGGAACAAGATTCCAGATAGGGAGAGGGATGAGGTGAAAAGCCAGTGCAAAGCTGCGGTGGCCATAAGAGGTGGGCGAGATAAGATGGGATGTGACTATCATTGGACGAATGATGAGTTTGACGTTGTTGACACAGTGGGTGTCAAGCTAGGAGAGCCTTCCTTGTCCTCAGGGCTCGGGGAATCACTGCAATCGTGAGGTTGATCCCTTTCGCGCTCGACCGACGAGGAGCGCTTGAAGACAGTCTGGCCGATCTGACGCAGAATACCCATGCGTTCGGCGCGGAGCTCTTCGAGGTCCAGACGCTGAACGGAGATGGGCTCTTGCTTTGAGATCTTGCAGAAAAGCGTTGAGAACAAGTATTGGTCACCGCTAGCATCATAGAGAGGCAAGTAGCGGTAACCTTGAGAGAGACTGGTGAGCTTGGCGGTGAAAGTGGCCAGCTGCACGCTGTTGTTATTGCCTGCACTGCGACCGTCCATTGAGCTCCAGACAGTCCATCGCACAAACACAAGATCGGGATATTTAGTTTCCAGCGACAGCTTGAACTTGTCGTTGAAAACGGGGCTGTAGCCATTGCTTTGCTCGATCTTGGTGCGGCGACGGTGCGGATATCCGATGCCGGACATACCGTTGCGCGCAGAGGCATCCATACCACCTTCGCCGAGGACGAAGCTCTGTCCACGATCATCAGCACTGAACATCTCGATCTCGACATAAGGGTTGATGTTGTCGTCCTGTCCGATGGTGCGTGGACGGGGGAGTTGTTGTGCGGAGACGACGTCGACCGAGAATCGAACCAGTTTGCGCTCCATCTTGCGCTTCTCCTTTCCATCACCAGCAGCTGGTAAGCGAAGGCTCTCGGGCTTGAGAATGTAGCCGGTACGGTCAGTTCCAGCGGCGAACATAGCCTGGTTCATTTGCATGCCGATGTCGTAAGTTTGCCAGTTCAGCGCTGCCATTTGCACACCACGGCGCCAGAACTTGTTCGGATCAAAGTTGGATGAACGGAGTCGGAATCCAGAAGGATATACTCGCGTGAGATACTTGCGGTTGTGCGATTCCAGTGCAACCTTGTTGTCATGACTCTGAGTGATGCTCTCAAATGACCGCTCGGCAAACGAGTAGATATGGTTGTACCGCCTGCTCTCTGGAGAGGAGAAGCTGTGCCACTTGTAGCCACGAGTGTAGACACCCAAGTCAGAAAGAGGCTTAGTGATCTTGCTTTTTTGGCGCCGCTTTTTCTTCCTGTCAGTGTGAACAGACACTAGCGCTCCGTCACTGTCTTCAGTTGCACTGCTCATGCTTGTAGCAGTAAGCGAACGCCTATCCTGCGAGATCAAAGGGCCAATGCTATCGACGGGATCCATTGTGGGGGGACTCGAGAGTGAGGGAAGAGGCTGGATGCTCATATCAGGGGAGTCGGTCGTACAAACGGCGTACTAGCACTGCGTTTGCGGCCATGGGTGCCGACGGAGCCGACAGTATTTTGGCGGGGATCAAACTGGGACTCGTCACAAGTCTTGACTTTGACTAGAATGCGGCCCTTGAGCTCTTCGGGCGAAGGAAGGATGTGGCAGTTGGTCATCAAGGGCTCAAGGACAAGGCGTTCCTTGAATGTCTCCTTCATAATCTTGACCATTGCTAGTTGCTGTTCCGGATTGCAGTGTACCTCAAGAGAAAGAATGAGAGGGAAGTCGCATGTGATAAAGGCGTATCGGTTGATGACGGTTATGCAATCCGCAAAGAGGACACTGGTAGTTAGAGTTCGCCCGTGAGACACGATGGGGCGTCCATCTGCGCCATCCCAGCAGTCGATCTCGACACAACGACATCCCTGCTGGAGCGCGCTAACGTAAGCCTCGGTGCTTGATGCGCCAGCCACTTGGCGGCCCAGGAGGTAAGTGTTGTGAGAGCTGGAGATGAAGTATTCATTCAACGGCCGGTCGAATCTTGACTGGGGAGCACGTGAAGCGTAGACACCGTTGCTGGACGAAGATAAGAACGCGGTAAATGCATCCAGGTTCATCCGCGATACAGGTGGAGGAAGCTCCGATCCTTCTGCAGAAGGAGTGCGAGATTTAGAGGCCCGCCGAACGTACTTGTCGAACAGAGCAGTCCAGTAGACCTGGTCGGATTCGATATCTTCATTTTGTACGTCACGAAGGAAAGTCAAAAACTCGCTCCGAGTCATGCCTTCCTTCGATTTCGCGGTGTGAAGCTTGAAGATATCCTTGACATCCTTTCTTTCCTTCAAACGCAAAAGGAAGTCTTTGAATTCGGAGAAATCCAACTTGCCGTTACAGGCAGCGTCGGCTTTAGTGAACTGTGCCCGAAGCATGTTCTTGGAACAGTTGATATGCAAGCTGCGGCAGACCTTCTCCACGGCGGCGAGATCGAGACTTTGCTCCTCTACTGGAGGAGGACCCTGGGGGAAGAGTCTCGACATCTCACGTTGCCAGTGTGCCTGCAGAACCGCTTCGCTCTGACTTGAACCTGCCAGGCCAGACATAAGATCGATTCTGTATCGAGAGATATGCTCAAGGGTGGTAATCCACAGGTCAAGAATACGGTCACTAGGAGCGATGAGGTGCAAGGTTTTGACTGTCCGGCCCTTGGAGCGGTCAGAATCCGCAATAACAATAGTGAACCATCGGCGTTCCAAATCTTCGGGAATCTGATGTTCCTCGCGGTAGTTGCGGGCGTCGGCACCGACCCGGATTTCTTTGATATCATCGATATAGAAGCGTTTGGCCGGGTTGGAGACATCCCAGAAAACCTTGGCGGCATCTAGGTCGAGGAAGAAGCGGACTTGCTTCCTGCGTTTCTTAGTTACCTTGGTTAGGACTGTGCCCCGCTGCACAGCGGAGTCTACTTTGGGCGCAACGGCAACCGTGGGGAGGGGACCAACTTCGCGAGCCATATTCATGCGGCTCTCGCTGCGAAGACTGGATGCCTCCGAGCCACCCCATGCGCCCAGGTTATCCAAGGCCTCGCTGGCTTCATCCTCGTTGCTCGAATCGAGAGCGCTATCTCGAACGGGTTGAGTGCCAGTTTTGCTATCACTGCGTCGACGCATGATGATGGGACCAGTGCTTCGATCCCGTTTGTCGTTTTGAGTCGTAGATTGCCGCCTGCGGGTGAGTTTGTTGGCAGCGCCTCTCGAGATCCGTCGCATGAGGCCCGGCGCCCTGGCGGACACAGCAGGGTCATTGAAGCTGGAGGGATTTGTGTTTCCGGGAACGGCCATCATGGACTCGCCAAGTTCGAGGGGGCCTGGCGTAGGTAGGGAATAACCATTCACTCGGCCGTAGAGTCCCTCGCTAGCAGATTGGAGGGGGGTGCCAGCAGGGGTGAAAGTACAGGGTGTGCCGGGAGCAGGGAGGGATGAGGTAGGAGTAGAAATCGGAGAAGAGGTGAAAGAGGTTGCGGAAGAATGAGGAGGGCCAGATGGCAAAGATGTGACAACATGATGTAGGGAGGACGGTTGAGGGAGAGGTGTCGCAAGTTTTAAGTTGGATTGGGTGTCGGCATCCAGGATCGGTGAGGTAGTCGTAGCATACGCCATAACGACTGTCTATCAAGGATGACAGCTCAGCTGTCAACAGGGGAAATATAAGCTAGTAGTATACCGTGCCAACGTCCGAGTCACCTGGACTCAGAAGTGGGCGAATGGGTAACAGCGTATGGAACCGGCCTGCCGTCAAGGTTCGCAAGGCTGCCGCCTGTCAGGAATGTTATGCGATCCGAGCCAAAAGAGAAAGTAGAATATTCTGACACGGTGAGAAAATGATCGTTCAGCCACGTCCTCAGCAGAAGTTCACCGTTCTTGAACTCTGCTGCATCTTGTCCTGGATTGGGTGTAATGCGGAGAGCCCTACCGGAGAGCAGCTCACGGGAAAAGAAATCGCAACAAAAGAAAATTTGAGCGATTAAAAAAAGTCCCTGATAACAATTGCAAAGGGCACTGGCCCTGTGCAACGGCCAATCCACGAGGGAGATTCTCAGCCGATGCTAACCACTTGGGATAGACGTCACAAACGAAATCAACCAGGGAATGATCTCCAGCCTCAAGGAAGCGGAACGCGGGTTCTCGTCTGGCTTCTTTCGGAGCCCGGCTGATTCTCTGTATGTTCTTCCAATGATACCAATGCTACCCCTCTCTTATGCGTGTAGATCTGCCGGTGCGTGGGGGAAGCTGCTGCTCTGCACCGAAAGAGGGGCGTGCTGTGATATGGGCCAATTGACCGTGGAATCACCGAGTGATTTGGGGAAGGCGGCGCGGGACTGGTTCGAAATTGAAGGGCGTGCGCCAAAGCGAGTCGAAGGTCGAAGGTAATGCGTATGCAGGTATCGTTACCAGAGTTTATGAAAGAGCCCCAAGAACCGGCTTTGGGTGCTTGCGGAAGTAGACAGCGGCAGCAAAAAAAAAAAAAAAAAAGACCTAAGAGTCAAGGGTTGTCCTAGTCCGGCAAGGGCGACGTGCGATTGGGTGCGATTGGAGACTAGCGATGCGGCAGGCGAAGGGAGTACCCGTGCTAAAGTGCAGGGAGATTTTTCCCCGGCGCAACGAACCTAGGATAGGAGGATGTGATGAAAATCGAGAATTGCGACAGAGTTGCCAACGCAGTGGATGCAGGCGGTCGAAAGGGGAAAGGCGGGCAATCGGAGACTGGACCAAGTTAGGGAGCTCGCTGATGTTGGATTGTTTAGTGCCGTTTTGGAGGATGACTGCGAGTTGATCCAGTTGCTGCACGGTTACGTGGTGGCCACTAAATCCGTATGCGAGTGGGTAAAATTGCGGAAGTTTTGGATGATCATGCGACGAGAGGGAGAAGACCTGCGTTGTCCTTATCGTCGTATGAGTATGGAGTTTTTTTTCTTCTCTTCAAGGGGATAGAGGGGGAGTAAAGAAGAGTTGAAGGGGGGAAAAGGGAAAATAATTAAATCAATGAATCCCAATTCTGCGAATTGAAGCTGCAGTGGGTACGAGGTACTTACGATAGACGTATGTAGCCTGCGGTATGGGAAACGGTGTACCGTATACCTGTATTGCCCAGTAATTCTGGTAATATACTGGGGTTCGGTAACATTGAACAAATCGAAGTATGTCGTAATTTTGTTCTCTTCCTTTTTCTTCTTGGGGGGGGGGTTTTTTTTTATTTTTTCTTCTGTTCAAGACATCTGAGTTAATAGATATTCAAAGAAATATCGAATTCAAGCCGCGACTGCAGATATTCCAGTCGTGATGTGGATGTGAGAGAGAATGTTGTTCTGTTTGGGTACTCACTCACCAGTGCATATATGAGCCACAACTAGTGGGAATGAGGCTGAGATTTCAACCGAGGGAAGAAAAAAAAAAAGGTAACAAAGAAGTCTCTAGCATAGGAAGAGAAAAATAAATAATAATAATGAAGGGGCCATTGAAATGATTAAATACTACACCGTATGGCAACAAGCAATTGCTCATTTCCTTCAGGTATGCCCTACAGTTAGGTACTACTTTAATACCCAAGTGCCTATCAAAATACATAGCTGCCTACCACGAGATGACGATGTGGAATGATTGCCAGACGGAAACCCGTTACTCGGTATAATTGGACGATCCCTGGAATTCCTGGGGAATGTTATCGGCCAAACGGGGTCGATCTGTGTTTCAAATGTGTTGGACGGGAGCCCTAAAAGGGACGGGGATGATTACAATTTCCCTACAATCTATGTATGACAGACTCTCCTGAGTCTTTCACGGTGTGTAAAGGGGGGAGGATCTCCCCCTTTCTCTTTATTCAGATTTCAAGTTTCAATAATAAAAAATGTCCCGAGAAATTATGGATTACGGTGGATACAAGAATACTAGCAGTCTATTTCATTCAAACTTCTATAGCCCGAGACACCGCCGGGCTCCAGTTCCCCCCACATCGCAGCGTATCTAGTCGACTAGTCTAGTATTATAATCATGTTTGAGGTTATTACCCTTAAACTGTACTCCGTATCGCTCATTCTTTAGCTGTATTACTTCTGTGGAAATTCCCGCCTAACACCGACAGGGTGGTCCGGGGAAGATATGCGGAGCCTTCGGATTCCTGCGTTTTGATCGCGAGGTTTGATTAGACTTTCCTGTTCTCCCTGTGATACACGGTCTTATCGAGTGTTGTGTTTTCTTGCAAGGTTGTGTTTGTGTTCATTGTTGACTGGTCGGGCAACTGCTGCGCCCAAGCCCTAAGACAAAAGAGACTGAGTCGATCACAACACACATCATCTTGGTGGGGAGGAAATGGTAAGATGGTACGGTGTATACCACAAAAATTCGGTATAAGGTCTGTGTAAATTATCGTACACCATCATCTACGGAGTATAGGGAACATTGAAATTGAACATCATCCCTGAACCGGTGAGGCTTGATGTGGCAGTGAAAAACGGGTTGGGCGGTGCAGATGAAGTGGATTCCCCAAAGTAAAGAAAAACAGTTCGGGGAGTTTGAGGTGTCTTGTTTTGTCAGCCGAAAAATAGTTAACTAACTATAACATTCCAAAGGTTAACTATCAGTATTTTGTTCCGCCCTATCTCTGTATTCTCGGGAACTCTTTTTTGCCTGCTCTATCTCAGCTCCTTTCATCTCACCTCGTACCTGTCAAGGCACACAGTGATACAGATCGTACGATGCAGAGTGTGACAAGCCGCAATGAACAGGAACATCTGCGGGGTTGGGCTCAACCCCGCAGCCGTCGCAATTTGATGAGCTGGTGATGCCGTGCTTCACCACTTCCTTGATTATTTCGATTCACAACTCTGCCGCCACAGCCGGAGAAAAGAAAATCGAAGTCAGATAGCACCCCCTCATTACAAAGTAAGGCTATGCTCTCTTGATCCTACGCTCCTGCACATCACCCGGGTGGGTTGTTAAATGAACTTAGCGCTGTCCAAGGGCGACAGTTAGCTTCTTATGGTCGTAACAGCCGCATAACCCTAGCAGCTCCTGACAAGGATCTTGTTCAGACCTCAGGTGGTTATGGCGGTTAGATACTCGGATCTCGGATTTCTAAGAGCCCCGTGTTCGCAACTCATTTGGAACAGCGCTCTCCTTTCTATTTTTTTATGCGCCGCAATATCGAATAATGCGGTGGACAGGTACGACTATCTAAAAAGGGAAATAGACGTCATTTTTTGCTTTTTCTTTTCGTTTGTGTTAAATTTCCTTTGTTTTTTTTGTTTTGTTTTTCGATGTGGACTACAAATACAATACTCGAATGAAATAACTCAGGTCCTGACAGATACGCAACTTCACTATCTTTTCAAATTGGATCCAGTGCTGAAGGTGTCTCCTATTTACTATCCGTGCGCTATCAACGTGATATGGTGCAGGGCGGTTGCGGAGGTTAGAAAAGAGAGTACAGAGTACCCTCGGCGACATCAACCAAATAGATTAAAACTTGCAGGGAATCAAAGGTAGATTCTATTTTTATTAGATTAAACAAAGTAAAGTGCTACGTTATCAAAGGTATCATTCAGCGCAGTCCTGATTTACCAGCATAATTACTCCGTATAGAGATGCAGTTTCTCGTCACTAGCCCCAATATACCCCACCCAGCACAACCCAGTAACGAGGTAAAGACAAAGAGCGGTGGCTGAAGCAAGGATCTGCGTGTTCATAACAGCCAACCTTCTTCGATGACAGCGACACGATAATTGTCCAAACATCCTGACCGCTAATCACCGTGCCTCAGGTGATCAGTAACTCAAGTCGGCAACCAGTGAGCGATCTCCACCGGGATCCGACTAAGGGGGGTTGCAGACGGGATGAAGAGGGGTTGTTGTTTATCGAACCTCATTTGCCCACCTCGTACTCTGTACTCTGTACTCCGTACTGGGTACCTATGTACATTGTGAAGAACCCATGCTATCATGCCACGCTTTCACAGATATGGGTTTCCAGCTCTGACGTGCGACATGGCAGGATTAGCGGTAATCTAGTGGATTGATTGCAAACAATATTTTCTCGTGATCAGTTCTTCCAAGGTTAGAAGTTATTAGGCGCTTTGCTTTGACCATCACAATAATCCTGGCGGGGACAATTGTCTCATTTAGAATATTTCACCCAATCATCCTGTATTGGTTCGGACCTCATGGCTGCTAGGGCAAAGACTAGGGTCAAAGGGTGGACGTTGTACTCCGTACTTGGGTAGATATAGTTATAATTATTGTATGGGGGAAATGCATGTCTTATTATTTTTCCTTCCAAGATTCTTCGGGTCTTCCATTGGCTTTGGTGGGGACTAGAGGTCCACTTGACAGGGTCGTTCTTGTACGGAGCACTCCGTATACGGAGTATACGGAGTTACAAGCTAGTGTATTGTAAATGACCTGGCTCAGGGGAACGGTTTGCTTCTTAATATTTTTGAATGTTTCAAAGTTCCTTCTGGAAGGTCAAAATTACTGGTAATAAAACATATAGAACCCACGTCATTACTATGTACAATATAATATGACTTCTATAACCTCGGAGAATCTGCATTGAATGGCGCCATACTACCTAGGCCTAGAGAGGTATGTGAGTCCCTCAGCCGCAGAGCTAACTCTGCACTCCATTTTGATGTGCATGTAAACAGTAAACAATAATACCAGTCAATCTCGCATCCGCTCCTTGCTACGATCAACAGCCCTAAATAACAATCCCCACTTTTGACGGCGGGTTCCCCCTATAGGACGAAACCGGCGAAAAAACTCTCCTTAATGCTCTATCATTCTGTGGGGAGTGCTTTGAGTGATTGCGTAGTACTCGGGGTCATTTCTGTAAGATGGATTGGTTTAATAGAAAAAGTGTAAAAAGTATACATATTTCTTGATTGACAACGTTAAGAATATCCCATTATTTAGCTATACCTAGCTAACTACCTAGGTATGTATCTCTTATAACCTGAGGTCCGTTGTTTTCAGGGAATAGGTAATCATTGTGGTGACATCATAAAGACGCAACGTCCATGTAAGATGAAAATCATTTTTTTGTGACGGTATTTCTCAGTCTTAATACCAATACAGTGGTATTACTGTCAGGTACATCGAATATTCCTTAACACCTTCCAAGGTTGGAAACTTGGAGAAACTCGAATAAAACAACCATTAAACCGCGAGTTAGTCGGGGGATTTGAGGGTGTCACTCTCAGGGGTATATACTCATTTTAATTGATGAGGCAAAAATGTGACAAAAAAAAGGAAGGACGTCGGAGTGTCCTAAAACTAAGCTATGGGTCTGATCTTCAGGAGAGAACGGAAGGGGCTTACCATCTCCCATTCCAGGGCAATTTAGGATTCTCCCTTTCCCCGATAGAGTATCCAACTACTATAACAATTGTCCCGATGTAGCATTTCAAATATTTAAGTTGGAGAATGCAATTTCCTATACTCCGTATTGTAGCACTTATTCGAAACACTCTAACATTTCACTTAATCACTTAGGGTTGTATGGAGACTCTTTCCTAGTAATACAATATACATGTATTCCAATATCTCAAGAAGAATCTTACATGCTAATTATACAGACCCAGGGGGATGGAACCGTTGCGCCTCACTGGAGCCAAGGATATTGCTCCATCAACTTAAGTCCCGAGGTCTCGATATATTTGAGATACCCCTGCTTTCTTTCATGGTTATATTACATTACATGTGATTGTGACTTGCTAGAGGTTATCACACTCTCTACCTAGGTACCTGTGGACATACAGCCATTGTGATAATGTACTCAACCAAATGTACATCTTTGCGACGAGGTATCCTTTGACCAAACTACCTAATTGTAGGCAACCTTGGAAAAGAAGCACCCCGCTTTGACGCATGCACGTCGGCACCCGTCTAGCTTCGAAGGATGACAGTGCATGTCAAAATGATACTCCCCACTACTACCCAAAGAAAAGAGAGCCCTGGTAGATACTGACACGTCTCAGACATCCCCCCACTCTCATCTCAGCCCACAGCCACTTTCAGCTCAGCCTCGTCCCGCTCCTTCGATGCGTCTTCGATACTTCCCGCGATGATATGCAAATCAAGATACGCTGTGGTGTGGAATCACACTAGCATGAAAATGGAAAAAAAAAAGGACGTCCAAAGAAGGTCACCTCACCATCCTCGAGCCTCTCCCTTTGATACCACACCCCGGGGGTTCCTCCGTTGGCTTACCACTCACCACCAGCTCCTCCAATCACTGGCCCGGGTATGCCTAAATACTGGATTTTCTCTGCCGCCTATACCGCATTTTGGTTCCGACTGCAGGAAGGCAGATATGTGTATCTTTCTTTTTTGCCTTTTCTCTTTCATCTTGGTAGGTGCATGTGACTCACCTTGGCGAGGATGTTCCCATCATACCCGAGAATATTGGTGCAACAGTATCATAGGGCGCCTGTGGCTCGCACTTCAATGATCGTGTAACCAAGACCATGCATTGCAACTCATCCCGGTCCCGTTCAGAATGCTACTCTTGTTTCAGAGGAATCCATCCCGGAACCGGCATGGCGCCACCATTTGTCTGACGGTTGATATGTTCAACTTCCCTATTTTCATTTAAGCCAGTGCCTTTTTTTTTCGTTGCCGGGGTGGATTCTGGGATCAACCCCATACCCTCTCTGTATGGGACACGGCTTATAGGATTCCCTGCACGGTGTCCGGAAGTTTCGAATGCTCATTTCATAGACGCGGCGCAGTGATACGATGAGGGAGATCTGATACGTGGCCATAATCCGGATAACAAGGGAGGTGCACATGTGTTTCGTGGAGCTTGCAATACTTGACACGACGTATCGTGTACCTAGGCAAAGCGGGATGGCGGGATAGCGGGAAAGGAAGCATCAAGAAATTGCAACGAACCCACAAATACTCCCATACGAAGTCCATATCTGGGACATATCGCATGATCCACCAGTCTTTAATTACCCATCGTGCTAGATATCGTGGCTGCATATCTCTCTGGACAGATATTGCGGACCCATATCTCGGGATGACCGGTTCCAAGCGGCTCCGGCTCTTAGAAACAGAAATCCCCACCACGCTGACCCGATCGTAACCTTGCGATTGGTGTGAGTCGCTTATGGCTTGGATAACACGCTGACACCATCCAGACGCAGTGGATATCAGCCCCAGTGGGGCAAGTACCAGGAAAATGTCCCCGGAAACGCCGTCGCCAGCCAACATGCCTGTTTCCAAAGCCAGCTTACAACATAGCTAGCTGCCGTTGGCTGCCTCATCTACGTTACCACACTACACGAGCTACAAATATCCCGCGGCAAAGTTTAGATGACCAACAAACTAATTTATCCGAAGCACTCATTTCCTCTACCTTCTACCATACATCCCCACACATCCACCAAACAAATCCACATGGCACTATATGCCAACTATTTACGGAGTAGAACGCAAAGCATTCGCTAGATATCTAGCAGGTTCCATATGTCGCAGATCTACCTAGGTAGGGCTAAAAATAACGCCTTTCCATATCTTGGAACTGAATGACCCCACATCCAATTCCCATGGGACAACGTGGCTTCCAGAATTTTCATCGAAGGGCTGTTTCAACCCACTTCGGCAATCCAGTAACCAGAGTCACAAGCCCTGACATGCTAGGGTCCAATCCACACGAATTCGAACACGAGGAAATTTTTTTTTTCTTTTCACCCTTCGCGTATTTGGTGTTTATTTGGAACATACGACGGGTCGCTCGGGAGCCGTTGCCAGCAAATCCTGGGACGCGTGTCTTGGCGGTTTGACCTTGAACTCTACCTAGGGCTTGTCCACGATAGTGGCTGGTGGATAGGCGTATCGTCTCCCGAGGTCGAAACCTGTCGTAGAGGTGGATCCCTTTTTACGGGTTATGTTGCTGTCGCAACAAGTGGTATTACTGTAACGTGGCGTTCATAAATGATTCCTTCGTAGACAGTGCTGTAGATGGTATTTGTTGGTATTTGTTGGTTTCTTGTGAATTTTGAACGCTGTCGTCTATTCTTAGAAGCGGCTCGGGGAATCCCTGTCGAAGGAATGCATTGCTTGCTTGCATTCAGCCTCTTTTTAAGTTTGGGGCATAAGCCGAAGCACACAAATAATAACAACATGCTACATCGCCAAGCTGTTTGCTTCGAATATTATGTGTCAACATCCTTTTGTGGTGCTTACTCCGGACGTCGTAGATTAGATTTCTACATTTCATATTAGGCAGGCAACAAGCGGTCAGAGAGGCTGTCGCGGTCATGTTCGTTCTTAGATCTCAGATACATTGGTGGAACTACTTGCTAGGTGGAATGCGGATTCAAAGGTCCGTTGCTTCATTGTCGCTCGGAGCGCTCTATGTATCGGTCTTCTCCTCGTTTTGTGTTCACTCCTTCATATTCATGGGGATAGATACCGTCTAAATCAGATATTCAGACACCCGCGGGCCTCCACCAGTAGGCAAATCACAAAGCAGAGTGTCCAAATTACCTGCAAACAATTCAATCGTGCTACAAAGGCGGCCCAGAAGATAGAGAGCGCGTGGCTCAGACATGATCGCCGAGGAGATACAAACCTCCACAGTGAGGCGATCTGGCATAGGATATGTAAAGACGAAAAGCTCTTTATGAGTTGTAAAGTTGTGCTCCACAGAGTAAGAACTCTCCAGGCCGTCAAGGGGAAGTCTGTAATCATAGTCAAAGTTCTGGTGCTGCACAATGGACTGATGTTCCGTTCCTTTCGGCCAGGAGGTGCTGTGTTCTACCATATCCGACCACTGAACGGTGTCATGACGCAGACTTTGGCTATGCTGATCCTGGAGCTTTTGGAGCAGGTCGCGCACCTTCCAGGTAGAGTGTTGCATTTGAACTCGAACAGGGATGAAATTCAGACAGCATCCCAGGATACGATCGGCATCTTTCAGTGGGAGACCTCGGCCATTGACTGTCTGCACAAAAGTGATATCTTCTTGGCTTGTGGTTTCCCACAAGACGTATGCCCAGGCGGCCTTCACGAGAGAAGCCATGGTGATGCCCGCAGGCGGTTGTGGAGATGGAGTCACGTCTTGGCTCGTCCACAGGAGACGGGCCTCTTTTTCAGTGTCACCCGGAAGAGTTGGGATGGGAGTCAGAGTTGAACCCTTGAGTAGGTCGCTCCAGAATTTCAAGGTATTTTCTCGTGGCTGCTGTGCCCGTTTTCGGAGGAAGTCTGAAAAATCTGTCGATGATGTGACAGACTGGCCATTGTAGGCGAGAGCAATGTCGTTGTACAATACGGAGAGTGACAGGGCATCCCACTGAGCATGCATCAACCGAATCATGAATTCATGCCGCTGGCCGTCTTGGTTTGAGAGTAAAATGAACTGAGTGGGCACGCTTGGAAGAATGTCGATATTGGTAGAGCTAGCCGCCCATAGAGACGACTTAAATTCGGCCAAATTAGTAATACCTTCGTAATTATGGAAGGGAAGCTTCATCCCAGTGAGAATGGTTTGGATTGCTTGGTCTTCATTGTAAGTGAAGAGGGTGCGAAGGATGCTATGCTTGTCAAAGACAGTGCTGCATGCGGCTTTAAGGCGTACGACATCCACCTGACCGGTCAAGGTGAAGTTGTAAAAGTGGGTAGTCCGTCGTGTCAGGAAGAAAGACTGCCCCGCCGTCGCAGGGAAGATGTCCAACACCTTAGAGTCGGTAGGTGCAATACCAAGGGCACGAAGGCAGTGAATGTACAGCTTGGGATTGGAAACTGGCGAGAGACTAAACGGAGTAATCTGTTCAGTCTCGACATGGCGCTGCTCGGTGGCGAGGCGAGCCAAGTCGCAGAGACGTGGATGGTCGAAGATATCGGCAACCGAGATATTCAAGCCATGATCGCGAGCCATTGGCGCCGCTTTCATGGCAGTGATTGAATCACCTCCCAATCGGAAGAATTGGTCTGTAGCGCTAATACTTGACAGCGGAAGCCTAATCAACTTGCCCCAGACAGATTGGAGGATGCGTTCAGCATCCGTCAATGGTTCTTGAGCTTGGCTATTGGGGGCTTCTGATCGGAAGGAGAGGATCTCCTCGTGGGACAATGCAGCGGCTGTCTCCCGTAGGCGTCGACGGTCCGCCTTTCCACTAGGACTGCGAGGCATGAACGTCAAAGGAAGAAACACGGAGGGAACCATGTAGCCTGGTAGAACCTGGCTTAGTTCTGACTGCACTTCGGCTGCCTTTGCATTAAACTCGTCATTACCAAAATAGAAAAGAGAAGTAGGCTCATCTGGATCCTGGGTTGTAGCCTTTGTTGACGGGCATGAGACGAACGCAACCAGCGCCTTTGAGCCATTCAATTCAAAGACCTCAGCAATAACATCCGCAGCGCTGGGATAGAATTGAAGAACCCGTGTTTCGACCTCACTGAGTTCCATTCGTTGGCCACGAAGCTTCACTTGCGTGTCCTTGCGACCCACAAAAATCATGCTGCCATCTTCCGCGTATTTCACCAGATCACCAGTTTTGTACAGTCGTTTGGGAGAGCCTGATCGTAGTTTCTGAAGCCATGATGGCGGCGAGATGAACACCTCTGCTGTTTTGTTGGGTAGACCAAGGTACCCACGGGCGACAGCGTTGCTCTCAACCACTAGCTCTCCTGGCACACCAATAGGACTCAAATTTTCCGGATTGTCGGGATCCAAGACCCAGCAGGTTCCGCCACAGGAAAATCCAATGTTGCTGGGATCAGTTGAATCATTGAAAGAATCCTGGATGGCGGCAACAACCGAACATTCAGCCGGACCGTAGCCACTGATTAAATGCAATCGATGAGCCCATTTCTGTACATCAACCTCCTGTATTCTCTCTCCACCAAGGACAAGAACCTCTAAAGACGATAAATGATCAGGGTCGATAGACCGCGCAAAGGAAGGGGTCAGCAGAGCATAGTTGGGCTGTAGAGTCTCAACAGCGTCGGCCAGCCCTTCAAAGCGTTGCGCGTCAGAGGGCACGCACACGCAACCACCAACCATCAAGATGCTGAGGTGTTCAATAATACTCACATCAAAAGCGTATGCTGAAAACTGGAGAACCCGAGTAAAACGCGTTAGTCTAAAGAGTGGGATGTGGGCTAACGCCGATGTTACGTAGCAATTATGCTCAATGACCACGCCCTTGGGTTTGCCAGTCGATCCCGAGGTAAAAACAGCATAAAGTGCGCGGTTTGGATCGTTCGAGTAACTATGCAACTCGCTCGTCTGCCTCTTATCAGTGCACTGGCGGTGATGATCGCCAACTGTGACTGTTTGGGAGCATAGCTCGCTACCAAGGGCAGTGTTCTTCTCAGACGCCACCAGAACTGAAGAGCCAAGCTGTTCGCAGATGTCCTGCAAACGAGCCGTGGGGTGAGAGGGGTCCAGCAAAACGAATGCACCGCCAGCTTTCATCACTGCTAGGATGGCTACTGTCGTCCATCGCGACTTTTCGAAATAAAGTGGCACGAACGTTCCCACACTGACTCCTTTCGTGATGAGAAGATCGGCCAAGCTGGATGACAGCTCATCCAATTCTGCGTAGGTGAACGTACCATCCCAGGCGCAAACTGCTAGAGTGGTTGGATATTCGAGACATTTCTCCACAATCAAGCAGTGAACACAGCCGTCCGCGCTCGAAACCATCGGGCGGCTATTCCATCGCATAATTTGCTCATAATCACGCCGACTGACATTCGGAACATCTCGCAGTAGACGGCCTTCCTGCTTTTGCAGAAGTTCGAAGGTCTCCTCAAAGTAGGAGAGAGCCCGATCAGTCTGCTCTGGCGAGATGATTTTCGGGTCGAAGCTCGCTTGGACTGAAACTCGACTGTCCTTGGACAAAGTACATGTGAGTAGCAGAGGGTACGACGTGAAAGCAGTCCATCCTGTCACAGATCTCGAAAGTTCCAGCAGACTAGAATGTGCTGGGTTGGCTTCAGCAACTTGCTGAACAACAAGCAGAGTCTGGAATTGTGTTGCTATGGCCGCAGCAGGGCCACACCGGCCGATGTTTAGGATACCTGTCTGCTCGTGTGGAATAGCCGCGGCTCGCACATCTTGTGTCATTTGCAGGAGATCCGATAAAGTCTGATCGTGACTCATCCGAAGGCGAAGAGGAATAGTTGCGATCGTGGGACCGGTCATATGCTGGACCCCGGGCAGGGAGGCTGAGCGGCCAGAGATGGTAACGCCAAACACAACGTCCTCGCTGCGTTGATACCGTGACTGAACAATCGCCCATGCGAGATACATCTTGGTTGTGAATGTGGCATTGCTCCGCCCAGCAGCAACGGAGCCGAGCTGCCACTGCCTCTCAAGAACCATAGACGGTACTGGCCGATAGTCCGGAGCGGGTAGATCTGGGAATGGTGTGCCGTCATAACCAGCCAGCGCCTCTTTCCAAAACTCAACGTAGCTGTCGGATTTCTCTTGGATATATCTGATCAAAGGACTGAATGGCCGAGAGACGAGATCAGCCTGGCCCTGATAAGCAGCATGAACATCTCGTAGAAGGTGGCTTAAGGAAATTTGATCGTAGCTTGCATGGTGCATGGTAATCACTAGTCGAGGCGAATCATTCTTTTGCGCTGGACAGGCGACTAGATCTGGTTGGAATTGCCTGGAAGTCATCTGGGCCCGGATATTCTCAAGGTAATCCTCATTGATAGCATTGCATACTCTCCAGGGCATGGAAATTCTGCAAACTACCTGGTACAATCGATTATCAGCAGCTTGAGCCATACGCGTACGCAGAATTGGATGCGCTTGAGCAACGCGATCCCACGCGACACGCAGCCTTTCCAAATCAACTCCGTCAGGCAGTCGATAGATCCATTGTCCGATATATGCCTCCGGGTCCCGCGCCGTAAGGGCCAGGAGACCTTCCTGTAGAGGGGTACAGGGATAGATGTCTTCGATTTGGTTCTGCGGGATGTGACACTGCTCAACAGCTATACGAATCACAGCATCTTTGTCATGCAGAAGTGAATATGGCGGAGGAACCGCTGATGAGGTTACTTTTGAGCTTTCTCGCAGGTGTTCTGCTTGCTTTTCCAGGGTTGGATGGGAAAATATTTCAGAGACAGTAATGTCAAGAGCATGCTCTCGACAAGAACCAACGAGATCAACGGCACTCAAGGAGTCTCCACCGAGGCGGAAGAAATTATCGTCGAGACCCACGGAGTCATCACTGATACCCAGGATGGAGGCCCAAAGTTTGCACAGGATCTTCTCACTGCTTGTCACTGGTGAACGTTTGGCCTGACTTTCCTCTCGGTGGAGTTGCAACTCTTCCATCGACAATTTCTCTGTTGCGTCACACAAAGGCGCACGATTGATCTTGCTGGTTGCACTAAGAGGAATCTCCCGTACAGCCAGGAACAAAGTCGGAATCATCGCAGGTGGAAGAAGTCTCTCAAGTCCCTGTTTCACCTCATGAACTTGTGTCTTGAATGCCTCTGTCGAGGGCAATATCAAGTCGACGCCTGGTAATTTGGCACCCTGATCCGGCCCAATGAAGGCGACAAGGGAAGGGGTCTTCTTGGGCCCCAAACCGACCAGACCGACTATCGGTTCGCCCGTGAAGGACCACTGATGTTGAACATATTTTTCGACTTCTTCGATCTCAATCCTCTGGCCTCGGATCTTTACCTGGAGGTCTTGTCTCCCGACAAAGTCTAAGGATCCATCGTTGCGCCAACGGACCAAGTCGCCTGTTCTGTAAACTGCCCCGGTGTCCTTGTTGGCAGGACCAAAAGCGCGCAACCATCCCGGTTGCGGAATAAAGGATTGTGCTGTTCGTTCCGGATCCCTCAGATACCCCTGGCCAACAATTGGTCCTTCAATAATAAGTTCACCCACTACTCCAATCGGTGCTAAGCGCTGCGGATCGTGTGTATTCACCACCCAGCATCGACAACCCAGTGGGAACCCAATTGACTTGCTGCCAAGATCGTTGGGTCGTGAGTCTCGTCCTGTGGCAGTAACTGAGCACTCGGCCGGGCCGTACGAATGGACTACCCGGTATGTAAGCTGGTTTAACCAACTGGCATCTGTCCTTCGTATAGATTCTCCGCCAAGCATGAGACAACGGAGTGATTTCAATTGGGACAGGTCGATGGTGCGAGCAGCCGGAGGTGTGAGGTACAGATGTGTGATCTGAAGCCGGTTGGCCGTGTCGACAAACTCATCGCGCAACTGCTTCTGGGATGGAATGCAGACGCATCCCCCGGCTAGAAGGGTGCTCAGAATCTCCGTCATGGTGATATCAAATGCATGGGAGGCATTCTGGAAGAAACGGGAGGTACTTCCTACTTGAAGGATGGAGTTTTGTGCGAAGGCACTCGCGCAGAATGCCCGGTGGTCAATAACCACGCCTTTGGGCTTTCCAGTAGAACCTGATGTGAACACCACATATAGAATTTCTTGGCCACCAGCAACACCGTTTGGGAGTTCATTCAGCTCCCCAGATGAACCCTCGCAGCCCTGCTCTGCATCTACCAACAGAAGCTGTTGGTCAATCGTGGCGGCCTGGTTGTGGAGGAGAGAGGATGAGATCAGGATCTGGCTTTGCAGCGATGTGCATATAACCTGGAGCCGCTCAATGGGAAGAGTAGGATCGAGCAGGGTGAATGCTGAAGAGATCTTAATCGTGGCCCATATAGCTACTGGTGTCCATTTCGTCTTGCCCAAAAGAATAGGAATAAAACCGTGGGGTGTTGCACCCTGGCTGATCAGTCGTTTCGCTAAGAAGGAAGACTGCACGTCTAGCTCCCGATACGTCAAGTCACCATCCCAGGCTGAGACAGCCAGCTCATTGGGTTGCCGACTGACATGAAGGTGCAAGATTTCCCCAACGGAGTCGACCGGTGGTAGGGGAGTCGTCCGCGCATTCCACCGCTCAAGAAGCTTCATGTCGCGATCTGTGACTACAGAAATGTCATGAATCTTGTGATGCGGATAGCAGACTGCTTGATGTAGGACATGTTGTAGCTGATCCAGCAGTTGCGAAACAGTCTCGGTGGGAATGACGTGTTCGTCAAAATTGGCCTCAAACCGAATCTCTCGAGGGTGTCTCCCAAGCCAGCACGTGAGAGTCAGGGCGCTAGAGGAAAATCCTCCAGTTCTGGCGGAATCGGCATCGTAATTAGTCCACAGACTTTGGGAAGGAGGCTCCCAGTATGGCTGCACGACCATGTAATGGTTGGTTTTGCAGGCTGCCGCCATTGCCTTGTCCTCATCCTGAGATAAAGTTTGCATGCCCACTTGCTCGTTAGGAATCATTGCCAGAAACTGCTTGCCAAGCCGAGTGAGTGCTTGATCAATCTGCTCCTCTCGTCGCAGTTGGATGCGCAGCGAGACGTTTGCAATGGTTGGTCCTGTCATCTCCTCAATTCCAGAAAGAGCCATGCCTCGTCCCGACACGATCGTACCGAATAGAACATCATCGTGCGAGGTATGGGCTGCAATGACAATGGCCCAAGCCAAGCGAAGCAAGTTAGATGCCGTTGCTCCTTGTGGAATCGGGGCTGGAAGGGTCGTTGATTGCTCCAGTCGGCTGTCCGGCAAGGGGCGGTATCCTGTTGGAAGAGAAGGAAAGGCCACCGCATCTACGCTTGCCAATTGCTCCCGCCAATACTGACGGACCCGGCTATCCTTGCGTTGGATAGACGTTTCTGTCACAAAGGAAGCGAACGATGGTGGGGGATGAATACGTTGTCGGCAGTAAGCCCTTTCAACATGACGCATGATGTTGGTCATTGACCATCGGTCACAGATGGCATGGTGAATAGTGATAACAAAAGTGGAGCGGCCATCGGTCTCTGTTCGGATTTTAGCGGTGACCAGTTCGTCCCCAGGAAGGATTGCACGAGTGCCTAGTGTCTCTTTGGACGCAGGGAATGACGCGTATTGAACCGCGTGGGGATTGAGAATCACCTGCATCGTCCTATTACCCTCGGCATTGGCAATACGTGATCGTAAGATGGGGTTTGCGTCAACCGTCTGTTGCCAGGCTGTCTTCAGACGGTCAATCTCCACGTCTGGTTGAAGCTGATAGTGGAATACGGCCAGCGCAAGGCCTGCATCGATACTAGACAGAGTCATAAGGCTCTCTTGCATCGGCGTACATGGATACATGTCCTCGACATTTTCTGGAACCTCGCCGCATTGATTTGCTGCATGACTGATGTTCCGTTTAAGCTCTGCTTCGCTCATTCCCTCTTGCCGGAGAAGATGGAAGGGCGGGGAGAACATGGTAGAAGATTGAGATATACCAACCCGCTCTTCTACCACGCGCGCAAGATCAGCGAGTATAGGGTTAGAAACCACGTCAATGACCTGTAGTTGAACAAGGTTACGACGGGCCGTACCAACCAGTTTCATAGCCAACGCCGAGTCGCCTCCCGAGGTGAAAAAGTCGTCGCTCATTCCCACATGCTCAGGTGCGATCTTTAAGACTTGAGTGACCCAAGTATGAACGAGAACCTCAGCATCCGTTTCTGGGCCAATGATTGGTTTTCTTTCTTGCGTGAGTAACGTCCACCATGCCCGATCCCGTTGTCGAATCATGTCCCGAAGCTGGCGACGATTCACCTTGCCCGAAGTAGTGACGGGTAGATGTCGCAAAGGTAGAAAGAGCTGCGGAACCATGTACGATGGCAATGCCTTGCCGATTTTCACGGGAATATCTTTGATAGTGGAACGTAGGAGGTCATTAGCAACCGTAAACCACCCGTCCTCTGGACCTGTCGTTTGGGGAGGCGAAGACTTGTCACCATTAAGCTGCAAGGAACCTGCAGGATAGAGGAAGGCAGCTAGCGTCGGCTGGCTATCAGAACCCTTGGGCTGAACGATTTCAACAACAATTCTCTTCAAATCCGGAGCGCTTTGGGCAATATGATACTCGACCTCCTCCAGTTCAATGCGTTGTGCGCGCAGTTTGACCTGTGTTCCTCTACGGCACAGATACTCAAGACTCCCATCAGAGCGGTAACGCACAATATCACCAGTCTTGTATAGTTTTTGGGGCTCATTGTAATCTTGGTTCAGCGCTTCGTACCACTGGGGAGGGGCGATAAAACACTCAGCCGTGCGCTGCGGTTCATTAAGATATCCCAGCGCCAAACTGGGACCCTCTACCAACAACTCTGCTTCAGCGCCGATTGGAGCCAAAACGTGAGCATTGCCTGGACTCACTAACCAGAGCCGTCCACCCGCGCAATGTCCGATGGTCGCATGGGGCTCGGATGGTTTAATCTGTTTTGACACGGCGCAAATTCCAGCCCATTCTGTGAGCCCATAAGCTTGGAATAAACCAAGTGAAGACGCCCAGACATCAGCTTGGGCCTTTGGAAGAGGCTCCCCGGCAATAACTAGGGTGCGGAGCGCCGGTACGTTGGCAGGCTGCAAAACCTGCGTAGTGGTGGGAGTCATAAGGGCCCAGTTGACCTCCATCTCCCGCATCACGGCAGCTAAGCGATTGTTTCGATCTTTCTCCGATGGAATGCAGAGCGTTCCACCACAGCTCAATGTACACCATATCTCGATAAGGGAGATACCAAAGGTCATTGACGCGAATTGGAGAGTGCGGCTGGTTGAATCAATTTGCAAAGGCGAGGAATGGTTGGCAATGCTCGTAAAAGCTGCATGGCTCATCAAGCAACCGCGAGGTGCTCCTGTACTGCCCGAGGTGAAAAGGCAGTAGGCCGTATCGGTGGCCCCGACTCTCGGCGCGTGATAAGAAGCAGCATCATGGGTGATGTTGTCGATATATCTCTTTGAAATGGTCACATGGATAGGAACGAGGCTTTTCAAGACAGTTTCGTGATGGGTGGAGTCAACCAGCACAATTGACACTTCCGTTTGCTGAAGGATGGCTTTGATGCGAGCTTCCGGATGGGTCGGTTCGAGAGGAACGAAGCCACATCCAGCCTTGTTGATGGCCAGAAGGGCAACAACAGCCCAGGCGGACTTTCCGAAGCAAGTTGCCACCAGGGCACCTGGACCAAGCCCTCGGCTTTGTAGATCCAAGGATAATCGTGAGGACAACATGTCGAGCTCGGCGTACGTTAATCTCTCATCCCAGGCATTGATAGCTACATGGGCGGACCGATGGATAGAGTGTTGGTGAATGAGAGTGTGGATCATGGTGGTTGAAGGCCTGGATACGGGGTTGGCGTTCCATTGCTGAATTTGCTGAAAGTGGGCAGGATATTGCAGGGTCGATATCTCTTTGAGCGTCAGGTGTTGGTTTTCAATGACAGATTCGACAGCACAACTGACGGCCTCCTTTAGAAACACAGCGTATCTTCGGGAGAGGGCACAGAGACGATATTCCAATCTCAGGCGGGGGCATTGTGCGGATCGTTCGAATGCCAATTGGATATCGCATGAGGGAGGTAGTGAAGTTCCATCTGGTAGACTGGTTTCGGTAATCCAGATGCCTGTATTATAGTCCATTGACGAGGGTGAGGGGCAAGGAACCACTTCCCACCCATCGGCTTCATTCAATGTCTGAACCAAGGCTGTGGGCGTTTCCTTTAATCGTATCACGTACTGTACGCCGTAGTCCGAGGCCTGGGCGTCTGAACTCGTGAATCCCATAACATGTCGATCAGAGTCTGTGTATTGTCCAAGGATAACAGCCCAAATGGTTGCAAGGCAGGATTTAACAGGGGCTTGTGTACTTTGGCAGTGAAGAATGAGCCTTTCCACGGCAGCCCCGTCAATGTCCACAGATTCTTGTGCGTGTCGAGGATGGGAAACACCATCATTGAGAGCGGGAAATAAGCAAGAGTCAGCCATTGAGCAAAGGATGGTTGAGAGTCGATTTTTTTTTTCGCAGGCACTGGGATATAAGAGATTGAAGTAGAATACATGTGCAATATTAAACCTAACATCTTATAATCTACACTTTTTTTGGTTGCGTAGTATGTAAAAACTAGGGTTAGTGTTGGATAGGTCTTCTGCAATATTTGGTACACTGCTTTCGTTGAGAACGTAAGGGCATGGATAGAAAAAAAGAAGACGTAGTACGCATGATGCACTACTACATACAGAATTGGTAGTATGGTCGTACATGTATGTCTCTTAAGTAAATAGACACCGATTAGATGAAAAATTCCTTTTTCATGGTGTTATATCTTTGCATACGTAGCATTTTCAAATACTGTGCCGTACCCATCGTAGGCAAGGGTTGTCACTACCTAGCCATACGAACAAAGACATGCCCAATCAAAATACAGTAAAATCATCTCTTTCGAGTCTATTGACAATAGGTATATGAATTCCTTGATCTTATTGGCAGGTTCAGCTCAGTATTAAGCCTTGGCAAGGACCATTACGGGCATGTTAGGAGAGGTGGTCTACGTGGTCGACGTCGAAGTGCATGGGTGCAATGTGAGATGTGAAGTGTTGAGAAAGTTAAGCTACAGAATAAGAAAGAGACTAAGGAAATCTGACAGAAATCTGACGTATTGAAATGTATGCACCTCAGGGCTGATATGGAGAACTCTGATTTTTCTAAAATGACAAAACCCGCTATTTCAGCAATCTGTGCGGTAATGATGACTAATGGTAATATGCACTTTTAGTATGGTATATCCAGTACTCGAAGTCACGTGATCTCCATGGCATAATACCATGTAAATCCATGTATGCAACCCTGCACTTTGACAAAATCTAACAGGGCAACTAAGTATGTTGTATGCCACCGGACAACCCTCTCATTAGATACAACCTGACCGCCATTCTCACCGCTCCCTCCCTCGAAGCATGCATGTTAAGTTTAATCTGTAGACTAATTTCAACCTTTCTTTTATTTCTTATGCATATATACATTAATCATTCTAATTGTTAGAGTCTACAGTATAGATGAGATTATGAAGACATACAAAATAATATAAAGGTAATGGAGGAAAGGAGATTAGAGATTACTAGACTACTAGTTATTATGGAAGGCATAGACTATCAGGTACCGAGGTAGCCATACGTACTCCGTACATGGATGTGACTAATGAGAGATCTCACATGCAGTTAATCTTGAACCTTATAAAATCTTCTTTTTCCATTTCGGTCAATTCTGATACACTATACGCCATATATTTCAATTTAACATTTAATATGATATATTTTGATTTGATATATTTGTTGTGATAGTAAGATAAAGAACTTAAAGCTCGCTTTTACTATCGGTCTGTTAACCTCTGGTGGTTCGATATTATAAATTTCATATGTATCGAGAGAAATACCCATACCTATACTGATCCTTTCTTTAAGTTTAGTTGATTGTCCTTAGGCCTTCATGTTTATGCCTTAGACATCAACCCCTTAGGTAGTTAGTCGGCATATCGTACCTCTCTCTCCCTCCACATTTTCTAGGCCTAACTTTGTATGGCATATAGATAGCCATATAAACCTAGTCAACTTCGGCATTAAGATTTACGGAGCAATTTATGGATACTCCCTATAGTTAACTACCTAGGTAGTTAATTAGTTTTTGTATAGTCAGAGTGGATCTAAAATACTGCCAGACAATAGAAACCAATGAGATAGTTATGCCCGGGTGGCCTTGCGTAACCTATGCTTCCAAGAGCGAACCTGTAGGGTCTCTACTCAAATTCAACCCCTAAATACGGCCCTTTATTGGCACTCAGCCGAAATTCAAGCGCTCGGTCCCTTTCGAATAATTTTGTTGAGACCGTTTACTTGGTCGAGGCCCGAGGGAGAACTAATAAGTGATTTTGTGAGATTTAACAGACATTTGTCTCTTTATATCGCAGAATCGCTTGAAGTGCATCTCGGATCAGATAATCAATTAAATTCTGGGACTCAAAAAGGATCCTTGGGCTATGGTATCTAAAGGCTCGCAGTCGACAACTTCTAGTACACGAGGGGGAAATCTCTGGTTGTTGATGTGGAGCAGCTCGATGGTGAATTCTCATGTCAGTTGTTCAATATAGACGCCATACCTTTCTTCCTAGAGCCGGATTATCTGTACTAAAGAAGCCCCGGCCTCTGATGAATGGCTTTTATAGAAGCGGTCGAATTCCTTTATGTGGTATAGTAGTATCTTATAGACATCCGTCCCGCATTTCGAACATGCAGGAGAACCCGCGCATGATCAGGTTTTCAAAGAATGATCCCACGGTGGAACTTAAGACAGAGCAATCTCACAATATAATAATATAGACACGAATATAAATATGTCGGCATTCTTTAGCGGATATACGGATATACAGATGTACCCATCTCTAGTAGCCTAATGGAATATATTGAGATATTAGGTAGGGAGGCTTCACTACAAAGAATCCACCGAGCCATTGAACTTATTTTACTATCGCGATATCAACTCTATACAACCTCTTGAGGCTAGCTCAATCTAATCATTTATAGGGAGACACCGAATTGCATATATGTAAGTATAGATACCCATCAAAATATCCTTCAGTTTACGGAATTTAAGAAGAAAATATATATATTCCTTGGTGAACATCCGCAAGATCTGTGGCTGACTCTCGGCACGGCCCGCGAAGGTTCCTCCCTAGGTAAAAGTCTCCACCTACCTAGGTATATAGTTTCCAAGGTTCCAAGGTTTCACCACAAATAGCGAGGGATTTGGCTGAAGCTGGATAGGGAGATCGACTTAGCAGTAAGTGCTAGTAGAAATAAGAGTTGGTATATATATCATACCAGGGCCTCTGGGTAGGAAGCGGGGAAGTTCAATTCTATATTTTGATTTTGAATCCTATAGGATATTTTATCATGTCAAGCAAAGTGAAATTTGTAACGGTTACTTGTCTATACAAGCTGAAAGGGGTGCCTTTCCAAGTACTCCTCGAAAGTGGAGAGCTTGCCCCGGGCGCTTGCAGCAGCTTCTGCAACCAATGCCTCCGAGCCAGGGCCGAAATATCCGTACTCATCCATGAAGCTGAATCCCTCGGCAAAAACATCCTGGAAGAAAGGCAATCCTGCCTTGAACTCCTCAGTAGAGACCTGTTTATAGACGATGGGTTTGCCTGAACTCTTGGACAAGAGGGTCGTGATCTTCTCCACGGTGTATAGTTTTGTGGCAGCGTGGAGTCGCTTTCCCTGGTACTTCTTAGGTTCGGCAAGGATAGCGCCCACGAACTTGCCCGTGTCACCCACAGCATCCAATAAGGGGAACTGGGTCTGGGGAGAGGTATGGCGGGCTAGCACATAGGTACCATCGGGAGCCTGTGTGGGGGCCAAGAAAGTTTGCGCCTGGAGATTTTCCATGAACGAACCGAGTGAGACAAAAGCACTCTTGATAGGAAGAGTGCGAATATATTCCTCGGCAGCGGCCTTGGCATCGAAGGGAATGACCGCGCTGTATTTGCCCTTGGAGATATTGCGAATTGCTGGGAGAGTGCTCCAGATAAGATAATTGACACTTTGCTGAACAGCGACATCGGCGATCCGCTTAGCATTAGCTAGCTCGACTTGGAAAGCGTCGGCGCTAAGGTCAGGTGTGGTCATGGCAAAGACCGTATGCACACCGGTCAAGGCTGCCTCTAGCGAGACCGAGTCGGCCACGTCACCATCAACAACCTCGACATTCCCTTTCGCTTTCAATTGCTGCGCCTTCTCAGAGTTGACATCGCGGGTTATGGCCCGGATATTGTACTGTTGGAAAAGCTCTGGGTCGTTCAACACATGGTTCAGAACGGAGCTGCCTTGTTGGCCGGTGGCACCGAAAATAGCAAGAATCTTAGCCATTATGGGGTTTTGAGGGGGGAACTGAAAGTTGAATAAGGCAAGGAACTGGTAGAGTGGCTTCAAAAGTATGGTAGGACGCGAGTATTTAAGGAATTGCTTGAATTAACAATGGAACGAAAAAGAACGAAGGTAACAGGATGGTTTGAAATCAGTTTAACTACTCAGCAACATGCTGAAGAGCGGGAAGCGCTACGTAGATTATCAATTCGGTTCTAACTCTTCTAAGGCAAAGTAGATGCTGTAGCGTCAAAACATGGAGGTCAAACCGCTATTAACAGCCGCAGTTGTTAATCCCTCTGGCAATACTATTGGCTTAAGATTTATCAACTTGTCACGTCAGCGATCTATTCGATTCTACCTCAAACACTCAAACATGGGGGCCATATCGTACAGGTGGACGGAGATGTCCATGTGAAGTTGGGAAATAAGGAAGTCACCTGCCCTGGCAGTTTCTGCCCGCTTCTACATCCCTCGATTCTCGTACCCCTGTACCCCCTGGAGACTTAACTACCTGACCAAGCCATGGATGACTCAAAGCCAGTTGATCGGAGATTCACTAAGGCACTGCCGAAGATTGAGGTATGATCGACGTCTCATAATGTTTGGGTTTTCTGACTGGATCACACTGCAGCTGCACGCTCATCTCAGTGGGAGCATCAGTCGCCAATGCTTGCATGAGATCTGGAAACGCAAAAAGAAGCAGAATCCCAATCTCGATGTAGAAGATCCGCTGGTGCTAATGCCTCCAGGCAAGGTCGATTATACACTGGAAACGTAGGTGTCTGTGTCTACACCCGACAATGCTGCAAAATCATCACTTTCCAATCTAATGACGGCTTAGGTTCTTCTCAACCTTTTCCAAGTTGACCTACCAGCTCTGCAACGACCAAGATAGCTTGGTATATGCCACCAACTCAGTCCTCGAGGACTTTCTTGGAGATGGAGTAGTGTACCTCGAGCTACGGACCATACCAAGAGCATCTCCCGGCATTACTCAAGAACAATACATCAACTCAGTCCTGGATACAACCGAAAAATTCCGAAGCAAGACTAAACGGATGTCTGTGTTTTTAATTTTAGCCATCGATCGCGGCAGCATGACAGCAGCAGAGGCGGACGAGATCGTCAATCTTGCGATCGAAAACAAGCCGCGCGGGGTTGTGGGTGTGGATATTTGTGGCAACCCAACCAAAGGCGATGTCAGCATTTACAAAGAACCATTTGCCAAAGCCAAAGCCAATGGGCTAGGAATCACCCTTCATTTTGCTGAGACCATAGCCTCAGCTTCCGCGAGCGAGCTATCGACCCTTCTTTCTTTCCAGCCTGACCGACTGGGCCATGTCATCCATGTGCCCGATGAGATCAAGAAGGAGATTGCACGGCGCAAGCTCAGCCTAGAGCTGTGCATTTCTTGCAATGTCCATGCGAAGATGATTAATGGGGGGTTCTTGGATCACCATTTCGGTTATTGGCGACACGAAGACTGCCCGATCGCACTATGTGTAAGTTATTTCAACCAAGATGGAGACATATTCTCGGTCTCTGACTTGATTTTCACAGACCGACGATGTGGGATTTTTCTGTAGCCCTGTCTCCAATGAGTACTTATTGGCCGCACAGCATTTTGGCTTGAGCCGTACTGATCTCCTGGAGATGTGCATCAAGTCTGCAGAGGGAATTTTTGCTGGTGAGTACTACAAAGGGAGAATTCAAGGTATGCTCGAAGTATTTGCTACTCGGTTTGACTCTGCATGAGGGGTTGGAGCCGTATGGGATTTTTGAACAACGTTCTTTGTCCTTACCTGAAGAAGGTGTCTATGAATATTCATAGAGTGCAATCAATCTACAGCCCTTAATCTCATATCCTAAAGGGGTTCCCTTACTTTGACCAGTTGACGCTATACCTGATTAGGTACCCGATAAAAGGAGAGAGTTGTGTGTGCAGATGGCACAATCTCAGCCTCAGAAATTCGAATACTCTAAAACCTCAATTAAGTGCCCGCTTGAATTTTTCCTTAAATTTCCAAGGTTATATATAGTTACTTCGTTTAAAACTCAATGTTGGGAGTCTTTGCATCTCATATAAGACGCGACAATCTCCCGAACTTCGCGTTTCAACTCGCGACCTCGAATTATCTTCTCGACTTCCCCTTTCAGTCGGACCTTCACTTATAAAACTCCAAGCTACAACACCATTATGGCAAACGGAGCTCTTCCACAGACTCTCAAGTCTATCACTGCCACAAAAATCAGTGAACTCTCAAAGCAACGCGCTCTATTTGATCTGCGCAAAACCGAAATTCTCGCAGTTGCCAAGGCAGCCCCAGACCTGCGCACCCATGCTCAGGCTTTGCTGGATGGAATATCACGCCTCAAGGGATTCCGCAAGGATTCACTCGACAAAGATGACGTAGATTTAGATGCTGATTCCTTTGATGAGGAATCAGAAGACAAACTCACTTCACGAGGAGTCGGTCGGTTGCAACCAGAAGATCATACCAACATCCGTCGCTTTCTTCTACAAAGTCGCCACGACCCTTCCATCTCCCAGGCAGCTCTACAGGATCGTATCGATCAGCTTGAAAAGGAGCTGCGGTATCTTGAGATAAAGCACGAGCACGGTGCTTTCTACAGCAATTTGGTCAAAGAGTGGTTGTCGGAATTGGATGGAAGCATTACTTCCACTGCGAATGAATCCCAAGCCACTGAATCCGACCCAACCTTCGAAAAAGTTGGGCGGGCAGAAATGCACGAGCAACGCGCGACTTGGGAGTCCTTGGTTTTTAATGCTGCGACCCATGTCAACGAAGACGCAATCCGGTCCTACCTCAATGGTCTTTTCACCCAAACCAAGCTTTCTCAACAGGCACTCAAGGATCTTCGATCGAATATCCAATCGTTTGGCACATATCTGATCTCAAAGGGCGAGTGGCTCGATGTCGACGAACTCAAATGGGTCTCTGCTGCACTGCTTAAGAGCGACATCCTCAGTGATGAAAAGACAACCGTTTTGAAAGAGTTCATGCGGAACGCCGAGGTTGCCCAGGAGGTGGCAGATGTGCTCAACATGCGCATTGCCTCGCTCGAGAGCTGGACATGGACGGGAGACGCCGATGGCATTTCGCTTGAAATGCGCCGTCAGCTCAACGGTAAATACCGGATTTTCATGGATGAAGACCTTCTTGATGCCCTTCTGCTACAGTATATCGGGACAAAATGGGCTGTCAAGCTTCGGGAGGTATTTGAGACATTCCTACGTTCCAACGCTTGGAAGACCTTGCAGGAAGATATCCCCGAAGAGCACAAGGAAATGCGCAAGTACTTCCTTGGCCGAGAAGCCAACTCAGACTCCGGCAAGATCAATGAGATTCGATGGAAGACATACACCGACCAATATTTCATGAGTCAACTCCCAGGTTCAACCGATGAAGGCGTACGGGAATACGATGCCGCAGAGTCCGACACAAAGAACGTCCTGGATGCAAAGCATTCCCTTCTACACCTCCTGATCACAGAGTCTATCATCCATAAGCATCAGCACGGAGACTTTACTGCAGTCCGGTCGGACTTTGAGTGGTTTGGCCCTTCAATGCCCCATGCCACCATGCTCACCGTGCTCAAGTTCTTTGGGGTCTCCGAGCTGTGGATCAAGTTTTTCGCAGTGTTTTTGGAAGCTCCACTCAAATTTGACCAAGATGGAGCTGATGCCTCTGTTCAAATCCGCAAGCGTGGCATTCCAATGAGTCATACGCTCGGTGACTGCTTCGGAGAAGCCGTTCTCTTCTGTATGGACTATGCAGTCAATCAGGCTACCGATGGCGCCTTCCTGTACCGGCTTCATGATGACTTTTGGTTCTGGGGCGCAGAGAACACTTGCATCAAGGCATGGCAGGCAATGGAGCAGTTTAGCCAGGTAATGGGTCTGAGGTTTAACGCGGAGAAGACTGGAACTGTGCAGATGGGCTTGAATGACACCCCAAAGGAATCTGCCCTTCCCACTGGTGACATCCGGTGGGGTTTCCTGGTTCTGGATGCGAAGAAAGAAAGGTTCATAATCGACCAGGCCCAGGTTGACCAGCATATCGAAGAGCTTCAACGACAACTTTCATCCTGCAAAAGTGTGTTCGCTTGGGTACAGGCATGGAACAGCTATTTCGGCCGCTTCTTTACAAACAACTTTGCAAAGCCAGCCACTTGCTTCGGTAGGGACCATATTGACATGGCAATTGCTACCCTGAGTCGCATCGAACGCACACTCTTCAACAAAAGCTCAGGTGATAAAAGTCCATCTGATCAAATCAGCGGTGTCACCGACCATCTACGCACCGTGATCGCAGAGCGATTCGATATCCACGATCTCCCTGATGGATTCTTCTATTATCCCATTGAACTCGGCGGCTTGGGTCTTCTCAATCCCTTTATTACACTACTCGCCATGCGTGAAAACATCAAACAGACCCCCCGCAAGCTACTGCACAAGGCCTCTCTGAGTGATGAGAAAGAATATGAGGCAGCGAAGGAAAATTTCAAAAAGCACGGCTCTGATGTTGGCAGCCAATTTTTGAGCAAATGGGGCGGTGAATCCAAGTCATTCATGTCCCTGGAAGAGTACAACATGTATGCGGAAACATTCAGTCCTTCTCTTGTGGATGTGTACACGAAACTCACTGAGGTGCCGAGTGAGACGAGCCTGGCTCTGAGTTCGAGCTTTGAAAGGGAGCAAAATTCCCTTGATCACAGATCCTCTAAGGACTCCATCAATGCTTACTGGGAAACAATGACGCCGTACTGGAGATGGGTGGCGGAGTTGTATCATGAAGGGATGGTTCGTAATTACGGTAGCCTGGCTGCTGTGAATCGCGAGTTTATGCCTCTTGGTGTCGTGAAGACCCTGCGGGAGGGTAAATTCAGATGGCAGGGCTAATTGAAGATCGCGGATCTGAATCGCTTGACGGTTTCGTAGCTTCGTGGCTTATGGCCTTCGGATGTTTAGCATAACTAGATAGGACAAATAGAACAATCTACTTACTACTCTAAATATTGACATATGTAACCCCAGAGTAGCTCATATAAGGGCTCCATCCAAATGTATTTTCAATATTCAAGTTAGAGAATTGTCAGAATACTGTACCTCAAGTTTCCAAAAGCTGAATTACCCTCCGTCTCGCTCATATAAACACAGTTCTAGCACTTGGCTATAAGGTTTGGCACAGTCGGAGCAGTGCCTGGTTTTAAGATGTTCTTACCCTGTTACAATGCCCATGAGACTCTTTCCATCATCGCCGAAACACCTTTCGGCCCTGGTATCCATGGATACAGCCCTGATTTATCTCTCGATTGGGGAAAGTACCCTTTAACTATGACCTGATTTTACAACTCGACGCCGACTCTCAAGAAGGCTTAATGGCTTTTTGAATAATCTATATATACGGCCCTTGGATTCGTTTCTCTTTTTCTGAATTCTTACTTCTTCATCTATCTCCTTTGACTATTATATCATTCTGTTATCAGGTATCTGTTCAACTTACTTTGAGTATACCTCAACTGGTCTTCACTATACAGTATATCGACTACTTGATCGCCCCCTGGAGATAGTTACACCACCACCAACCTCAGCTCCAACCCTTTTTTAAGCTTTTCACATAAATAACCAAAGGCTATATACCATAGCACGATGACATCCGTGCATGCCTATTACGAACAGGCCGAGGTTTACAACTGGCTCGATGCCATTTCCGGGGACAACGGAAGCATCGACCCAAGGTAAGCATCTATATCTAGCTCTTTTCCATGATACGTTTATATTAACATACTTCACAGGACACTCGAAGTCCACCAGGTGGTCACCACCCACCACAACACCCACCACCCGGACCAACCATCTCAGTCCGAACAACACCAATCACCCCAGTCATCACACCGTTCCTCTCTCGACCTAGGAGCTCTAGCTCCACTAAAGCTGGAGCATGAACCTCCAGCGACGAGACTCCTCGGCAAGTCATCTCTTCATCGGCTGTACGATCGAATCGGCCAACACGACCCACGGCAGACATTCACCGAGTTCCGCAACGAAGTAGACTCGGCATCTCTAGCCACGACTGACACCGACTCGGAGTACGAAAGCTGTTTGCTCCCATTCTGTGGAGCCCTACCACCACAGTCCGGAGAATCCTCTGCAACCGCCTCTACTTCTCCATCACTGTCCCCCTCTCCGCCTACCAACCACGAACCCCAGTGGTTGCCTCTTGTGGTTGCACGAGTTGTATCGAGCAAGGCCCTCAAAGCATATCGGGCCTTGAAGAAGAAGTTTTCTCGGTGATTCTGAGAGAAGGGAATTGGTAACTACATGGTCTGTGTTGGACCATGTACCCCGTTCATATTATTGTCTGTTGTCGCTAGCACCCAACCAAATTGTCCCAGCAGGGAACACGGGAAGCGAACAGGGGGTACTCTTTCCAGCTGGTTGATTTATCCCAAAGGGTTTTAACCCGGTTGGTTTTAACGAGGCCCCAACTTATGTATATCACACCAATTTGTTTGTTTTGTATGGGAATGTTGATTTTGTCCCATGTTGATACCCTGTACGCTTTGGATTCTGTCGGGAAATAAATCCATTCCATGTTCCTCCATCTCAATTATGAAACTGTAGGAATGCCCATCTATTCGTAGATGGAGTTGTTGTTGAAGTTGGAAGTGTAGATGATCGGATTGTATAGATAGAAGGCGGTCGGCCCACCTGCCCCATGTTATCTCGGCAGAGTTGCCTCTCCACCATAAAGCCACCGTGAACAGCTGCGGCCACAGGGCATCATCAACAACACCTCCCCTCGACCCAATTCTTCCACAACAGTAACAGTCAACATGGATCCCTTTTCTGCAGAGGGCGGTAAGCCTCCCACATCCTTCTCCAGCTCCGATCGACGCTAATCCAGCTTCCTCGCAGAGCTCCTCAACATCCACAGCGCCTTCCACTCAGGACAATACCAGAATGTGATCGACTTCGAGACCGCCGCACTCTCCCCCCGAGAACCAACTCCCCGCTCAAGTCCTCAGACTCCGCGCCCAGATTGCCCTCGGCCAATTCGACGAAAGCCTCGCCGAACCCTCCATCGAAGAGGACAGCCCCGACCTGTCGGCCATCAGGGCCCTGGCCCTGCAGTCCTCCGGCAACACAGACGCTGCCCTGCAGCTTGCACAAGAACTCACCGAGAACTACCCCGAAAACAACACCGTGCAGGTCCTTGCTGCTACTGTGCTCCAGGCCCAGGGCCACAGCGAGGATGCGCTGACGCTGCTGTCCAAGCACCAGGGTAACCTCGAGGCGTAAGTTACCTTCGTCGCAAGAAGACTTCGATATAGCGGAGCATCTTAATTTGACACTCTATCTATATTTTAGCGTTTCCCTTATCGTCCAGATCCATCTCCAACAAAACCGGACCGATCTCGCCGTTAAGGAAGTTCAGGCTGCCAAGCGCTGGGGTCAGGATTCGTTGCTGGTCAACGTTGCCGAGTCGTGGGTTGGCTTGAGAGTTGTATGTTGATGAGAAACCTACAATCTATAATCCAATGGTGTATGAGTGCTGACTTGCGTGTTTCTGCTGTACAGGGCGGCGAGAGCTACCAGTCTGCTTTCTACGTCTTCGAGGAGCTTGCCTCCGCACCAGGTACCTCCGCACCGCTATCTATCGTCGGACAGGCTATCGCTGAGATCCACCTGGGTCGTCTCCCCGAGGCTGAGGCTGCCATCACCGCTGCTCTTGAGAAATACCCTACCGACGTGGAGTTGATTGCCAATAGCATTGTTTTGAATGTGTTGGCTAGCAAGCAGACTGAGGACCTGGAGTCGTATGTCGCCCCGTCGTGGCTCCGTTTAAACGAGTTAGTGAAATCGATGCTGACTTTATATCTCTCGTCTAGCCGGTTACAGCAGATCCAGCCCGCACACCCCCTTCTCGCTGATATCCAGGAAAAGAGCGAGTTCTTCGACACTGCGGCTGCTAAGTTCTCGGCCAAGGTCTCATCGTAGAATAATCTAAGTGCTGTCCCATTTATTTGTTGTTTTGTTTAATTCGAGTCAGGGGCAGCCTATCCTGTTTGTTTATGAAAAGACACGACCTATCTCAATCTTGCAATTGGTGCCATATTTGGATTCCTTATCTGTAATTTGGTATGAGACAATGGGAACAATAAGAACATGTTCCTATCCAACATATGCTTCTGCCCCAATACCATGTGGCAGCAAATAAATCACAGCCGAGCAGCCAACCACCCTCGCAACTCCGACCGAGTCTGAGTCTCCTCCTTAACCATAGTATAAAACGGCGCATTATGCACCTCATCAGCCCCAACAACAAAAGTAATATCCCCAAAAACCGACTTAATCTTTTTCACAAACTCCTGAATAGGCGAAAGCAAAATCTCATCCCCACCAGCAAGAACCAAAATCCTCTCCGTCTTAGCATCCCTCCACCACTCAGCCGGCGCATTAAACGGCTCATTCCAATTATCTGCCGGTCTATCCCCGCGGTAAGCATCAGACCACCTCGTCAAAACCGCCGGCGTGAGAATATCCTTCCACAGATTATCCTTCATCGACGGCCACTCCGTACTAAAGTTGATCCAGGGTGCATACGTAAAGACGCCCGCTAACGGCGCCGACAGTGTCAGCGGCTCGATCTCCGCGTGCGGGTGAGATACATGCAGCAGCGTCGCTGCAGTGAGGTTCCCGCCTGCGGAGTCTCCGCCGACAATCACGTTAGCCGGTGAGCGGCCCGTCTCGTTGATGATGTAGCGCAGGGCTTCGACGGCTTGGCGGAGCTGCGTTGGGTATTTTGCGTGTGGGGTTAGCGTGTACCGTAGGAAGAAGACGGCTAGATCGTGGCCGGTTTCGTTTAGGGCTTTTAGCATCTCGTGCCAGAACTCGAAGTAGGCTGGGATAGCGGGCATGGCGAAACCGCCGCCTGTTTTTGTTGGTTAATTTCTTTCTTTTTTGCTTGTATTTGTGGATATACGCAATGTTGTGATTTGGATGGGAATTTCCCCCGCGTGTTACACATATTACACAATCGAGATTGGGGACGCACCATGGTAATATACGATCACGTTCTTGGCGTTCTTGTTTCCGATCCAGTGGCCCTCTGTATTGTGTGGGAGTGTGACGGTATCGGGTTGAAGACCACGCTTCTTCATGATGGTTTCGTAGGATGCTGAAGTTGGGGGGAAGAGGTACCTGTGCGACAATATCAGGTCAATTGATTGTCCATTCTTATTCTTTTGCTTTCTTCGGATTTATATGTATAATAATTGGAGAGAGAGAGAACAACATACTGTGTCTGCCGATCCGACCTTCGATCAGAGAGTCTCCGAATCACAGCGGCCAGGATGTGGTGATCGTAGCGTTTGGGGCTGTCTTTACCCCGGAAAACACCAGTAATGGCAGCATACACTGTGCTAGCGTACATTGATAGATGTAGGAATGGGATATCTGCTTTTTCCCAGAAGCCAAGCTGGGGGACATTTTGATTGGACGACATTATAAGAGTGATTGAAGCTCTTAAGTGGAAAGGGGAGGTGAGTCTCGGCTTTATACCTACAACATAGGTAACCTGCTCAATCTCCCCCGCTCTTTGGATGGGGCATGCAGGAACTGGAGCCGCCGGCTGTTGATTGGTTGTGCTTCGATCCGATCCACATCGTGATATCCGAGGTCCCGCCGAGGTCTTCGAAGGTATTGCTTTAGGAAACTTAGCTCATCAATGGCATTTCAATGGGATTTTGTCTAGCTTGGGTATGATGGTATTAGGGATTCAACTTACTTTGGCATATAAAAACGAAATAACAGGAATATTCTATAAAAATTTAAACGACAAGACTTGGGCGGAGGCACATTGAACAGTTGACGAAGATATTATACCAATCTGATGTACACACCTCTGTCAATGCCTCTAGTATATCCGAGAATTTTGCTTGAAACAACGATGGCACTATAGGAGATAAACTTACGAGCCATAAGATATGTATACTGGTCGAAAGCATTAACAAACTGGATGAAGGGAATTCGAATCCAATCAATTCATTTGTGCAAAGGTCGGTTTCTTTGGAGGCCTTTTGGCACAATATGTCCGGGATATTAGGTGGTCGAAACTACAGCCTGAACACTTCCAAGTTTGTCTTTTGTCTTTTGTCATTGCATTGCGTTGTTTTCGTAATTTTCTTATTTTGTTATTTCACATCGGAACACCATCGTATGTCCCATGTGTACCTCATAGGTTTGCGCCAATCTCAGAACGGCGTGTTTCATCTTGACGCCACAGATTAGAATAATGACAACTTAGTTACCATTGACCTAGTTTTCCTCACCAGTCGGGGCCAATTCACAGAATGCCTTGTAGGTCGTAAAGACATCATCATCGCCCTCACCGCTGCCGGTGTTCTCAATCACACATTCAGCGGCAGCGCCGACGAAGAAAACGTAGCCCTCCTGGACCTCCTCGGTCTTATTGCCGACAGTGATCTTGCCCTTGCCGCGTGTGCAAATGAAGATACTGGGACCTTCGATCGGGTCGAAAGTGGCCTTGGCGCCGGTCCGGTTCAAGTCGGTCTTGATGACGCTGAACTCGTCGATAGGAGGGTCGTAGAGCATGGCGGACGAGGCGCTAGAGTAAGCAGTGGCGTTCAGGATGACATACGGGTAGTCTGTTGCCTGGATCTTCTGCTCCTCAATTGGTGCGTAGGAGTAAGTCAGCATCTGGGTGAGGGTATCAACGTCCTTGAATTTCGGAGTAAAACCGGCTCGCACAACATTATCAGATGACGCCATGCATTCGATGATATCACCGGAGATATAAGCGTGGATGTCATCTGCCTTCAGGAACATACCCTCGCCAGGCTGCAGCTTGACGAAGTTGAGGAAGAAAAAGATGAACAGGCCGATGTCGTTCGGGAACTGTCCGTCCAGACGCTTGGAAAGCGCAGCCAGCTCGGCGGGGTTGGTAGGGTTCGTCTCCACTTCACCTGCTAGGGTTGCAAAGCTATCGGGGCTGTTATCCGCAGCCGAGATAAGGGCCTTGCAGGCTGTCTCTATCTTCTCGGATGAAGACTCCATCAGAGTGGTGAAAAGGGATTGTAGCGCTTCCTTGTTCTTTTGGATGACGGCAGGATCCTCCGAGTCCTCGTTACCCTTAACAAGCTTCTCGAACTCACTCGCTGCCTGGTCACCAACAAGAGTGCGCAGAGGCTCCACAGCCTGGAGGAAATGCGTGATCTCTGCGAGCGGACGGAAGCCACACACACCCTCGAACGGGGTGATGGCAATGGTCATTTCGGGCTTGTGATTGTCATCTTAAAATTAGTTAGCCATGTTTCCGGGTGCTCGTTTATTGGATGTCATCCCAATTATCACTCACCGGGATAGTTCTTTGGGTCCCGGGCATGGAGCTGCTCCGCAAGCTTCTTGTTGGGATGGGCCTGGATGCTGAGCGCTTTACGGATGGAAAGCACCTTAAACAGGAACGGAAGTTTGCCTCCAAATCGTTCGCTGACATCCGTCGACAGCAGCGCCTGGTTATCCTGAACCATGTCGAGGAGGGTACGCTGAGTCTCCACATCTTTAGAGGGAAGAGACGGATGTGTGCCCATCCAGAGCTATGAATTGTGAGCCAATTGCCTTCAAGAATTGCACTTAGGCTCTCACTTACTTCGGCATAGGGCTTGTTGGCCTCAACCGCAAAATCCGGGGCGGCTGTTGTGGCCGCATACTTTGCCGCGGCCGACTCTTGACCGACCTTGCCTATGACGGGGTTAATCAGTGCGGGGAACACAATATCGCAAGTGGTACTAGCTTACCCCAGTCGTAGCTATTGACACCTAAAGATCGATATATCAGCGGATGTTTCGTCTTCTAAACATCTCCAAACTTACCACATTGTAGCCGAAGTAGTGGGACCTGCATATTGAAATGTATGTTTGGGGAAAAAGCGGAGGGTCAACCAGAAACTTGGGATTGGAAATACCCCGCCAAGCCTTCGGTGAGAAATGTTGGACAGGATCAATGGATTTCAATCTTATGACACACGTTCAGAGCTTTCTTTATAGGGAAGATTGGTCTGACTTATTTCACCGAGATGGCCCTTTTTTTTTTGTTTCTGGGATTTACGGAGTATCCCAATGTGTCACGGAATGCCGAACGAGGTACTTCCGCAACCGTCCTTTTAGTTATAACCAAAAAAATATACAGTCGCATTAAGACAGTATAGTTCAAATAAATTCAACAGGCTTAAATTCTTACCAATATACCCATGGAGAAGACCAGAACTAAGATTATACAAATGTCAACGTCAATTACATCCACAATCTCATGTCCAAAAGTAGTTTAGCGTATGATCCCCGACCGCCCGGAGGACGGAGCCCTTATCACCGCATCTCCAACCCTTTGAATTGACAACTTGTTGCTTCAAATCTAGAGTTATCAATACCCTGGGGTTCTGGTCAGCAATAAGCTGTTCATACCCTTCACACATTCCTTACCCTGCCTGGTTGGTAAACGGAGGATGTCTCGCAACCGCCCCCGACCCAGAGACAACGGCTTTGGCAATAATGAGGAATTGGAGCTTTGGACCAAGATCTGCCAGGATATTCGAAAATCTAAGGAGAAGTTTGATCACCAGAATGAGTTGTCTGTGCAGATTAAAACGTTGGTAGACAAGATCTCGCATGATGGCAACCGTGAGTACCCCCCGCACTAGATCCATCGGCTCTATAGCCGACACCACAAAGCTCCAATATGCGCGTCACTTGAAATTACTTGGAACAAATTCAAGCTTATTATCAACCACATATACTAACATCGCACTGCCAAGCAGAACCAACCATGGCCGAACACGACCAACTCGACAGCTGGCTCCGCCTGAGCCAGAAGCTCAGTGAAGACGAGCGCTCGATCATGCAGGACGAGCCATGCGATGTAATCAAAAATTTAGAACTGCTCACTGCATTGCGCAAGGCATCTGAGGCTGAAGCGCCTCCAAATCGGTCCGCATCGTTCAACAAGTCTCGCAAGAAAAGAAATGAAGTCGAAGGTTCGGTGACCGACTCCCCCAGTGCCTCGGGGGCTGACAAGACCGCACGCTCAAAGGGGACCGTCCCACGCAGCGCAAGCGTCTCGTCGAGCACGCAAGCCCGCGAAGGGGGCCGCCAGGATAACGTCATGGTCAAGATCGAGGAAGGGCCGTCGGAAGGGACCAAGGGCACCGTCGCAGAGCGGAGTGGGTTGCTGGTGGTTGGGGCTCAGGTTGTCTTCAAACACAACAAGAATAAACAAGGTGTTGAGGGCGAGGGGATCCAATGCATAATAAAGGCTGTTACTGGCGATGGGCCGAAGAAGCGGTAAGTGATATTAGGTCGTTTACGTTTCGTCTCAATTTACATTGACTGACGCGCGTCATGTCTGATCCCAGATATGATGTGCAAGACCCCGAGCCGAATGAGAATGGTGAGCAGGGAGCGGTTTACAAGACTACGGCTGCCTCTCTCATTCCCATTCCTCAGCTCAGCACCCATTTAGCTGCGTACCCGGCTGGCAAGCAGGTCCTTGCGCGATACCCGGACACCACTACCTTCTATCGCGCCGAGGTGATGGGCGCACGGAAGGACGTCTATCGCCTCAAGTTCGAGGGTGAAGAGGACGATAAAGAGATGGAGGTCGACCGGCGCTTTGTGCTGGATATTCTGGGCAAGTAATCTCAAGCTGTTTCTATGATCTGATGTGATGATGATACCATTTAAGCGCGGCGCTATCTGGAGTTCGAAGGCCTACCATGGATATGGAGTGCTTTCATCTTGACTAGATACTTTAGTTAGAAAGAACAACGTCTTTTTTTTGAAGCTATGATTATTTCTGTTCTTGGCTTAGTGGCGGGATCTACATGGAAAAAGCCGGGGTTGAATGGAGAACTTCCAGATGCCTACAATATAAGTTTTCTATAACACTTCGCGAAAGCTTATATACCCCGGAAGACGATCTGCTAGCCTGGTCTCTATCCATGGGAGTCTGAAAAAGTTTGATGGCACATACTACCTAGGTACCTTTCTCTCTTGACGAATATAACTATACAAGTATGATCTGAGGTATGGTTTCCATGTCTTTCAAAACGGTCAGAATATTCAGAGCACTATGGATATACCTATGTCGCTGGTATCTATGCGACTTAAATACTGGTGGCGTGATAAAATGCCGCGATTGTGTATCTTTTTCTCTCCCGATGTCGGCTGTAAATTGTTAGATGGATGCATATAGGTGGAAGTGAGAACAATATTCAATGGGTTGAATTTGGGCCAAGGAAAAGCCATTCATTTCTTAGAACAGTGTAATTATAGATCCAACTAAGCCTGAAAAACTTATAAAATGCCCTACCAGTAACTAAGTACTTAGTTAGGTGGAGGCCCAGAAGAATGTGCTAGAGTAAGCGGTGACATATAGATGACTCAGCCTTCTTCTCCTCATGCCGAGGGAGGATAGCCGGGGCATAGTCTACTTCGCAATTAAAACTTTACATTGAACAAACAGATTTCGTTTTGTATTTCCGTCCAATTAATGCACCCGTGCTATTCAATCCCTACCCCTGCATACTCGAGCTTCTGCAGCGAGCCTCACGCGTCACAAATTCCAACTACCCCGCCTCTCCGCCGTCGCAATGACCGACCTACCGGCCCACGCCTCACCAAAACTTCCCCCGCGTACGCTGCCGAGCAGATCAGATGGACAATCAGATGATTCAAGTCAGGCGGGCATCACAGCAGGCGAACAGACCCCGGCCCTGCCGGATTCATTGCTATCGCCCGCATTCACCCCACCTGCAACCCCCGGCGGCACATTGAACTTGGATTTAAGTCCCACAGCAGTCCTTCACCAAACCCAGGCAGCAAATATCGACCATAAGAGCCAGGGCACTAAAGGCCCCAAATTACTCCCGCGGCTCCCAGTAGTGGAATGTATTGTGCGGGCGCGAATCCCCACAACTAATGGAGCGGAAATGTTCTTGCACCTCTACCACAATGATCTGGACGGAAAGGAGCATTTGGCAATTGTATTTGGAAACAATATTCGCAGCCGGAGCTTGGACAGCGTTCGGCCGGGGGAGACCGAGATGGACCGAATGATCCGCGGCGCGTACGTTGGGAAATTGCACCCGGGCCGAGTCAGCAGCCGGTATGACGACGACCTGGCCGGGTCAGCCTCCACGTCAAAGCAGATCGAGCCGCCGCTGGTACGAATTCATTCGGAGTGTTATACGGGAGAGACGGCGTGGTCGGCGCGGTGCGACTGCGGCGAACAGCTGGATGAGGCGGCGCGCTTGATGTCTTTCCCCGTTGAGGATCTTGCCTCTGATGCGCCTCTAGAGGTCCAATCCCTCTCCTCACATTCGACGGGTGGTGTTATTGTTTACCTGCGTCAGGAGGGTCGTGGAATCGGTCTTGGCGAGAAGTTGAAGGCATACAATCTCCAGGATCTCGGGTCGGATACCGTTGAGGCAAACCTTTTGCTCCGCCATCCGGCTGATGCTCGAAGCTATGGACTGGCCACGGCCATATTGGAAGACCTTGGTTGTGGTGTGGATGCCATCCCAGAGGGAATCCGTCTACTCACCAATAACCCCGATAAAGTCCGCGCCATTGAGGGCCCCAATCGGGAAGTTCTTGTAAAAGAGCGGGTGCCGATGATCCCATTGGCTTGGCGGACTGGCGGTCAGAAAGGAATTAAGAGCTCTGAAATTGAAGGATATCTTCAAACTAAGGTATGCTTGTAAACTGTTTCCCAGTTTTGGGTTGATATTAATATGCCTGCTTTGATAGATCTCGAAAATGGGTCATATGATCCAATAATCCCTTGACCCTTGTCGTTTTGAACTTCCTCCCCCATCATCATTCCCCTTTTCATCTGGCATATCCTTTCTTTCTTGCATTGGAACTTACAAAAGCCTGTGTATATGATCGACACGACCGAATATTTTTTTCTCTTTGTGCATAATCTTGATCCTTTGGGCTTGTTCCAAAGTTGTGTATGGCGATGATGCTCTGTATATTTTTTTTTTTATGCTTCAATGCTTCATGTCCATCACCAGCTTCTCCTAAAGAATTGGAGTTTTAGTCCGTAGATGTATAGTATTTGGAACAAAGATACATTGTCTGTTTATCGTCAATAGTCCATTGAATCTGATAGTCCCCACTGCCGCAGACATTCTTGACCCACATAGCATACCCATGTCTTCAAGCGTTCCCCAACTTCCGTTCTTCATTTCCCTAATTTGAATGGCCAATCTTAGCGCGTTTACAAGGCAATGGCCACCCGCGCTACAAACGCCAATGAGCATGTGGCGCCCTCGCCCGACCTGCCTGGATTACCTGAACGTTCCCAACCTACTCCCCTCAACAGACCCGAAGACTCGCCAATTCCCCCCGAGCGGCCTCGATAGACGTGGATGGACTCTTGGACAATGGTACAACATCAGGACGCAAACGCAAGCTAAACAGCATGTCATCAAGAGGTGTCGCCAATCTCACTCCCGATCAGTTGGCCAAAAAGCGGGCCAACGACCGTCAAGCGCAGCGTGCAATTCGAGAAAGAACCAAGGGCCACATAGAAGCTCTGGAGCAACAGGTCCGGGACCTGTCATCACAGAAACCCTACCTTGATCTTCAAGCAGCTCTAGGCGAGAATGGGAGGATTCGGTCGGAGAACGCGGAGCTCCGCCAAGGGCTTAAGGCAGCAATGGACATTCTCCAACCATTGCTCGCTAGGCCAGAACTATCAGGTCAGTTGCGCATCTCGATAAAATTCAACTCTCAGGCTGATAATGATAGATGCACCTCCTTCTCTAGCTATACCCAAATCTATTCCGCCTTCTTCCCATACATCCCCAGTGCCAGACACCGATCGCCTCACCCCAATTCCAGGCGAGAAATCATATGCCGACTCCCTTGCCAGCCTTGATACGCCTTCTCCGACTCATTCTGCACCCACCCTCGGGAGTCGCCGCAACAGTACCAATGGAGGTGCTCCGTCGGTCTCTCTCCGTGTCGCGTGGGACTCGCAGCGCCATAATATCACACACGGCTTGAACCTCGGCTCCGATGAGCGTCTAGGGTTTAATTTCCTTATCGATGGCTCGCATAGTGTTCCTAAAGTCGACCGGCTTCACGGCAGCAGCTCAGAAACCCTCCAATATTCTCAGCTAGATCCTCCGGCACCAGTATACCCACATCCCTTGGCTACTGCCTCTGAACCTGGGCCACCTGCATTTGCCGCTCCGATACAAAACTTACCAGCGACATGTCCTTTAGATAACATTCTTTTGGAATTCCTTCATAGCCGGCAACGCGAGGCGGCTCAAGGCATCCCGAGACAAAAATTAGCCGGGCCACCGTACCCGAGTGTCTCCTCGTTGCTGAACCCGGAGAGGAGTGTCTACTCCCATCCAGCCTCAAAGGTTTTCACAGATATCCTGCGCACCTTTCCAGATATCTCATCTCTGCCGGTGCAGGTTGCCGTGCTCTACGCCATGTTCCTCCTCATGCGTTGGCAGATTTACCCTACGCAAGAGAACTATGAGCGACTCCCAGAGTGGCTAACCCCGACCCCAACCCAAATTCTCCATCCACACCCTGCTTGGATGGACTATGTTCCCTGGCCGGCAATGCGTGACAGGATTATTACAAATTATCAGAACTACCCGTTCGAGAATTGGTTCATTCCATTTACAAGTGGGATGAGGGTCAATTGGCCGTATGAGGACACGGACTGTTTGTTGTCAGCTGGTGACTCGGACGAGCTGGTAATCAATCCGGTCTTCGAGCGGCATATGAGGAATTTGTCCAATTGGTCATTGGGGACTTGCTTTGCGGAGACTTATCCCTCTTTGGCAGACACCGCACGAATCAAGCCGACAACACAGACAACACAGCCCAACACCCCGTGCGGAGCAGACCCGCCAAGGGACTACACGACTACTTAAGCAAGCTTTCTTCCAACCACTGCTCTATCTCTACCGAGTTGAACTTGGCATATATATATACATTCTTTTTCATTCCGCGACTACTCCTTGGAGAGGAAACCTCGGATTTTAGCGAGTGAAGTTTTTTAATTGGCTTTTGGGCGGGTATAAAAATTTTCTTGAGCGGAGTCCCAATACAAGGGCAAAAGGGCAGAAGCATGTGAGAAGGGCCAAAGGTCACCTCACCTGGTCATATACGGCGTTGCCAATGAATGGTGTCTACAGGGACCATCTCGGCCTGGACCTTTAAACGAATACAAATCTTCAAATCAATAGCTACTCTGTATCTTATGGGGCCCATCATTTTGACTTTACTCTTTCCTGCTCTTCTCATTCCAAAACTCCAGACCAGCCTTCTGGCGTAGCGTCCCGTACATTGCACTGCTGTCCAGGCATTCTCCGCCATATTTTCTCGCGGCCTCCATGTTAGCCCGAGCAATCTCAAGCCCAGGAAGCCCAACACCCTGCTCCTGGGCCATCGACATAGCATGTCTAGCATCCTTAATAGCAAGAGAAACCCCAAAGCCAGGGCGGGAGTCCAGGGGCGGCGCATAAGCCCCTGTAGTCAATCTGGAAACAAAGATAAATATGAAGAGCCGGAATGCCAGCACAGAAACAATCTTGTAACACACCTCTTAGAATACCCTCCCGCAACAGGACCAAAAGCCTCACCAATGAGCTCCTCCATAGGACCAGTTCCAAGCCCGGTCTTCTCAGCAAAGACCTGAGCCTCACCAACAGCCTCCATCATATTCACAGTAACAATGTTACCCGCGATTTTCAGAAGCGAGGACTTGGTAGCATCCTCGCCGCAATCAATCACGCGTCGACCCATCACATCTTGGATCAGAGGTTTGGTAGCATCAGTCGCACTCTTAGGACCACCAATAGCAAAAACAAGCTTGCCATCCACGGCGATCGGGTTCCCGCCGAAGACCGGCGCTGCTACGTACGATGCACCCTTGCTTTTCAGCTCCGATACGGCCGAGCTTACGGTCTCGGGATGCACTGTTGAGCAGTCGACGAAGATCTTATCCTTCAGGGAGTGGCTTGAACCCATCGCGGTAGATAGCAGGCCTTGGAGCACTGAGTCATTGGAGACCTGGGAGGGGCTTTAGTTGCATTGATATGTATCCTCTCGGTAGAATCGGCTTACCATGGTGAAAATGATTCCACATTGAGACACCAGCTTCTCGAAACTGGGTTCTGGAATTGCTCCTAGCGCTCGCAGGGGTGATCCGCGCGACATCGTGCGGTTCGAGTAGATCAGGCTGGTAGCCTTCTTCGCCGCTATGTGGCGCTGCAGGTTGGAGGCCATTGCTAGGCCCATGGACCCGAGTCCATACTGTGTTCATGGTTAGTTGTTTTGTCCATACCCATAGATGCTCTAGGGGTTACTTACCCAGCCGATTTGTGGCATCGTTGCTCGCTGTTTTCCGATTCTCGGTCACGATTTTATCTATAGACAACAACCTCAAGGATCGGGTAGAAAGGTTCAAGCAAAATTTGGCAGGGCGGAATCTACTTGAGCAGGGCAATGCGATCTTTGTATGAGTCCAGAGACGATAGGAAATGGTGGAGCGTGTTTCCCGAGGATATCGGAATCGGCCGACAGGAAGCTCTTCAGCGTTAGCAACGGCTTCTACTTTTATTGAGGATAAAGTAGGCTTGGTCTTTATTACTGTGGAGATATCATCCTCTCTCCCTATTTATATTCTATGCTTGGTGTGCCCTTGTAGTCAAGCCCCCGTGTATATACCCCTTAGTTAATGTGAGGCGTTCCACATGGACTATAGCCTGCGCATATATTGATTTCAGCATCATCCCATTACTTATCAAGACCTCAAAAGCATTATTTACACTCCAATTCATCATCTCTGAGCTTGTCTGGTGCAGGAATGTGGTGATGCGGTCACATACCGTCATGGCTGCGGCTCGCCCCCAGTTGTGGGGTGAATATCAGGTACGGTACGGTCACGTAAGTTATGATGCTCCGTCCGTCGTGGGCTCGACTTCAGACATCCCCAACACCTCCGCTCTCCCCTGAACCCTCCTATTTCCGCTCATCTTGGGAGTTTCCAAATAGAATACTAGTCTCGACGGTACTCTCGACTCCCAACCGTCGAATCCCCAATTCCTCCAAGATGGCGGAAATGCCCATTGGTACACACCGATCCCCCCCAGGCTACCGTGTCCCAGCTCCAAGCTAACAAGCTACTCCGCAGTCCTTGATGGAGGAACCGGCTTCCTCAAGGTCGGCTATGCCGCCCAGGTATGTCGCACGACCACTACAGTCCTTTTCTACTCTTGTCTAATTTATATTTCCTCGCCAGAACTTTCCAGAGCACCAGTTTCCCTCGATAGTGGGGCGGCCCATCTTGCGAACGGAGGAGCAGGGCGGCGACATCGTGGTCAAGGATATCATGTGCGGTGATGAAGCCGCCGCTGCACGCTCAATGCTCCAGATCAGCTATCCTGTATGTTTATCTCGGGGATTCTTGCCCTCGCCTGGTTATTCTACCCCGCCCTCCCCGCAAACCAGGCAAGTGTCTTGTGAATGCCTAACCCGTGCTGCTTTAGATGGAGAATGGAATTGTCAAGAAATGGGACGACATGCAACACCTATGGAACTACACCTTTTACGAGAAGATGAAGATCGACCCCACGGATCGCAAGATTCTCCTCACGGAGCCGCCGATGAACCCACTCAAGAACCGCGAGCAGATGGCCGAGGTCATGCTAGAAGGATACGGATTTGGCGGTGTCTATGTGGCGATCCAGGCGGTGCTGGCACTGTATGCCCAGGGTATGTGATGCAAGATCGTGAGTCCGGGATCAACACTGATGTCATGTTATAGGTCTGAGCAGCGGCGTTGTTGTGGATTCCGGTGACGGTGTGACACACATTATCCCCGTGTACGAGTCGACCGTACTCAACCACCACATTCGCCGCCTGGACGTCGCCGGCCGCGACGTCACTCGCAACCTGATTGCCCTCCTTCTGCGCCGCGGCTATGCGCTGAACCGAACCGCCGATTTCGAGACCGTCCGCCAGATCAAGGAGAAGCTCGCTTACGTCTCCTACGACCTCGAGTTGGACAAGAAGCTTTCTGAAGACACCACCGTTCTCGTCGAATCGTACACCTTGCCCGACGGCCGTGTCATCCGCGTCGGCAGCGAGCGCTTCGAGGCGCCCGAGTGCCTTTTCCAGCCACACTTGGTTGACGTTGACCAGCCTGGTATGGCTGAAATGCTCTTCAACTGTATCCAGGGTGCCGATGTCGATGTTCGCTCTAGTCTATACAAGGCCATCGTGCTCAGTGGTGGTAGCAGCATGTACCCTGGTTTGCCCTCTCGTCTAGAGAAGGAATTGAAGCAGCTTTGGCTCACCCGTGTACTGGGTGGCGACCCAGAGCGCCTGAACGTATGTCGAAGAAACCCTGGCAAAAATATAAGTACAACTTGGCTAACACCTTTCCAGAAATTCAAGGTTCGCATCGAAGATCCCCCTCGCCGCAGACACATGGTATTCCTGGGTGGTGCCGTGCTCGCCAACCTGGTTAGTCTTCTTTCTTTTCTTTTGACTGCGGTCCCTGCTAACACATTTTGCTCAGATCGCCGACAAGGAGGACATGTGGGTGAGCAAGCAGGAGTGGCAGGAACAGGGTGCACGCGCCTTGGACAAGCTCGGCCCGCGATGAACGCATTGTATTTAGCCGGTTCTTGGTCTGCTCCTTTTTTTCTCTGATTTCCTGCTTCGCATTGTTTGCAAGCCATGTTGCCCGGGTCTGTTTTTTTCCCCCTATCCTCTTTTTCCTACCTCCACCTTCCCCCTATCATTGTCGATATACTCCGTCCATCTTGTAGTTTCCCCTGTCTCTGCGCTTGCTTCCTACATCGTGCCTAGACTGGTCTGGCGCGGGTGGATTCGGGGCGTTCGTGACAGACATGAACGAAATATTTCCATCGGCTTTTTGTTGTATGCTAGGTTTGTAGGTAGACATTATGTACGTCTAAACTACCTAGGTAGCTATATGTACTTGGTTTCCTCTGCCTTTCCTATCTTAGCTGCCGCCGCTTTTATGAGGGCGCTTAGAGTCGGGCTCACTGATCGCTCTCTGATTACTCGGAGACTACTTAGAGGCATCTATTGAGCACTCAGTCTACGCTTAGACTATGCCCAAATAAGCACCTTGTCCCACAATATTATCTACTTTACGACCACTTTTTGATAGCCCTCAATTTTCATCATGCTCCTACGCCTTTCTCTGGCATAGTGCAGGACCTGACAACCCAGCCCATTTGGTGGGTAGGGTAGGGTTGGGCTATGGGCTCTATGAGCTATCCTGAGGTCTACACCTGAGGGCACAATGAATTCTAATAGTCGTCACCCGTCGACCCATAAAGATGCTCCCCTCGTTCCAGTACCTCAATTTCATCGCCGACTTCAATATATAATCCTGCTTCCTGCTCTTCGGCCCTCTTCAAGCTCCAATCCTCAGGAACACAATGCATGCCTAGATAGCCGAGTGCCGCTTTGTTTCCCATCTCGACCGTACGGTACTGCACCAAGGTTGTGCTTGGCTGTGGTTTGCCTCTTTTTTTCTGAGGAGGCGGGTTATCTGCATCAAAGGTGCCAGTCTCCGGGTTGACGTTAGGAATCGTGCATCGAGATGTACGACAAACAACAGAGAATGCCGGCGCAACACTAGCTCGAGGCCCAGTGCCGCCACTCTTTTGCAGGATGCAGTAGCGTTTCCAAGTCTCTTCTTCGTATGCCGGAGAATTGGTAATCCATATGTTTGCACGGAAACGAAGGGCATTCAGCGGCTGGTTTTCAGTGGGAAGGTGCGCGGACACAGCATGAACCGAGGACAAACTGTTGATGTTGATAGGTTGCTGATCCGTATAGCCATGCAGGGCCGGCGAACCAATGTATTTAAGTGGCGCAAGGTTCTTATCCGTACGGCTCAAGGTATCCGGCGTACATTTGAAAAGCGTGAGGCTTTGGTCTCCCGGTATCCCCAAAAACTTCTTTAGCTTGGGCAAAGCAGCTGCAATAGAAGGGATTCCGCTAATGTCGAGGCCCTTCGCATCACGATGATGGATGCCGAACGTTTTCATCTTTGCCTGGAAATCCTCCGTCTGGGCGGCCGTGATATGAAGAGGTACAATGAATGATAGTTGTGGTCGTGCGAAGGGATTCCATGTATGGAAAAATGTCTCAACCCGATTGGACCAACTTGGTAGGTCTGGGTCTTCGAATGTCACGACCACACACCCACCTGACTGCACTAGCGGGTCATGTGAATTGCTGTACTTATGAGGGAGCCATAACTCTGTCTTGATCTGGGACATGGCTGGTTTCTTGCGCTGGCTGATAAATCGCAATTTTGAGGCCGTGGGGTTTTCGTTGTTGACAGTTTCCGTTGCAAATGCAAAACATCTATCGTACATAAAGCCAGTCTTAGTGAGCAAGGCTCGATCCACCTCGACAGGCCCGCAAGACTTGATAGGATGAAGATATATTGCTTTAATGCGCGCTGGTCCCTCAATTCCAGCCTTCGGTGACAGGCCGAATTTAGGATCATATTGGTCTGCCATGTTGCTGGTAGTTAAGCCGAGCCTCTGTAGGTGTCTTAACCTCCTGCGTGTTGTATGGATATTCCCAGACTGTATGACAACAGCCAAGTGAATGCTTAACAGACATATCAGAGTTATAGCACCACGAATAACGAGAGGACCGTTCAGGGAAGTCTGAAGATATTGCAAAAGATGGATGAGCATATTTAAGAAAGATTGATAAGAAAGATTGATTTTGGGGGGTTTGGGGCCTCTTAAAGTGTGTGCGAGACTCGATATGGCGAGAAGCTCGGTAAGTGATGAATGCAAGTGCTGAAGCGAGAACTTCACATAATGACAAAAAAAAAAAAAAAGAAAGCAAACCCGATCGATACATATGAAATTTGGCCTTGGGGTTTGTTACAGGGCAGAACACCGCTTTTCCATTTCAGGAAGTTAATAGGAGTGGGTCTACCTCATGGCACTTCATTCCAAGGTTGTTAGTCGAGATAACATAATACCAAGGTAACTGTCTACCCTAAAGTCCCTATACCTAACTATATAGTACATCTTATATTATACGTATAATAGAAGGCTTCTTTCGTCTAATAAGGGAGTAAGATCCGATTGGTATATACGATAATACTCCGAGTCCTAGGCATACTACCAAAGAGACTCTTGATTTCTTCGAGGAGCTTAGGGTTATTATGATAGAATGGCCTACCTTTTTACCTGATTTAAACCCTATTTAGGAGGCATAGAACTAGATGAAGGATTATATTTAGAGAAAGTATAGGGACCAGCACTTTCCTTTATCGAAGCTTCGTGGTATGGTTTAGGAGGCCTAGGATACTATATAAGATAGTAAGATAGTAAGATAAATAGTAAGAAATTGAGAGTTAAGAGTAAGAATACTATATAAAATACTACGCTAATTGTGCACCAGTAAAAGTGAGTGGAGGTGGGTGAATCTTTATAGGGTAGACTGTTGTATTCATGATCATGTTTGCATACAGTCTTTCGTCAACATCAGCATACGACGCACAAACGCACAAAGGCATACCCATATGTACCCACTCCTCCTTCTCTTCAGCGAAAAAGCCTACCCACAACCCTGGGTAGAGACACATGTGTAAACTCAGGAAACCCGAAAATGCAAAATGCTGCACGCAAAACGCAACAGAATAAACGAGGACTATCACAACAGAAGGAGTAACGTGAAGAGAGAAACAAAGACCAAAATTAAAGACCAGTCAGCAATCAATCCCCAGACTAAGTCTCCACAGCCCCCGGCGAAACGGCCAAGATAACCGCGAGAGTAGCAATAATCAGCGAAGCAGCCACAAACGCCGTAAGTGCCACACTGCCCCGACTAGCCGGAAACTTCCCCCGAATAATCCAATACTGGCTTTGGAAGTAACGGTGGAAGCCGACAACAAGGATCAGAATTGAGACACCGATGAAAGTCGAGCCGAGGGGTTTGCCCACGCTACGAAGACGGGCGGATGCAGAGGAGACGTGGAACGCGGCTGAATCGTAGCCTGACGAGGCGAGATGCGGTGGTAGGATGCCCGAGTATGAGTTGGAGGTTGGGTCGAAGTATTTGGCGTTTGTGTTTGAGGCGCTGTTCAGACGGAAGAGTTGCGTTACTGCAATACCAATTGAGGCGAAGGCTAGGGAGGTGCGCATCCAGGCTAGGAAGGTTCGTTCTGTTGGAAAAGAAGTGAATGTTAGAGGGGTCCATGGGGCATTTTTATGGTAGGTTGTGTATATCGTACCTAATGCGAGGTGGTCGCGGGCTACACTGCCTTTGTTCTCTAGCTCGAGGCTGCCGTATCGATCTGCGAATTGACTATACCAGGACTGCTGGGGCTCGGAAGTCGAGACTTGGTTCGTTGGTTGCCAGGAATTATCACGGTTCGCATTGTTTAATTGGTGATCTTTGAGCTGGGAGGCGACTGCTTGGTCTGTGGACTGATAGTTGCGCCCCGGGGGACCGGCTGTGTTGATTGGGGTGGACTCGGTGGATTGGGAAGTAGTCTGAACTGGGTTCTGGCTACGTGCATGCTTTCGGGACGAGGAGCTTGAGTGGGACCGGGATCTGCTGAAGGAGGATGACAGGGTTGAATCTGCAGGCAAGCGTGACGATGAGTGGTTATTTTTCACTCCTCCAGACGTACTGGGACCTGTCGGAGGCGGCGCCGATGAGTCGAATGTATTCATTATGGCGTGCTAGTCCGCTGATCTCCCACAGGGGAATATTGTCCAATACGAGGTCGCTAGGACCAAGTTTATGCAGGGGCTGAAGGGCTATGTCTTTGGATGTCAACAGAGGATGAAAAATAGCTGTTCGAGATAAAATGTTCACGGGAATGGAAAACAATAGCTGTGTCTGGTATTTTGGAGCCTTGTCATCTGCATTTAATTTCACTCCTCCTCTTTTCAGAGTGCTGTGACCATCATGTGGCACATAATGTGACCTTGAGCAAAAGCGCGAAACGATGTGCTGATCTCCCGGTCACCTGACCAATCCGGGGAAGCGATCACATGCTCCACTCTAACCCACTTGGGCCAAGTGAAAGGTCCGAAGTGTTAGTGCGACTTGTAAAGCTTTGTAAAGCTTGATATGTTGATATACACATTGAACTAGATCATTACTTCTAGTCCTGTACCTACTCTAATCTTCATATATGATTAGACAATCTACCACCTCGTTCTCTTCCTCCCACTACGAAATTGCGTCATCCTCTATTTAAGGCAGGCGGTCAGTCCTGTGTTATGCTCTTTATCGACTTATCGACTTATCCAACTTATCAATTTCCTTCCCCCTCATTCAACCAACAGAATGGCAGAACAGACATCTTTACCATCTCCTACGGGGAAGGTCGATCTCTCTAAAAAACTCTCTGACTTGCGGTCAAATACCCGCAGGGCAAACCCAAACTCCCGAGATCTAACTCCAACAACCCCTCCTCTCCCTTCGCCGCCCGATCTCTCCGTTCACCAGTACCGGCATCCACACCGCCGCATCCTTTCCCCCAAAGACCATGAACTCTTCCTCTCATCCCCGACCTACAAACTTGTCCTAGCCTTCATCTTTGGGCTAACTGATTCCGTGCGGGGGCATTCTATCACCGACCTCCAGAAAACTCCTCAATCCGAATCCATCTCCAAGGTCCTCTCAATCGTCACTCAGATTCGTTCCCTCCTAGCCAAAAACCCGCCAATCGACCAGGGTGGTTCTCGATTCGGCAATCCTGCCTTCCGAGCGTTGTGCGACGATGTAAGCGCGCAGAGCGCATCATGGCACACCAACATTCTTGGGCTGAAAGACGCTGGCGCAACAGAAGAAGCTTCGACATATTTAATCAACTGCCTGGGATCACAAGAGCGGATTGACTACGGCTCCGGTCACGAACTCAACTTCATGATGTGGCTGCTATGTCTGTACCAGCTCGGTCTTCTCCCCGCCAGCGACTTCCCCGCCGTCGTGATCAAGGTCTATGTCGAGTACATGCATCTCATGCGCGAGATCCAGTCAGCTTACTATCTTGAGCCTGCTGGATCGCACGGTGTCTGGGGTCTGGACGACTACCATTTCTTGCCGTTCTTGTTCGGAGCTAGTCAACTTGTCGGGCACCCATATATCACTCCCTTGGGTATCCACAACACGGCTACTTTGGACGAGGAAGGTGATCATTATCTCTATCTGGATCAGGTCCGTTGGGTCGAAAGTGTCAAGACTGTCAAGGGACTGCGTTGGCATAGCCCTATGCTGGACGATATCTCTGGTTCTAAGAATTGGACCAAGGTTGAGAGTGGTATGAAGAAGATGTTCGTTAAGGAAGTACTAGGGAAACTCCCTATCATGCAACACTTCTTATTCGGTAGTCTCCTACCTGCTGCTGAAGACATGTCCGATCCTTCTGAGGCAGATTCTGAGCATGACGGTCATGACCATGCCCATGGCCACGACCATCCTCACGAGAGCGCAGATTGGTTCGGTGATTGCTGCGGCATCAAGGTACCCAGTACTGTGGCTGCGGGCGCTGAGATGCGTAAGCGTATGGGCGGATCGAATCTGCGCCCAATTCCTTTCGATTAAGGCCTCAGATGGGAATCTCGGACATGTCAACAAAATAATGAATCAACATGACTAGCGTATTAGAAAATGTTGAAACCGATAATCTCCATATAATTCTAGTTACTCGAGCAATTTGCTTTCTACTCCTCGTAATCCTAAAGTGCCGCCTGATCAAGCCCTGTCGATTTCAACCTGTAATCTCACTTATGTACATACACGACACAACGGGCTACCACACTTCTTTCCACTGTGTTCCAACCCCAGAAATCCGCTACCGCCATGTTACACTTGCAGTCCCCGTAATTCCAGAGCAGCCTTTTGGTACAGTATAGCTCCGGTTAGGATTACTTTCCCAAGTAATGGTACCGTCTGACCCTTTCTTGAAGAACTTATACTCAAAAGTGGTACCAGCGGGGAGATCGATACTGGCAGTCCACAATGGGTTAGACGTTGTGTATGACCCTGCAGATAGGGCGATCGCCGACGAGGTAGACCAAGAGCCCAACTGGCTGATTGATCCGGTGACGAAGACATTCTGTCCATATGATGTGGTCGCCAACTCCTTGAAGGTTACCGGGACGGTGGTGGCGGTAGTAGCACAGGGTGTAGTAGATGTGATGGTGCTTGTCTTGCTTGTCGTAGAAGTTGCAGGGCTAGTAGTCGAAGTTGACCCTCCCCCCGTACCCCCAATAGCAATATCAGCACAGTTGAGATAAACTTGGCCCGTTTGGAAAGAGTTCCACCGGAAGCGCAACAGCGTGTGGGCCGAGTCATAGTCTGGGATTTTGATTTTCTTCGTAACTGTGTAGCCACCGGCGATAGTTGTCTTGCAAGAGTTTAATGGAGCGCCATCCACGCCCTGACAGCCGCGTTTGCTGTCGGCACTGAATGCATTGCAAGTGAACCAGTCATTGCGCCAGCATGCTTGACCAGCAGTGCAGTCAGGACTGTAACCACAGGTCTGGCCTGTGACATCTGTACATTTCAATTCACCCTCCAGGAAACAGTCTTCGGCAGCTTGTTTCTCGGCATTGGTTGGAAGGTAGTTTGGGTCGAGAAATAAATCGACTAGAGCCTGATTCTGGCAGATACCGTAGGTAAACATGCCACCATGGTCACCATTGTGGTCGACACACCATTGCACATCGACGATCTGGTTTGCAGTATATGTGGCGACGACAGAATTGCCCCAGTGAGCGCTGGGCTGGTTATAATCAACACTAACTCGAGCATTGTAACCACATGGTCCACTTCGGCCAACTTGGGGTCCTTCCAGATCCGGCCAAGGAGCGACTGGTTCAAGGATGGAACATTCTGGGCAGGTATCAATGCCAGCCTAATAATGTTAGCCTAGCGTATTATATCTATGAATTCATTGTCTGAGATCATACCTCAAATCCAAGTCGAGTACGACTTGATGGAATGGTCAGGTAACCATGAGCATTGACTGAGGATAACAGACCTGCTAGAGTCAGAATAGAGGCTGCCTTCATCTTGGATATACTGTTTCAAAGTTCTATGGACTGGACATAAGCTGCTCGACTGTTGAAATCGAGCGAAACATCGCCATTTTATATATGTATTTCCCATAATTCTTCCTCGATATCAGCCATGTCAGACTCCTGCGCTTCCGAAATTGCCGTCGGCTTGGAAGTCTGAGAATGTATGAGCATTGTCTTGGTAGGTATATATCTTCATAGGCGTATTTTATTTTGTGGTGTGAAGCCCGATAACTGTCCGTTAGCCGCTAGGGAAAGGGTATGCAAGCGTCAACCTCTTAGTCGAATTTCTTCAAGCCTCGACAAGAAAAGCCGATAAATCCCCGCTTCCCTCTCATGTACTAATAGGGTAATCAGCATAGTTAGCCGACGGCAGTGTTCGGCACTTCCGTTTCTTCGGGACATTGGGACATTCGTAGTTAATCCACTTACAATCAAGGAGTACAATTAGAAAAGGTGAATGACCTAGAGTTAACGTCCAATTCTCCAAGTATGTTTGCTTACTGATCTTTCTCCCAAGGCCCTAGCATTTCCAAGGCAAGGTGGCATACACCCACGTCTTACTTCGCCCCTACAATATATTATGATTCTTCACCATTGTGCCCCCTCCTAGGCCCTCCTAGGGGACGCCCAATTACGCCACGGGCGTTGACATATACCACGCGCACCATAAAGAAGTCATGCGCGCCGGTTTTCACCTAAATTACCTTGCTATCCGTGTATTTTATCTTACTTTTTCACCAGATGTCTCTAAGTAATCAACGAGGGACCAGTGTGTCTGAGGTCAGACCGAACATCACTCAGTAAGCCGACTCTGAGCACCTCCAAAAGAGAAGACAGCTCAAGTAAATAGGAAATACACTAACTACATAGGGGTGCCTGCATACGTGCGTACTTGATTTCTTCTGCCACTGCATCGTCTTCCGTTTCCGTTCTAGGGCTTATGTCTTATCGCTATTTGTTCACCGAGTTAGATCTATCAGGGGAAATCTATTGAAGAGACCTTATATCGAGTCGACCGGAAGTTGTTCGTATCTTTTCTTTGAATAGCTCGAATACTTCAGCTAAAAAGGGGACCACCGATTTGAACACTTTCTAGATATGACTTGGTCTTGGAGGTTTCTTGTTTTGTGAGATGGTTTCCATAATAGGCTAAGAAAAATAAGAAGAAAGTAAGAAAACCGAAGGAATATTATATTAGAGTCGGCCTATGCTAGGTATATTATTCAATTTGCATGTCTAGGGCAAGGAGTCCATGGCTCATCTGTAGTGGTTGTAAGATACGAGAGGTACCCAGCCTTTAATAGAGTATATAACTTTTATTGGTCTATCCCATAATTCCTCCCTGCTTGTCCATAGCATACTAACATCTCTTTTATTGTCTTTTCTATATGTAGTTTTGAATTAGAGAGCGTATGGTGGTAAGCTCCCGCACTTTCAATAGACAAGGCCACGCTACCCTGTTAGGCCCACTTCTGCAGTCTTGGATGAAGAAAGAAATGTCCCCGCCGGAGATTTATCCCACTAGTTCTGGACCGGGAAAAATACTTCGAGCCAATAAGTGACATGAGACACTTGGGATAGTCTTCGTGGGGAAGTACCTTCAGCATACATTCACACGCTTTAATCCGGCTGTATGCACAATCTACATTAAACATACATTCATGTGTAGTTTACAAGTTTACATTGGACAAGGTAGTGTATGTTCTGACTTGTTGGCAAGAGATAGAACATATTCATATGGTTTCTAACCCTTCCTAAGCTCACTACACATCTCACATCTTCAGGGCGCTAAAGCCCTAAACTTCCGGTTCAGGCGGCACAATTTTATGGCTAAGCTTGTCTGCTTCCAGTCCAATGGCCATTCAATTTGATTGCAAGAAAGGGAAAAATCCCGGTGGCACAATCTTAGTGCTACTACTATGATGCGGGGTGCATTCAACACAATCCTCAAGGCTCTCTCTCCCCAGGGCCATCCTTGTAACATATGTAAGTCTTTTGGAAGAAAATGTTTTGTCTCACTCTGACTCCGCAATTCAGTGTGGTTTCGATATGCCATTGGGATTAACCGGAATTGTGAAGAATACCTTTCGCCTATATTATCAAGTAAACAATGCGTCTTGATTAAAATAATTGGAGGAGAATTACCGCCACATTAGTGACCCTTGCTACCCATCTAAAAAAAGGCATTCTTGCCTGATGATCTGAATAATATAAATACGAAGGCCAGTCACTGCACGGGATTCAACGCCCATTGAAGCAGCAACTCGTTCCTAAGTTAAACAGCGGCAAGACTTGCCCGATCTACTCTTCCAAAGGTGATCAAACATGTTCTCACGACGAAGCTTCGAACGCTTCTGCGCACTGGTTCTAAGCCTTGCTGCCACTGGCACGCTTGTTGAAGCTGGGCCCTGTGATATTTATGCCTCCGGGAACACACCTTGTATCGCCGCACATAGCACCACGCGTGCCCTATACAGCGCCTATACCGGTGCACTCTACCAGGTCAAACGTGGCTCCGATGATACCACGACCGATATCTCGCCACTTTCCGCTGGTGGTGTTGCAAATGCCGCTGCCCAGGACAAATTCTGTTCAAGCACAACTTGCTTAATTACCATCATTTATGACCAGTCTGGCCGCGGTAATCACCTCAAACAGGCTCCGCCTGGCGGATTCAAAGGCCCCGAAGCTAATGGCTACGATAACCTGGCCAGCGCGATTGGCGCCCCGGTCACACTGAACGGCCGGAAAGCATACGGTGTCTTCATGTCTCCCGGCACCGGCTACAGCAACAATGCCGCCAGCGGCACAGCTACAGGGGATGAAGCAGAGGGCATGTACGCAGTGCTTGATGGAACCCACTACAACGGTGCCTGCTGCTTTGACTACGGCAATGCCGAGGTCAGCAGTACCGACACGGGAAACGGCCACATGGAGGCCATCTACTACGGTGACAACACCGGCTGGGGCTCCGGCGCTGGGAGTGGTCCTTGGCTCATGGCCGACCTGGAGAATGGCCTGTTCTCTGGCTCCAGTCCAGCCAACAATGCCGGCGACCCGTCATTGTCCTACCGTTTTGTCAATACGGTTCTCAAGGGAGGGCCAAACAAGTGGGCCATCCGTGCTGGCAATGCCGCGTCCGGCTCTCTATCAACATACTACAATGGTGCGCGTCCAAGCGCGTCTGGATACAACCCGATGAGTAAAGAAGGTGCCATTATCCTTGGCATCGGCGGTGATAACAGCAACGGCGCCCAAGGCACCTTCTACGAGGGCGTAATGACCTCCGGCTACCCGACCGATGCCACCGAGAACTCAGTGCAGGCTAATATAGTGGCGGCCAAGTATGCCACCGCGTCGCTGACTAGCGGGACCGCGCTCACCGTCGGTTCGTCAATCTCGCTGCGGGCTACCACGTCCGGCTACACGACGCGCTACATCGCACACACCGACTCGACTGTCAATACCCAGGTTGTCTCGTCATCCAGCACCACCGCTCTCAAAAAGCAAGCTAGCTGGACGGTTCGCGCTGGTCTTGCCAACAGCGTTTGCTTCTCGTTCGAGTCCGTCGATACCCCGGGAAGCTTCATCCGGCACGCTGACTTCTCGCTCGTGCTTGCTGCCAACGACGGCACCAAGTTGCTCCATGAAGATGCTACATTCTGCCCACAGACCGGCGTAAGTGGTCAGGGAAGCTCGATTCGTTCCTGGAGCTATCCCACTCGCTACTTCCGCCACTACGAGAATACGCTTTACATTGCGAGCAACGGTGGTGTCCACGAGTTCGACTCCGCTACTTCTTTCAATGATGATGTGAGCTGGGTGATCAGCACGGGCTTTGCTTGAGATTTATCCCATATTTCATAGACAAGGGGTAGAGATGTGCTGGGAGTGAAACTTATATCTAGTATTATTAACGTCAATAATCCTGCCATTGACTACGGGCGACTAATAGGACCGCCGATACATGACTGTCACAGCTGATGGCATGGCCTTCTCACCCTCCCATTCCTACTCTGCTGGCGATCGATGAGTAGACAGAGAAAACGTCCGAGGAAGGCATGTGAAGTTTTGGTAGAAACTAGGAATGCTAGGACAAATATGAAGACCTGTATGAGGTGTATCTTGGATTGCTGCTTTCATCGTAGATGCATTTTCTCATTCAAATATCTTCATGACTCGATGTTCTATATAAATGGGCCAAGTTTTCAATTATTGCTTGCTGAATTTAGTTTTAAATCTTTCATATGTAGTTATATATAATGACAGAATTCAATGACCACATTCTTTCCACAAAGAGTAATGCACAATATTGTCTGACGGCCTTTTACTATCTATACTCCAAAAAAAGGTGTATCTCACAAAAACAATACAAAGCTTAGGTCATGATTGACTAGGATGGTGGGCTGTGGTGGGAATAAGAAGCAGATCGTCATGTTCACATTTCTTGGCGATTCGGGATACGATACTTGGCCTCCAGCTCCAGCTCCAGCTCCAGCCTTCATCCCCTACTCCCATACTCCCATTTTCAACCACCTGTTCGACCTTCTTCTATCTTTCAAACATCATGGTGAGAACAGCTCAGATTGCACGGTATTCATCCGACCCAGTCAGGCGATGGATTCAACGGGAATATCCCGATCATGGAGGCAACACTGTCATTCTGGGGAAGTTTTCCTATGAAAACCAATTCTATCGGCCGGAGGAAGGTGAAGCTTACCGACTTCAAGTATACAGCACCACTCCTATCCAGTCAGAGGAGTTCAAAAAGTTGTACAAATATCTCTGCTTTGACCTCAGCTGGCCTCCCTTTTTGGAAATTTACTCCTACAACCCACCAGATGGTCTGGCCTGCGTCGAGCACCAGCGTCGTGAAATTGCCCATCGCAAGCGTCTCCAAGCCGAACAGCGCGAAGGCAAATATGACGAGTCTATTCCCCCTTGATTCCAACGATGCGAACTGGCTTCGAGGATGAGTTTATGTCGGGATTCTGTTTCCTTCTCACGTCGAAGAGCCACCTCCAGGGTTCATTGCAAGATAATGACCACGGCACGGGCCCCTGGTGGATTAGCTTTGATCGGAGTCTTCCGTCTGCAATAAAAAAGCTAGACATGATTAAACGTCTTGACACTCCGCCCACTGAGCTTCAAACTTTTAAGGAATGGGGAATTTCGGTTAATCCTGAAATTCGCGATATCAATGTGAATATTACGACAAACCAGGGCACAATAAAGTGGGACATAAAAGAGCTTATGCGAGGAATCTATTCCACATATGTTGACAACCAGATTGACTATGGACTCTATGAACCACCCCCGCCTCCACTGTCCGAGGAGACTCCGTCCTTACAACACATCCAGAAGGTTTTAGAGCAGCAGCAGCAAACCGCAGAAGTCCAGTCTATAGACTCGGCCGTACTTCGTCTTACATGGGGATCTGAAAACAATACAGTCTCAGTCACAAACACTTCTTCGGATGGGGAATGCGACCTTCAATACGTGATCTACGCCCAGTTCCTCGCAGATATCGAGCAGGAAAAGTCAGTCTTACTAGAAATAACTGCACGCACATTCGCCGCTGGAATTATCTCCCATCTCCCTGCCTCCAAAACCATTTACTTTGAGTTCCGGATTCCTAGTCCATCCTTGTCTTCCCTTATATCTGCTGCCCCCAACGGATTTGAGGTTGGTGCCTCCCATGAATTTGAGCCGGGCTCGGTCATACGAGCACTGCCTCAGATTAACCGTGACATTTCTATGCGCCCGATACCACATACCTTCTTTACAGTGGTTCTTGATAAGCCTGCCTTGATCCAAGAACCCAGTGTGCTATTCTACATCCTATGGACCGACCCCCGGCAATACATTGAACCGCAGACTACCGACATAGTCGTTGAGACTCTGCGGAGCGCTGGTATTCAGGAAGCTGCAAGGAGGCTTGCAATGCTAGCGGTGGAAGGGAAACTCCAGGATTGTCCAAGGAAGCTTACGCAGGAGGAGCATAGGGGATTATTGTCTTTGTCACCAGAGGAGTACGAACAGAAGATGAACTTCTAGTGTTCCCGGACCAAAAGATCAGGGAGGAGGAGACAATATTGACCTCTGCTTTGAGATGTGCAGAGAAGGACGATTCTAGAAGCACGTTGCACGTTGCATATATTATTCGGATGCACTTCACTCCCCCGAGATCCGGTCGTGGTCTTCCTGAGAAATAGTCCTACGTTTCAAAATTTGTCGGTCGCACCCCAAACAAAAAGAAAGGCCAAATCTACTTAAAATCCACGTACCTGGCAATTATTTGACCGGGAATAGAATTAGTCAGACTATAAAATATAGGGGCCTAGGAAGAAGTTGAACGCTCAGCAACCCCTATCCAAACGTATGGGTACTCGCCCAATCAACCCTTCGGGCATTACCGATGGCATTCGATTTCTGAGTACAGCTCCATTAATTTCCGTAAGGAGGTCTTCTGGGTCTTGCTAGAAGAGCGATGAATATCCAGAGTCTCTCGTTCCGGTTAATTAAAGTGTATTACAGGGGTTTTCGATCGGTAGTTTCACATTATTATCACCCTTCCTCACAGGGCCCACTTAGGTGTTAGAACTAGATCAACCCCCATATCATCAAGAAGACCATTTATAAAATCAGAAGTTCCCCCGAAGAACTAAACCTAGGATCTGTTTGGTACTCTACCTCAACTTCATACTTTCCTTTCAAGCAATTCACTCTGCTGGTCTCGGAGAATTGCATTATCTCAAGATGGTTTTCTTCAGACAGTCTCTTGCCCTAGCGGCCCTATTCTTGACCCATGCTGCTTCCGCCCTTCCGGCACTGAACGACCTTTCCTCTCGGGCTCAGTCCCCCACTGATCTTTGCGGAGACCAGGCTAACCTTATTCTTCCAAATACACCATGGATTGTCTACAACATGCTGTACAATGCCGCTCGGATGGTCGGCACGCAGTGTACAAATTATGACGGGCTCACCTCAAGCGCCAATGGCGCAAAGGAGGTACTCTGGAGCAGCGTGGCCAACATCGACTATGTCGAGAGCACGTAAGGTTACTTACTCTGCGTCGATATCAGGGACATACTAAAAATATACTGTAGGAACAATGTCCCCAAGGGTTACTCCTTTGTCGGTCTGACCCAGAACCTCGAGACCAAACTGTCCGGTATCGAGTCCATCCCCACGGACTACAGCTGGACGCGTACCAACACCACTAAATTCAAGGGTGCGATAACCCCCAGTACCAAACCCCCACCCGTTTTTATATTGACCATCTATCCGAGCAGGAAATGTTTGCTTCGACTTCATGACCAATGATATCAAAGGTGACTCAACGTCATCCTCCTCGCACGAGCTCATGCTGTGGCTGCAGTACGAGGGGGGCCAGCTCCCCATCGGCTGGACCAATGGACCAATTGCCACGATTGACGATCTCTTCGGGACCTCGTGGACGCTGTACGAAGACGTCAACACTGACACCGGGATAACGGTCAGCACCCTAATTCCTGCCAAGCAGTTTGAGGGCTCTTTCTCTGGCGATCTGAAGGACTGGCTGCTCGCTCTGGCCCATCTGGACATTTTTACCGAGTCTACATATGTCAATGTCGGTAATGCTGGGTATGTATTGTCTGTCCTTGTTGTGGCCCTATATTCACTAATGAATCTTGATAGCACGGAGTTCTTCTATGGAAATGCCGTGATGAACGCGACCCTTGGGTTGGAGATCAACCTGGTATGAAAACCCATCAGCATTGACAAATGATCCGTTTTCGGGGTCTCATGGATGGTAACATATTTGTTGCGAATCGGTCAGAGCTCGCTCGATGGTGACGGAGTCATTCTTAAATCTTTATCATTATCTCTATAATTATTCAGTTTCTGGACAAGTATCCGAACCAGCCAAGCCTCAATATATACAAACACCTCAAAAGATAATATCCACATCAAATCATAGCTATATGCTCCTCCAATCACTGGGCCGGCACAAATGACAACGCACTCTGCCATGCCCAGAACACCTTGCCAGAATAGACGTTTTTCGAGAGGGACTATACGTGATACCAATCTGGAGAGATCGATAGCATGCTATTTATCACCTATCTCAGCCCTTAAAGCTTTAGTGTGGAAGCTTTCAATTTGATACGCCCAAGATATTCAACCACGTGTTTCCCTCCCTCCTTTCGAGGCTTGGCAAAGCTTGGCGTTATGAGCCGCATGAGGTGGGGCCCGGCGATGGCGACGGATGGCGGCGGTCTCCGTAATCCAAGTCCTACCTAGGTAGAGTTTAATGACTTTAATAATTATTTTTATTTTGCTTTTGAGTAAGACTACGAACACATACTCTTCAATTTGTTCCAATTCATTCTAGGTAGACCAGAGATCGCAAGAGAGTCATCGTAGCCAGAAGTCTCACTACAAACGATCACTACAAGTGCGTGTGGTAAAAGTGCCTCATCCGCTTCCACATATCAATGAGTAGTTTCCTTTCGGCGATTATATGCCCTTCTCGAGGATAAGTCACCATCTCGACGGGCAGACTGTTGCGAACACACCCCCGGTAAAAGGCAATAGCCTGTGACAAGGGCACACGCACGTCATTCTCACCATGAAGAATCAAAATGGGTGTCTTCACATTACGCATATTCCACAATGCGCTTCCCCGTCGACCGTTCGTTTTTCGTATCCATTTTTCGACGTTTTCATATCCGAACCACGCACCTCTTCAAATGCAACAGAAGTTCCATCTGGAGACCAGTGTGGCAGTTCATCGTTGAACAAGCCAGGGGTAATTTGACGAGCACTTTTTTCTTTGCCAACCTCGGCTATCCAGATTGAGCAGGAGACATTTTGACCTTTTTTGTTGAAATGTTGTAGATTGTAGACCATATTAGCCCCGTCGGGAGAAATGCAAAGATCTCTGGGGACTAGGAGGTCGGCTAGAGCTTCCAGGCTCAAGCTGGCCTTGTGGTCACCATTGCGAATGCTAAGACGTGAAAGAGATAAGAGGGTAGAAGGAGAGGTAAGAGGTGAGAGGTAAGAGGTGAGTCATAATTATATCCTAAGGTTGTCCTTTTGTCGGGGTCCGATAACCGCGATACTGAGGGGGCTATTTGATTCAACGGGGATATCCAATTACATTGGTCCATTCCAAGCCTTGCTTTTCGTCTTCGATCGGAATTGTCAGCTCGTCTTTGTCATATTCTCAAATAAATACCACACGAGTACTCGGCCTGCTTAACGACATAGGATGCGGATAATCTGATTCGTCTGGCTCAAAACGATATACGAGTCGTGATATTTGATATCACGCTATATAAATACTGCCAGGAGTAGAATAAAGTAATAGAGATTAGCGTTGAGCTTCCTCTATATCTTGGGCCAAACCTACTAAGGCAAGAGGAATAGAAGCCTTATTCGTCGCACTACTGTCTATTTGGCTAGCTGTTGGTTGTCGCATGAACTCATAGCCGTTGTGCAGCCCATACAGAAATTGCCAGGTTGACCAGGGACTGCTTTTCAAGCCGAATGTCGGTCTCTCTGGCAATATCCGGGGATCGTCGGAAAATGTATTCGAAGGGTATCGTAATTGGGTACTTAGAGACAGTGGTCTTATCACCAGACCTCTCGATCACGCAAGATTGCGTGACATGGGGATGTTGGCAACCTGAGTCCCATTCCCAGGTATCGATTTTGAGCTGGGCCTTCCTCCGGTTGACTTTCACAGTGATGGACATATTTGCCTCCCCTCTGACGGGATCCACCCACATTCTTGCGTCGTTGTGCAGTTTCGTCTCAGGCTCGGACACTCCGACCTCCACGACTACCCCAGGTCGTTTGGGGACACCAAGAGTGTGCCGAATGGGGCCCCAGCCCCCATCTGGTTGTTTGACGTTTCCGTTGCCAACGGGGACGTCCACTCCTCCATATACTTGAATTGCTTCGTGAAGGTCCATGGGCAGCAAAGCAATTGATACTGCGGTGTGCAATGCACCGGCAACTTGAGAATGCTCGGGAGTTGACATTCTGAGAATCAAGCTATGTAGGGCCGCGTTGTAGAATAGACGAAGACCAGCGATTGGGTCTGGGAGCAAAAACTCTTGCTCGAAAGAGGAAGGATCAATGAAAATCACGAAGTATTCGGATATTTCCAGATTGGGCTTGAATGGTTCATACTGGGAATGGGTTAATGGGCCTAGGCGGTTATATTCAATTCTTAGGATTAGATGGAGTTGCTCTTTCCCTTCGTAGGCGTATCTGTTGGTGGAAGGAGGCAGGTCGCCCATAAAGACTTCCACGTCACTTCCGTGAGATTCATTCATTGTGAAATATTATTTTGTTTTCCTATGAGTAGATTGTGTATGGGGCAGAAGCAGCAGAAAGAAGAAAAGCCGGTTAGGATGTAAAGACCTAACTAGTTATGTTATCATCTCTCATTGGTTTATATTGCCAGGCAATAATTTAGATCTCTCACTTCACAAGCACCATTATTGAATCTATAGTTACTTTATATAGTATTTTTTATAACTAAATGAATACTCTTGAGCAACCTGTTACAATGTGGGGAGAAAACAGAGGCAGAATTATTAATTGATTAAACTAGAAATGTAGGGGGTTATATACCCTGCTAAAACCATTTAAACTCTACTCGATTATAGTAAACAAGCTAACAAATGGTAAATAACGAACAAATAGGGCTTAGTTTATAGTTAGTTAGCAAACATATATACATGTATAGGAGATTGTTCAACAAATACGATATTAATCTTTTTTAACACCGGGCTCTTTATACTCCTAAGTCTTAAGTCTTGACTCTTGATTTCTTATTATCTTACTATCTTACTATCTTACTAACCGAATTTGAACTGAATCTGAACTGAATCTGAATTGAATCTGAATTGAATCTATAATGTATAGTATACAAATAAAAGAGAAGTTAGAATTAGTAAATGCTTTAAGAAGGCAGTAATGAACTAGACGGTGAGGTAATAACCAATGAGAGAGTTATGTGTCGGGTGGCATATCGCCCGTACAGGTGTATAGCACTCAGGTCTGAATGTCTTACTTCGGCCTTATGATTGGTGTCAATCATCTGAGATGGGGGTGTCGTCAAGCCGGACATAGCAAGCCCACATTTCGACGGGATTTCGTAATGGACCTCCGGGTGAACAAGATGAGGCAGATGCGAATATGCGTTTAAGTCGTCTAAAGATATACTTTCCGGGCTGCTCGCAAAAGTCAAATTTGGCTGCTGGTCGGGTATTAACCGGGCGAAGGTCCGGCGGATATCAACATGGTGAGCGGGTGACTTGTCTATAATTTGGCATGTTTTGTGATTCCCTTGTTTCCGGTTGTTTTCTGAGCCAAAATCATGATAACCAGTGGCATCTGGCGAAGGCATACCATACTGCTGGGGCACCATGTTCGCCGCCATTTTAATCGAGGATGCCGCTTTTCAATCACCATCTTGCAGTGTATAACCATAGGCTAATTTGGTTGCTGATCTCTCATGATTATACCTGAATTGCATAGGATAGTAAGTAGAAAAGGACAGTATTTAGGGAATCTTCATTGTTGTCTGAGTAGAGGTCGCGGTATAGTCGAGTTTGATGGGAACTGCGGGATCCATTTTTGTTGGCCTAGCCGGCTATTCAGTAGGGTACAATTGGAAGAGGTTGTGACAAAGGGTTCATGCGGAATTTAAAAAGAGAGCCTTTTATCTACGTCTAGCACCTGCCCGTGTACAACATACTAGGTATCCGTTTTCAGAAGTATAGCGATGTGACCTTTCAGGGGCGGATACAGATAAATTTATCTCTCGGTGTAGAAATCTAGCGTTTAACGCTATTACCGCTTATTCCCTATCTTCTTTCTATTTCAAAAGGCAGTGTTATTTTCGTAATATATGTAGTGTCTATAAGATACCTATGTGGTGTAGTGTAGGTACGGTGTTGGTTCAACCCAGCACCGCCTCTGATTGGCCCAAACCCAACCTCAAACCGCGACAAGAGGACCTCCCTCGGTTTTCAATCAACACCACAACACCCACAAAGCCAAATATTTACCATCCACTCAGTCGCGCGTCGCACTTCACCTCTGAAAAAGGGAACGAAACCTCCACATCCACGCCAACGCACAAGACCAATCGCCACCGCCCCTCTTACTCCCGCACGCCGCGCGCACGCTGCACACGCCTATCATATCCGCTGGGCCCAATACCTCTACGAGCAACACGCCACACCACCAAAAAAAAGGCGACTCTGAATAGTCCCACCCTACCGCATCCCCAACACCATCGCCGCAAGGATGGCAGGTGACGAGTACTCCGTCGGTGGCGGCAAGCTCAAGCTAAAAGGGAGTAAAGTCAGTGGAGGACGGATAGAGAAGAAAAAGAAGAAGAGCACGAAGAAGAAGGAGGGGGATGCGACACAGCCAAAGCCGGAGTCAACACCTGGTACGGAACAGCCAGACAATCAAAAAAATGAGGGTGTGATGTCCGAGGAAGACAGGGAGAAGGAGTGGGATGTGCCTGGAAAGACTGAGGCCGAAAAGAAAGCTGAGGAGATTCGGCGGAAACGGGTATGTTTGTCTCTTTACTTTACTTTCTTTTTCTAGGTCTTTTTGTTGGGCTTGGGCTCTTTTCTACTTCGGCTTTGTTGTACAGATAAGCTGATTTTTCGGGACAGTTGCATGAGCGGCTCCAGCGTGAAGGTGTCAAAACTCATAAGGAGCGTGTAGAGGAGTTGAATAAGTATCTCAGTCGTCTGAGTGAACACCATGATATGTATGTCTTACTCTTCATTACTCTTCATCCCTTTGTTTGATTTCTTTGGGCATTGAAGGACTATAAGCTGACTTATTACATAGGCCGAAGATTGGACCGGGCTAAATGGGTTGGTTCTACGGTGTTTCAAATAGATTTCAGAGCGATCACACAATTTTAGTTCAAGAATACCATATCTGTACTTGTACTCAATACGTTTCTATCCAACCGTAGTAATAGCTGTCAAGAATCCCTTTGTTTCAAATATGGCGGATGAGCTACTCAAGGAACTCTACCACAGTTAAGTATATCTGTCAATCTGTCATGTGGTAATAAAAGGGGGTTTCAAGATTTCAAGAGATATGTATAGTGGCTAAAATGACCCAGAAGAGCTCTATTTAGCAGTCCCCGAAAAGAGAAGAGGCATGCCAAAAATGCGAGACAGCAGCAGTGGCAGCAGCAGATAAGTAGATAAGTAGATAAGTAGTAAATATCGAAAGATCAGAAGAAAGATGTCAACACCAAAGACAACGCCATGCAAATGAAGACCAAAGCCTCAAAACCAAGCCGTAGCCAACAAAACGAATCCGATCTAGATATAGATCACGAAAAACCAAAGGAAAGACGAGCTTCAATTCCCGGAAAATCAGAGAAGAAGAGAGTAAAAACTAAACACCGCGCTAAATCCAAGATCACCGCAGAGGCACGCAAGAAAGGGAAGAATCGGGTCGAACCAAATCGAAGCCAAGGCTAGCAGGGATAACACCTGATCGGCCGAGGCAGGCAGATAAGATAGGGGGTGAGGAGACGAGACGGCCCCAGCCTACAATCGACTAGGCTAGGTCATCCTCAGGGTGTGTGGCACCATCCGCTTCCGCCCCTTTGTTCAGCCGAGAGAAAAAGCCCCAGAAACAGCGGATATTTCTCATTCTGATTATAGTGTCCCTCTTCTCATACGCCCTTCACAACAACAGTGCGTTCGCTGTTCAGCTTATCGGCATTGCGGGCGTGTGATTCTTTCTTGCAGTCCTCCAGTCCAGTGCAAGAGTGAGCTTCCAGCATACGGTGCTTGGAGCAGAAGTGGCCGGCGCAGAAGCTGCAGTCACCGACGATACGTTGGGCAGCTTCCTTGCACTCCTTGAAGTTGCAACGGGGCTTGCGGGGAGCCATTGTGGTTTGAGGTTGTTTAGGGGGGTGGTGGTGGAGTCGGTTTGGAGAGAGAGAGGGGTTGATATAGAGGTACTTCTGCGGAAGAGAGGGAGAAATAGGGAGTAGAAGTAGATTTAAGGGCGAGACGCTGAGGAGTGGGTTTAAGATAAGCGCCGTTTAAGTGTGGAGGCGTGGGGAAAGTAGAGAATCCAAGTAGAGAAAGTTGTAAAAGGGGGAGGAAGGGAAAAGAGGACCAGCACGACCAGCCTATATATAGGGTAATCGGAAGACACGGGAGAAAGCCAAAGAAACAGACTTCTAACCAGAGACGGGGCTGACTCAGTGAGGCGACAGTGACGGAATCGAGAAGTGGAGTTGCCCAAAGTAATGGTTGTTGGGGCTAGGCGATTTGCGATGATTTTTAGTGGATTTTTAGACCAATTTTAGACCAATTTTAGTTAGAATTATTACAATTATTAGAATTAATTGGTCTTGATATTGGACCACCCCTAGGTGATTTGGAACAAACTATACTTGAAAGGCGAATAGGACCCCTATCCTTTGACTGGACGGATATACTCTATATTACTTAAAAATCTTTTTTTTTTTTTTTTCCTTTTCTTTCTTCTTCTTTCAAATTTCTTAATTTTCCTTTTCTTTTTTCTTTTGACTTTACCGGATTCTTCTGCATCCCCACGCGGACGTATCACCCATGCGCCTGGTCTCGGGCCCAATGATCGAAATGTTGAATTGCCCGTGCATTCAAGGGTGTACCTTCACGTGATGATTTCAGGAGTCAGGTGTACGAAAACTAAAGTCAACTAATTCACCAACTACCTAGGTAACTAGTCAAGTATGGAGTAACTAACCCCCAACTCCTAACTAGAATTGAATTAGACTTGGAAGAGAACCCAAATATCGGTCTACCGTTTTACCGCGCCACCAAAGTGGCAAGATGTTCACCCGGACTTCCCCTCCTGCGGTACTCCAGGGACTTATCTTTTACTACTCCGTACTCTGTATATCATGCAGAATACGAAGTACATCGTGCCCAATAATACCACTCAATCCAACGCAAGAGGGAGAAAAGAAAAAAAAGACATGCAAGTGGACGAAAGGAGCTATGACCTCTACAGCAAGTGAACCGTAGCGAGTGAACTGTCTGTACGGAGTACAAATCGACGAGTCGCCTGAGCCAAGCCCGCCTAGGTACGACGGATGATCCGCGTGGAGCTATTGCATCGGTAACAGCATATGCAAGACTGCATACATACAACATAGTACTCCGTACTTCGTACTGCATATGGAGGACGTGTGATGCCATCTGTATGTTGTATACTCCGTACATTTCCTGGGTTAGGCCTAAAGTGCCTAAAGTGAGGGCCGATCCCGCTACCCAATTTCACCGTCTCTCTCTCTCTCCACATATTCCCCACTACTATCACCTTATGTTGTACTCCGTAGTAGGATGCTACTCTGTATCTGCCCACGGATCCCTCGCAGACACACGCTAAACGGTACAAATCAGAATCCTACCACGTTGACACGCTCTACACGGGCTACGTGTTCATGGTCAATTTTAAATAGCAACTAGCGTGGATTGGTTTCATGATATGTCCACTGGTAAGGTTTGAGAACGGGGACAGACAAAAAGAAAGGGGGAAAGGAAAATGTAAATGTGAATAAAAACCCAGTGGACGCCGGCGCAGACACCGATGATGCGCTCAAACCCCCCTTGCCCTGTCCAAATAGCAAAAAGAGAAAGAAGAAAAAAAAAAAAAAAAAATTTAAGCAAAAGGGCGAGGAATGAAATCTCCGCATCTCATATCATACTCCAAGCTCATTTGCCTTGCCTGCATCTGGATCCAGATAATCCTCTCGCTCGGCTGCCTCGTACTCACCGATCAGATCCATCACAACCGCACGTGCCTCGTCAAATTCGCCAAGTCCGTCAGCAAATGGCGCTTCCTTCTTATATGAATCTAAGAAGGCATTGCGCTTGCGGAGCATGTCGTAGTGCTTCACAATGCGCTTGAATAGTGTTGCGACAGAGGTGTGGTTGGCCAACATCAGCCCACTGACACGGTGCCCAGTTTCCTCGATATACGGGGATTTCTTCGTTAGAGCAACCTGGATACTGGCAGGGCCCCAGGGGATGAAGGAAGCGAGGCGACGCTCCCGGATACGTAGCAGTGACTTGTGCACGTCGGTCGGGTCCGCTTCGCCCTGGATGATGTTGAGGATACTGATGTAGCAGCTGGACTTGCTGGGGTTGACGGAGACCATCCGGTTCTTGGGCTGTAGTAAGCGACGCATAACGTCTAGTACGGTTGTCTTTCGCACGGTCCTAGCTTGCTCGATGTTGGCGCCCGTGAAAGGTGTGTATGATGTGAGAAGGAAGTGGCTGCGTGGGGTAGGGATGAGCGAGGCGATGATCCCGGCGAGATCGTTGTGCATGTATCCAGGGTATCGTAGCGTGGTTGTAGATGCAGACATCACCGTTGAAACGAGCTGGTTGGTTTGGTGGAACGAGGGCTCTTGAACGTGGAGCCGATCAGCGACAATTCGTGACAGAGCACCATTATCGAGGACGACCACAGAGTCGGCATCTTGGGTCAATCGTCGCATGGCAAGCAAACTGTTGTAAGGGTTGACGACAACATCGGACTGTGTATCCGGGAAGACGGAGTAGGTTTGGATCAGTTTCTTCGGGAATCGATCGTTCATGCGCTCTAGGATGAAACTCCCCAGTCCGGAGCCTGTTCCTCCTGCGATCGAATGTAGAAGCATAAATCCCTCTAGTGAGTCACTTCCGTCTGCTTCGCGGTCGATCATATCGAAAATCTCCTCTTGTACGCCCTCGCCTGCAGCATATCCGGTACCCCAATTGTTTCCAGCTCCGATACCTTGTTGTCCGACGAAGAAGTTCTCGGGGTTGTAAATATTCTTGTAAGGGCCAGTCTGAATGGCGTTGAGGACCTGAAATCAACCTGTATGTTAATCATCTTGTGTCGGTGTGATATATCGGCGAAGGATAGCATACCCTGGGTTCTAAGTCGAGGAGAATCGCTCGAGGGATGTACCTTGTGTCGTCACTCTGCCCACGTCTGTTAGCCAGTGTTCTCGCAATGTCACCAAGCAGATATTTTGCTCTCCCAAGCTTCCTGTACACACCTGATAGAAGAAGACATCCTTGCGATCACCGGCCGCCCCGTCAGTCGCATGTTCTTCCAGGTTTCCATCTGCGCTGATCCCGTGCTCCTGGCAAAGCTGCTGCCAGAACTGACTGCCGACTAGATAGAGCGAATGTTAGCGATGTGAACTATATGTCCTCATGTTCCGTTCAAAAGAATAGGATCAAGGGTCTCGTGGAATGGATCGCGGAGTTGAGCCACATACCGTTGTTGCCGCACTGGCCGGCTTGAATTGTGATGATTTCTCTACAATCGCCACCAACATTAGCATCAGTGTTCAAGCTGGAAAGAGAGTCCTCAATTATAATTGAGTCGACAGAATGAACAAACCTTGGCATCTTTTCTTCGCAGAAGCCGTCGAGTGTTGCTGCTCGTTAACGCGTATCGCGTTCACGCGGGGAACTTTTTGGCCGATACTTTTGCCTCAGGCAGAAGATCTTGCTACCTAATGTGTTAGACAACAACAACGTTTTAATGGCTTGTGAAATAAATTTGGTCCGGAATGAAAGTTGACTAATCTGATATTTATATGCTTTTAAATCCGCCCAGTTATGCTAAAAATTTTGATAGATCGTCTTCCCCAAGTGATCTATCTGATTGCCCAACCGTCACCCTAGACCACTATATCACTCAAAACCCTGCCTTCAAGGCTGTAATGAGGTTTCCAGCGCCGGCAACTACGCCATCGACAATTCGTACCCGTTGGCCTTCCGGGTGTCCATATTCCTGAGTACACCCCTCCCGTACCGCTTCCTCCATACCAGCCATACCTGCACAGCCCAGACAGACAACCTTCACACGAGATTCCGAGTTCCGAAGCAGGTTGCGGGTAGCATCGATGATCCTCCGTCGAACCTCCTCTGGTTCTGTGGTGTGGAGTTCAACTGCCGTCAGACCTGTAGTCTCGACGCCTGCAAAGTGCATGGAGCTTCCGTCCTCAAAGTCGTAACCCAGCGCTCCCTGAACCGCATTGGTGAGCTCCTCCTTCCACGCGGAGCCAGTAGTCACAATACCAAAGCTGCCCTTCTCTTGGTACTTTCGTAGTTTCTCTGCTGGATTGATTGGATCTTGCAATGCGAAACCACTAACCAAGGAGAGCGCAGCTGTGATGGATGCTTCAAATATTCCAGTGACATATTTGTTTCTCGCTGAGCTCGCTTCTTCGCTTGCCGCGATATCCTCCCTAAGCCTGCCGACGAATGGATGCGCAGAGTAACACGCTACAAGAAACGCGTCGTAATCGCCGATAAACTCTCGTACGGGCCAGCAATTCAATGCCGACTTGCACGATTCTTCGGCGTTATTGATGCTGGCGATTGGTTCAATTTCGACTCCGTCAATTTCCACAGTGGAGTCTGGAGCAGTGAAGTACTCGAAGTGCACGTCTTGGTAGTTCATGCTGGCCAATATGGGCTTCAGGGCTTCGGTCATGTGCGTTGAGGTATTGGGATTGATGACCAATATGCTGTAATCCCGTTCGCCTTTCCTCGGATCCAGTTGAATGATTTCCTTTGTGCCATATCGCGGCGCAATATCGAGACTCATCTTTGGAACAATAAGGTGAATTGAATAGACAACAGGAAGCACAGTTCCTTACTCTTCCGGAAGAAATTAATCACCGCGGAGACTGCGATGAGCTCCGTTATCCGTTATCGGGATCCTCCACAACCCCGCTATCTCCTAGGAGCTTAGCAGACTATGTATTTCTTAAAAGGCCTTATGAGGTGTGTACATATGGTGTTCGGATACTATTCGCCGAGGGAGATAAGCTTCTTAGTATATTGACTTAGGTATCCTTGCAAGCATTCTTGCAAGCATTCTTGGAATTTGTATGTTCAATTGATATGGCTTACAAATTCAGAGTTCCAGGGCATAGTACGGAGTATAAAAGAACCACTCCGCCCAGTAGCCCCGCCATTCCTCGCACGCCATCACACTTTCAACACACCTCACATAGGCGGAACAAAATCCAATTCCCATCATGCCTCTTATCGCACAGAACCCCCAGCCGAGAGTGATTCTCGGATTGATGACCTTTGGCCCAACCGAGGCCAAGGGTGCTCGGATCACTTCGTTGGATGAGTACAATAAATGCCTTGATTACTTTCAGCAGCAAGGGTTCAATGAAGTCGACACCGCCCGTGTCTATATCGGCGGAGAACAGGAAGCATTCACAGCCAAGGCGAATTGGAAAGAGCGTGGACTAACTCTGGCCACGAAATGGTACCCGCTTGAGCTCGGTGCCCACAAGCCAGACGTCATCCGTGGGCAACTGGAGCTTTCTCTCAAGGAGTTGCAGACCGACACAGTCGATATCTTCTATCTGCATGCAGCAGATCGCGCCACTCCATTCGCTGAAACTCTCCAGGCTGTTAACGAGCTGCACAAGGAGGGGAAGTTTGTACAGCTTGGTCTCAGCAACTTTACAGCCTTTGAAGTGGCGGAGATTTCCATCCTTTGTGCTGAGAGGGGATGGGTCCGTCCCACCATTTACCAGGCCATGTATAACGCCATTAGTAGGTGGTGCCCTTTCTCTTGCTTTCGACATGTGAGATCATGGCCTTTCAGCTGACACGATTGGTAGCACGCAACATCGAGACTGAACTCGTCCCTGCCTGTCACCGGTACGGTCTCGATATCGTCATCTACAACCCGCTGGCCGGTGGTCTTTTCTCCGGAAAATACAAGTCACAAGATATCCCCGCCGAAGGCAGATACAGCGACTCGAATTCTACCGGACAAAATTATCGCAAACGTTACTTCAGAGATGCCACCTTCGAGGCTCTGAGTATCATTGAGCCTGTCGTAGAGAAACATGGTCTCACACTTCTGGAGACGGCTCTGCGCTGGGTCCGCCATCACTCTGCTTTGAGAATCGACCATGGCGGTCGCGATGGAGTCCTGGTGGGAGTCAGCAGCTTCTCACAGCTTGAAACTAATCTTGCTGATCTTCAGAAGGGCCCGCTCCCAGAAGAGGTCGTGCAGGCTTTGGATCAGGCTTGGCTGGTTGCCAAAGCCAATTCTCCCAATTACTGGCACCTTGATCTGAAGTATACTTATGATACTCAGAAGGCGATATTTGGGCCCAAGGAGTAAGGTAGAGGGAGAATATTAAAGCGCTTTCACAGGGCCACTGTATATGAATGATAACCAGTGAAAACACATGGCAATTCGAGGAATTTAAAGTTATCCAATATGGCCCAACATTTCTATCATACTTGGGACATCAGGGTGGGATAAGACTAAACATTCGGTAACCATAATCAGATGGTCTTGCTCGTCACCAGGGCAATAGATCAGTAGATCTTAGTACTGTACATTGCAAGTATATCTCCTTGTTTAATTTCAGCGGTCGAGCGGGGGAGATCTCCTACCTCCAAATCGCCGAATGACATAGTTGCATACGCTAAATCCAATCCGGTATAGCATGCGCCCCGATCGAGATCACGTGTAGTCACAGGGTCCACAAGTGGATGATGACACCTGAAGGCGGCCATTTTGTTACGCCTCATTAGATTTCCCTATCGTCTTCAACCTGGGTGTTTCTGCTTTTATTCACATTTGATATAATACTTGTTACCCAGTTGATTGAACCTAACATTCAAACTACAACTATCCCGCGACCGGTGCCGATTCGCATGTATCCTGTGAACGGCTGTGCAGCAGCGATTGAACACGTGGGAATAGACTCCATGGGTATCCTTTTCCGGGACAATACACTCTAGCCACGTTATCTGCATCATCTGGATGGGTGGTCTTTCGATAGTCCATTCGTCAGCTCCTTCTCTTTATCTTTCCCCACAACCAGAGTAAATCGGACAAGAACTCCCCTGACGGCGGGATTCATGTCGAGGTAGTTAAGCCGACTAGCACCTTCCCCTGCCATCGCCGTTGTGGCTTCTGATAACATCGAGCTCTCTGAGCCCCGGGTTACCTCAACCCTAGACAGAGTCCACGACTTCGACTCTGACGACGAGATGGTTGTCAATCGCCCCCCATTACACCGACCAACAGATGGCCGCTCGCAACAACCTCTTCTCAAAGATGACCGCCATCGCCGGTCCCACTCCCACTCGAGCCTCGGGAATGCCGATGCCGAAGGCCGCCCTATGCTGCATGAAACCAGAAGGCCGACGATCCGGAGTAAAAGTCCGGAACGCGACGCTGCCAAAGCAACACGCAAGAAATACCTCGTTGCATCGGGATTCCTCCTGCTCAGTTTAATTAGCTTCGTGGTCCAAACGGAGACCGCTTCATACATTCAAAATGAATTGCATTGGAAGAAGCCCTATTGCATGCTGTAAGTCCGAGCGCAAAGATGCCACCGACTAGCCCATGCGACACCCGCTTCCCGGAATATAAACGCTTACCATATCCTTTCCCTACGCAGCTATATGACTCACGGGTCATGGTCCTTGCTCTGGCTGGTCCAGCTAGGTATCCTTCGGTTACAGAAACGGAAACTCACGTGGGATGCTTTCTGGCGGCGCCACGTCTTTTTCCTTCGCACCACGGCGCAGATGGTAGAATCCCAAGAAGTACATCTAAGCACTCGCTCGTCCAATCGATCTCCGGTCCCCTATATGCTGAAGACCACCGCCTTTGTAACTACCGCTCTCACGGTCGCTGGAGGATCATGGTACGTGGCAGTCAACATGACCACCCCCAGCGACCTCACGGCAATTTACAACTGCTCGGCATTCTTCGCGTATGCTTTTTCGATTCCGTTATTGAAAGAAAAGCTGCGGGTTGACAAGGTCTTTTCCGTGGCCGTCGCTACCATCGGCGTTATGGTTGTTGCCTATGGGGATGGGCCTAATAAGAAGGTCTCAAAAGGAGACTCGGATAACACCGGAGGGCAGAACAGATTGCTCGGAAATATCGTCATCGGCGTTGGAAGCATTCTGTATGGGCTTTACGAGGTGCTCTATAAACGCTTTGCCTGCCCTCCGGAAGGTACCAGCCCTGGCCGAGGTACAATCTTTGCCAATACTTTTGGCAGTCTAATCGGGGTTTTCACCCTGTTAGTACTATGGATCCCATTGCCATTTTTACACTGGACGGGATGGGAGACATTTGAGTGGCCGACTGGTGAGGCAGCATGGATGCTGCTCATCTCCGTGGGTGCTAATGCTAGTAAGTACCACATCAGCATTTCAACACAGATACAGATGCTAACACCAAGATAGCCTTCTCGGGCTCCTTCCTTGTGCTCATCTCCCTCACGTCTCCCGTTCTGTCATCGGTAGCCGCTCTCCTTACCATTTTCCTCGTCGCTCTGGTGGACTGGTTCCGAACTGGAGACTCACTTTCTATGGCCTCTATCATCGGAGGCTTTTTGATTACGGTGGCATTTTTCATGTTGAGCTACAGCACGTATAGAGAGATGAACGAGGAGCGAAAGAAGCATCTCGAGAACGATGAGCTCGAGTCTGACAGCGATGCATAAATGTATCCCATGCATGGTGTGTTTCGGGGTGTTTTTTATATATGTACCGGATAATGCCTGGCACTGGGAACCTTTCCCAATGAACACTCCGCACGTGACTCAAAGGGGCATGATCACCTGGGCACTGATTTGAGTGCGTGCTGGCATCTACTCTGTGCGTCTGAGCCTGAACCTCATAAAGGCGGCGGTAGATCAAATAGGAAAGCCCTGCCAGGGAAAATCCGGTACGTATAGGTGCATACAGCATTCGAATTAGTATTCAGCGGTTTTGACGTATAAAACTTCCATTATTTGACGTTATACTTGTTCAAGTATATCGTAATATACATACTAGTTATGATGCAGACGTGCCTAGGTATTAGACATCTGACTAAGAAATCTGTAGATGTGAGAGTTTGGGGAAACACATAGGGTTGCCCCAGATTATGTGAATTCCATGGTTCAGCCTCCGAACCAGTCTGACTGCTGTGACATCTTCGGTATGTCCGAATGAGCTTTTCTTTCTCCGTGCATAGAACCTTGGAAGGCTAATGGCTTTAGAGATAATACAGTATACGAAGTACTCTCGTATAGTTATACTGCGTTGGATGTACTCCGTACATTGTACGATGTAATCTCCTTTTGACTTGGCAATCGCATGGTCCGCGAATCAGATCCACTGCGCAAATTAATCTTCAACGATCACCTTAGTCTATTATACGGTGTACCTATCGAATAATTTAAGAGTTCTGAGTGTAAATTACTATGAAGTAGAGAAGGACGGTGAGAAAGAAGCGCGAACTACTCGATAGGTCAACTTTTAAAGGCGTGGTACAGATGCATATGCAGACCATTTCCAGATTCAAAGCCAGGATCTGCCGTTGCCGCCCCAATTGATTTCACGACGATCAGCCCCCCCACCCACGACCCCCCCAACCCCCCCGTCAAAGCCGCCATTGTTATTGGATTAGACAAAGAAAGTGGTCCACCGAACGCTAGGGGGTGAAATAATGTTTCAGAGCGCCAGGAGCGTCCGTTTGTCTTTTTCAACCCCCTGCCAAATGGCGCTAAGATATGTCTCGTGCCACTATTTATATCCGATCTGACTCCGCAGCCAAGACAAGCAATGGAGAATGAAGTTCGGTTTCAAGTCTGACAATCTCCCGCCAATCCACATAGAAAATGGGACTTTTTGGATAGTTAAGAATTTCATGTGTTCACATATTCTTTCAAGGCCTAGCCTCGGTCATGAACAACTCTCTCCCCGACATGGATATCATCCCCTTGACTTGCAGCCCCCCCCAGCGTGGCGCACTATCCCTCCGGACCCACCCGGTCAAGCGAGATTTGGATGGTCATTTTGGGTCGAGTTATTGGTAGTGATATACCCGCTTTTTTCTCCGGATGTGACTCCCTGTTGATTGGTGCCTTGAGGACCCCAGGATTGAAATAGGTGCCTTTTTTACAGGCACCGTACGGAGCGAAGTACTTTGTTTTCATGGGAGGAACGCTAACCTTGGAATTGAATACGGGTTATTCTGGTGGCAATCAAGTCATGACGTCCTTTACTTGGAATCGATTTGATGTTTCAACCATGATAGTCTAGAGCACGGCATATATGGGGGATGAAAAGGTCACATTCCTCAAGAGAAAAACCTTCTATTCCCTGTTCTTTTGGTTTTTTTTGACAGATGTCACCTAATCTGGCATCTGCGCCGAGATGCCTGGTGTACCTGGAATACTGTATTGTGTATTACATCTAAGAGATCTCCAGGGGAGAGAACTAAAGTACAAAGTACAAGGGACCCTTTCTTACATATTCTGTATTGTATATACGTACATATAATATGTAACTAACTATGTACATAAGAGTTTAACTAGAGAGAAAATACGCAACTCCTAAGTAGTTACCTAGGTATGTTGTATCTACCAAATATATAAGGTTGAAGCCCTGTATGTAATCTCGTTCCCAATAAATAACCCCCGTTGATTGGTTTGCCCCCCCGTTCGGATGGCAACGGGTGATACCGTGTATGGTAATGAAGATACAGCCCCATCTAGGTTCAGCCCATCCAGGTTCCCCTCCTGGATTTGTTGTTCTCTTTGGCTTCTTCTCTCTTCAACCTCTCTACGACCAACTTTTTCACCCTCCCCTCTTTGGCCTTCGTCGTGGCCGTCCGTTCATTTTCCATACTTTTGGATATCGCTGGTGGTCGCTTCAATTTGATCTCAATCGTTCCTTTTCTGCCTGGCGCGGATTCAATGACCCTCGCCCAAGGTGTTTAAACTTGACCTCCAGATTCCTAGGCTTTCTCGCTGAAGGGAAGTCGGTCTGGAGGTCTTCGCCCATCTGGATCTCACCGGGCTTTTGTCGTCACTTCGCTAAATTCCTTTATTACTGCATTCTTTTGTTTTTCTTTTTTTTCTTGCCTTCGATTATGGCTTCCATTTCACTTCCTCCGCAGTCCCAGGCGGGCTTCCCGCCACATTTTGATACCTCGAATCAGTCTGCCAGCCCCGATCGTCGCGAACACATGCACACACCATTGCCTAATCCCCCATTTGTCTTTCCAGCCCGGAACCCGGATTCCCCCAAAACCCAATCGGAGACCCCTGAGCGCCGGGAACGTGCCGCATTGCCCGCATTTTCTTTTAATCCCGGATCAGAACAGGAGCCATCCCACCTCTCAGCGCCATCCTTGTCGAATCCTCGCGCGGGCGGACACCGTCGGCGACCCAGCGAGTTTGTTGGAACCGACCACTTGGTAACACCGGAAATAGTTGGACCAGGTCACAAACGGGCATCTTCTATGGCAGATCAACATCTTCCAGCTCCAGGGCCTGGTTTGGGTAGGGGTCCTGGACGACGGGGCCATGCCCATCGCCGTTCGGCTGCGATCTCTAATGTCGACTTGAACACTATCACCAAGGCACTTGGTCCCAATTCCGGCATGGCAAGCGCGCCTACTACACCCGCCGACCCTAATCGCAAATCTGCATCTGATATTCCTCCGCGACCGGTCTCTCAGTCAGGTATTAGCCTCGGCCGCCCCACGCCACCTGCGTCTCCTCAACTCCCTCCCGTCCCTCCTGTGCCCCCAATTCCAGCTGTCATTCAAGCGGAAATGGCCTTGAACAACCAGACCTCGCATGTCGAGCGACCAGTCTCTGCTGCTTCGCATGGTAACTCGGATAGTATGGCCACAATTAAGGTGCAGCAAGAGGTGGAGAAGCCCACTTTCTCAGATAGGGTAACGCCAAGACCTGATTACAACCCAAAACCTCGACCAAAAACAGCCGATGCCTCTTTGGTGATGGATTTTATGCAGATGGACGACGACTCAGGATCCTCCATCAAACGTTCTCACTCGGCTGCTGGGCACTCCCGCTCCCGAAAGAGCAAATCAACACCGCATCTCGATTCGACTCTCTCGACCGATGATATTCAGTCGACAGACAACTACCGACCTTCATTTTCGGACGATGGTTCCGATACATCTGGCGATGAAGCGACAGAGCACTTGTCGGACAACAAATCCCCTATTAAGTCGAAAAAGAAGAAGCAGAAGCGTGTTCGCTCTTGGGCCGGCCACATTCTAACCCGAACCAAGAGCAAGGGCAAGGGTAAACGCCATGCAAAGACTGACACAAAAGAGGAGCCGCCTGTACCTCGCACTCTCGCACCTCGCCCCCCTGCTCTTACTCGGACCAACTCAGGAACCGGATCGGTTTTAGACGTTGATTTCGATAATGACGATGTCGTTGTCATCCGAACTCCGACCAATCCGACAATGCCTCCTTCTGCCCTTGATCCAATTCAAAACGATCGTCAATCCGATGATGGTTGTTCTTTGCCTACACAAACTCTAGAAACCTCGTGGAAACCGAGAAGTTTCTATGAACAGGGGGTTGGCCCACATGACAATGTGTTAAGTAGCCCCATCATCGACCTCGATGCTGCACTCGGTCCTTTCAACACTCCCGACATGCGACCAGTGACCCAGGGTGCGCCCAACAACAATTTTTCGGTTGCAACCCAGCGGATGTACAGCGGCGGAAGACGCGGTGAATTTGTTGGCCCAGAGATGCGATACCATCGGCGCACGGAAAGTGCTCCGGCGATGCAACCATTCGACCGCACTGCTCTCGGCGCATTCCGTTTGGGACCGGCCTCAGCAGTCGAAACGCCCGATGTGTTTGACGAGGAGGAAGAGGATGCCTTCCTGGCTGCCTCCCAGTTACCTAAGGGTGAACGCCTGACGGCGAACACGACATCGATCGACGATGCAGTTTTCTCGTCATCGGAGGACGATGTGAAATCCATTCACAGCAATGCTACCTCTGGCACTAGTGATACTCTGACCCGTGCCCCTACCGGTAGCATTTCTTCTCGGAATGCTGGCTTAGGCATTCGACAAGGCGATAAACATCTGAGCCACGAACAGCCGGAGGAACGAAGTGCCCATGAGCAGGTGCATAATGCCAGCAATCCTTTCGCCAGCAAGCCTCGAACCCCCGTGGAACTTTTGAAGACCGAAGAACCCGCGCATAAGGTGATCGCACCTCCCAGTCCCGACATTTCTCCCCGCTTCTTAGCTATCGACAAGCGGCCAGCAACGTCACCCACTGAAATGCTACCTAAAATCCCACCATTCGCGTTACAACCAGGCATTTCGCCGTGCGACTCGTCTTTTCCGTCTCCGGATGCTCCGCGGTCAATTGCGGCATCCTCGATGACTGACCGGAACCTCTCCAGTCACTCGTATCATCATCTTCCTGCGGCAGAATATCCTTACGCATCGGTTGAAGATGTTCCGTCTTTGACCAGCAGTGCATCGACCATGACTAATACTCTGAATCGTTTCTCGGCTGCTTCTTTCCTCCCCCGTGGACGTCTTTCTACCGACCGCGCCGCGTCCTTCTCAGCTGCTGGTACCAGACGCACCAGCCAGGCTAACGCCTCCAAACGCTCTAGTCTAGCCAGCCTTTCCAAGCTGGTCGGTGGTGCCCATTCTGAGCGGAGCAAGCTCAACCAGGAGGAGAAAACCCCTAGCAACGCATCCGACAAAACGAAGAAGAAGGGCCACCGTCTCAGCCGAATGATGCACTTCTGGAAACCCAAGGACAAAGAAAAGTCATCCAAAGAGGCGGCACCAGAACGGCCGCAGTCGTAGGCGTGCGGTGCGTATGGTTTTGAAATTTTTTCTTTTTTTTTTTTTTTTCAGTTCGATTTACGGCGCAACCTCGGCATAGCGACATCCTGACAATTATTTTGAGACATCCCATTACTTCCTCTGCTTTTTTCTTCCCCACTTTCGACATCGTGGGCGTCTTCTTTCACCCGATTTGTACATACAGTGTTCCGTTCAGCTTTCCTGTGGATTCTTTTTCTCCCCTTTTCATCGGCGGTTCTATTTTTGCGTCTTCCACCAAGACGCTCATTACGAATTTCTTTCCTCTCAAGGCGTTATTGTCTTGAGTATGATCTATCCTTTTTCTTGTCAATCCTTATGTCCCGGTGTGAGTGACGCACGGATTTATTGACTTTCTCTACGATCATTGCTCCTCTACGGGCTTTTATCTTACCATTTTTGTTCTGATTTTGCCCAAGGCCCTTGGCCTGGAATACCATTCGTCCCCATTGGAACTTCCATTGGGTCCCCTTTTTTTCATATCTAGGATGTGGCTCTCTGTGTATCTATTGTGTGGCTTTGGTGTGTGCACTGCTCAGGTGGTGTAGCATTCGTCAAGAATTTGTCCCTGTCTGATTACACAAATAGCGGATAATGAAACCACTCTCTTCAATTGTATGTCATCGTCCTTGTAGGATTTGTGCAGATTGATTTTGTAAGTTTTTGTAAGTTGATGTAGTTCTAGGAAATGCCGTAACCTCAGTCCAAGCCTTATATGTACTTGGTTCTCTCCAAACCCTCCTTATGATATAATATCATCTAAGACAAAGGACACTCTTCCAGAGTCCAAAGCTACAAGCGAAAAATCACCTCACAGTCAACCGAGAAAACTCCCATCCCGCCATAAGCTCTTCTCTGTTGCAAATTGATCTATGGGACTCCGATGCTGCTGCATTCGAGTGGTCTGCTGTGTAGGTCGCCGCATGGTCCCCAGATTATGTGTTCGCCGCTGTATTTAAATGTTTTTGGGCTATCCCAGGGGTATGATCCGGGGTATAGATTGTAGTGATTACAAAGAACGAGTAACGCAAAGAGTGTCCATATTAATGGGAGGCCCCAGCTCTGAAAGCGTGGATATCTTCTCTCTCGCTTTCTGGTAAAAGCCCCCGGTAGAGGTTTTTCTTCCATTGTTTATTTGTGATTCTGTCTTTGCTATCGAGCATACCAACACGCGAGTTCTTATATGGATGCGGGGCGGTCCGCCCGCTCGGAGCTCACTTCGGAGTCCGGGGCTCGCAGATACAAGGCCATGGCCTAGATTCTTTTTCCCTTGGCACTCTTGATTGGGCTTCCGCTTGTGTCGTAAAACAAGGTACTATTCTACTAGAAGTTGTACAGTTTTATATAAGTTGATCAACCACAAGGGCAAATACTATCTGCATAAGTACGGCTTTAGCAGCAATTATAAGTCAATTGCTACTTACATAGACTATAGAAGAGCTTTCAATTTTGATATAAGTGAGAGGAACCATGATCTGATTCAAAAGCTAGAAGATCTGCGCCAGAACTTTAGGTTGGTCATAGACTCATAGTATGTAGTACTAGGATGTAGTACTAGGAAACAAGGCCTAGAAGACAGGCACAGGGCGGTGAACGAGCTATCCTAGTTCATTCACGGACCATCATAGTCGATTCATCTTCATCTGTCAACTTTGTAACGTTCCGTATAACCATGCGACTTGGCTGAAAAGGTCATTGGCGAGTTCGGCATGTCACATTTGCCAGGACTGGAACACGAAGCTATTCGCACTTCAAACCAACTTGAGAAACCTTTATCTTGGTTTTGTCGACTATAACTCGGAAGCTCACATAAATGACCACTCAAAGCTTCAGAATTGAAGCAAATGCCACGGTAGGGAGTGAATATGAGGAACCTTGGAAGTGCTCAGGGGCCCCGGGGGATGAATTGCCTTACCTAATCTCAACGTGCGGGAGAGCTCCGGCCACGGGTGGACCTGAGCTCTCCCCCATAGAGATGTTGGATCTGCAACCATCTTGGAGCTATTCATTCCATCGGTACTCCTACTTTCCGATACTGCACTTTGACTTCAAATTGTGGGACTACAAGTCCTTCCAGCGATTCTGCTACGGTTATTCAACTTGGCAAATTCATTCCCTGCGTTTTTACTGTGTGTCTTGCACTCTCGGCGACATCGAATTTATGCATGTGCCTTCTTTCCGCTTGAAGTTACAGCATATTTGATCTTCGCGCCAATCAGTCAATACAGCAGAACCTGGCATTGTTACGGCCCACGGGCGTGAGAGTGAAAACTCCCATAAAGCACAATGTCTAACGGTAATTCACAAAGAGAAGTGCCCATGTCTCATAATGAGCACTCTCGTTATGTTCGGGCACAAGAGTACACATCTACACCACGTTATCCACCCTCGACCGGGTCTCTTGGGGCAGGCTATTTTGGGTTCTCAGGCAACAATGACACTGTAATTGTCGACCTGGAAACCTTCAAGCGTGATTCCCACCACTTTGCAGAAGGGGACTTTGTTTGTCCCGGATTCTTCAACCGCGTTGATCTAGGTGGGTTCACCCGCCGCTTCAATCATTCGCAGTGGAATTACGATATGCGCCGCCAAGCCCAGTCCATCCTTCCATTCTTATCTCTGGGCCCTTCATCATGTCTACGTGATGCCGATTACATCCGCAGCCAAGGGTTCACACTACTCCTTGCTATTCGAAGTCGACACTCGGCCCTGGCACGCCTTGTCTCAGGCGAAAAGGCGGCGGCCGAAGCCGGTATCATGGCCGACACGGTTGATGTCCTTGATAACCAAGAACTCATTTCTACATTCCCACGCGCTATCCGCCGCATCAACGATCATCTGGCTGGAGTGGATGTGGGACCCAATGGGATGGTGTTAGATGGCCAACAACAGAAAAAGAAAGTTCTCGTCTTCTGTGAATCCGGGAATGAACGTTCCGCCGCTGTCATCATTGCCTACACCATGGTAATGCTCAATATTCCGTCGGTTGAAGCTGCGCACATGATCCAGGAGCGTCGTTTCTGTGTTTCAATCGAGGACTCCATGAAGTGCATTCTCACGGCTTTCGATACCATTCTTTCTGCTAAGCGTGATGTTGAGCGTGCTAAAAAGCTTACTGTTCGTGGGGCTGCGAGTCTTGCGCCCCCATCCGCACCACTAGTGCTCGCGAAGAAGCGAAGTTTTCAAGATCATAGAAATGATGATCCTGTCATGGATGAGGGTGAAATGGACGTGGATGATGATGAAGATGACCCCTTTTATGCGCGAAATCCGAATGCTCCATTCCAAGACCGCGTGGTCTAGAGTCAGCCGAGGTCGCTTTTTGCGAGTGTCTTTCATTGGACTATGAATGGCAATGTCATGCTCTGGAGATGGAGAGAAGGACGAATATTCTGGATGATGAAAGGTAATGAAGGGAATCTGTACATTGTTTTGAGTAGGGTGGCTGTCTCCTTTTCTTTCATGTCTGCTTTATTTGGCTGCTTTATTGGTTCATGGTTCTTACATGCAAATACCCAGCTTCAGTTGCTCGTTGCTACTAGCTTCCCAACATTCAGGCCATCCACTGGCCATTACGCCTTTATATCTTCATATCCGTAAGATCATAAACATGGAAAAAGTTCAACATAGCACATGGCTACACTTTGTGTAGGAAAATCGATAATGGGGTCGATATCAGACTTTGGCAAGTCTCAAGACGTGCGGAAGTCGATTGATGCCCTTAGGCATCTGACCTGGCGTTTGAACCCACCTTGCTGTCTCGACTCAATTTGCCCCTGCCGTTTGTTTTCCTTTTCGAACTGAGAACTCGAGTCTTGCACTGACTTTGCGCGACTTCAAATCCACCCCGATCTTCCTTTCTCCTCTCTTCCTTCATCTCGCGCGACAGCCTTTCCATCTCGCGACCCCACCACGATCACTCATCGCACCCTTACAATGAAGCGCATGCTTCCCATTGACCTTTTAACATACCTACGATCGATACATCCACACTGCCATTAAACGCATCACCCCTCACCCCTCCCCCACACCCCACGCCTCATCTCAGCGCGCCGCCAAAATGAGCAGCATGAAACTGCGCGACAGTATCCGCGCGCCGGTGCGATATGGCGAAGATGAATATGAAACGCCGTCACAGATCTCGCTGCGCCACGGATACGACTCCTTTGACGACTCCATCGAGCTTGGGGAATCAGGCAGACCACGCCCACAAAAGAGGCGCAGGCCAAACACTGTGCCATTCAACCCCAACCTGCCACCAGCTGCGTTTCCCAGTTTGAGCAGACCACAGCCAGGTCGTGATTCCACCACTGCGCAGAATCGCGCCGTTGGCGACAGCCAACAGCACATGCAGACAAGCGACGTTGCACTCCCTCCCCGTAACGCTGGGTCAATGCCAACCGTTCCATCGCCTCCGTCTGGGATGGAACGAGTCCCAATGGATCAGCTCGATAACTACATCGCCAGTAACAACATGGACAATCCGGTGTATGCGAGGAACGTAAATATGGCGCGCATGACTTGTGCGGATGCGCCTCCGGGTACCGAGGATATGGGCACCTCCCCGGACAGTGATGATGAACCACTGCCAGATGCGAGTCAGGTGCTCCTTGATGCTGTAAGTATACTGTGGCTTTTCCCCGTTTTTCGTACAACTGACCGAATCTAATGTCACTCGTCGTTATAGATCCCCAACCCGAAATGGAAAGATCTGCACAAGGCTATGCAAGTTGAAATCGTCGAAAACACAATGAAGTACCATAGCTGGAGACGCGTTTGCGACCTTCTTGGCCTTGGGCCAGATGAGCGAATACAGCTCATGCAGGTCATAAGCGTTCGCAACAAACAAATCGAACGAGAGAATAAAAGACTGGACCAAATGCGACGCAGACAGCGAAGCGTACTCATGAGAATTGATAACAGCGATCTGAAGCATTTTAAGCCGCCACCTCAATTGGTGCTGAAAAGAATCGCTCGAGAGACCAATCGAAACCTGTTGCTCACGGAGTACACGGACCTTTTAATGTGCCAGGCCCACGACGTCCTGAAAGCCAGACAGTACTTGCATCAACACGGGCTACCTCGAAGATATGCCGGCGATTGGGGAGACAGCCTGGTGGTGCTGCGAGAATCCTCGGACTCCCATGAACCCGACAAGTTCGAATGGAAAGACAACCTGAGATTCACTCCACCCCCCAATGAGATCGAGACCCCAATCAATCCTTTGATGGACCCAGTCAGTAGTGCGAAGAGTGCATTCATTCAAAGCATTGGTACACGTATGGACGGCACAATGAACCCAATGGATTTAATCCAACGTGACTCTGACGATCTTGGTCCCATGCTGAATTGGGGAAAGTATTATGAACGGAAACCGGACTCGTCGTGGGACACCACAAAGCCTCGACTGGGTGGAATGGTCAGGCTGAACATCGGTCCACGCAACGCCGCTCAGATCCAACAATACAAGCAAGCCGGTGTCAGACCACAAGGACTATCCTCTGCAACTGTCACGCCAGAATCATTTCCACCGGAGTTTCTACAAGAAACCCCATCTAAGGCGCCACGGAACGGGAACGTCGCCCAGCCATTTTTCAAGAAACCCGCCAAACCTATCAGCAGAGTCCTCACCGGAAACCAGCCTTCGGTGGATTGCAGCCCAACGGAGAGCCAACTCAAGTATCAACGAAACATACAGCAGGCCAAGCTTGAGAAAATAGAGGCCCAGGCCGAGGCGATGCACCGTCAGTTCAACTACCAGCCAACCCTCCAAGTTAATGGCGTTGGTCTTGGAATAAGCCCCGCACGTGCAAAGTTTCAGACGCCTCCGTTGACCCAGCCCGTCGAAGAAGACATGCCTTCGAGCTTTTTCGCTCGGGCGTACCGTGGAATGACAAACATGAACGTTGATCGCCTCATTGATGAATTTGTCTGCTTTGAGCCTATTGTGATGCCAGAAGAAAGCGATCCCATGAAACCCGAGGGAGAGCCTGATGAAGAACCAAGTTCCACTGATATTAGCACGATCACTGAGATGTCCTTGGATGATGTGATGCTGGTGCCGACAGATGGCTGTTCCTCTTCGGAGTAAAGGGATACAACCAAGAATTGAGGGAGCAATCAATAATTCGAGAATTTGAGACTATTTTCTTCATATTGAGTTGCAAGATTTGTTGTATAATATTATTAATTGTATGATAGTCTTGAATGATGTTGAAGTCAACTCCGCGTCCGAGTAGTTTCAGGCGTCCAATCTATACCTGGTCCGTGCACCCAACGCGAAAATGCCGCGTCGAGAACGCGCTCTTACTTCGATCTCCGATATATCACAAACCAACGTCCAATTCTGGGCAGTGTTTCTCTGAACTACGAGTGTCCATTTGTTGGAAACTCGTACATATCCTGTCTCTGCTATTACATTCGTTGGCCCCTCGCCCCTCGCGAAACTTGACGACTCGAAAAACTTTGTCACCCCTGTGAATGACGTAGGATTTCCATCCATCTAGTACTCACTTTAGGTCATTCACTCTTTCTACTCGCTTACTCACTTCTAGCAGACAAAATGTCCATTGAAGACAGTGCTACTCCCACGGATTCCCGTGCGGGGACTATGGCACCTGAGTCGGTGATTCCTTCGTCGCCACTCACGGACCCGACTGAGGCTGAGGACTCGAACTCGGCTGAAGATAAAGATGACAAACCCAAGGAGGAGTCGGCTGATTCAGAAGATGTCGAGGGGATGGACAGCAAGGCCAAGGCCTTGATGCACCTGTTGAAAACCAGCTCGGTACGTCTCCAGTCCATCCTCGTCTTATCTAATTACAATGGTCTGATATCTTGTCGTACCTGTAGGTCTTTGTTGCTATCATGTCGGAGAAAATGAAGAAACAGCAGGAGGACGCACGCTTGGCAGCGATCAAGCGCCGTGAACAGACTGCTGCGACCCAGAAGAAAACCAAGTCGCCTCCTGAACCTGCTCGCCGAGCCACTCGTACTCGGCCAAACCAAGATGCAACGGATGAGAACGCAGACGCCGGCGGAAAGGCCACAGCATCGACCAGAGGTCGGCCTAAGCGGGCAGCCACCGCCAATGGCAGCTCTATATCCAGTTACTTCAAGAAGGCTGATGTGGAAGTAACCGAAGACAATCCCTCGGTGCAACAAGCACTTGAGCAAGCTGCAGACGACTACGAAGCAAACCCCACAGCGCTTGGTGATCAGGACTTGGTCGCGACACAGCAGCCAACACTTGTGAGTGGTGGCAAAATGAGAACGTACCAGCTGGAGGGCCTCGAATGGCTCAAAACTTTATGGATGAATGGGCTTTGTGGTATCCTTGCCGATGAGATGGGCCTTGGGAAAACTGTTCAGGCAATCTCCATGATTGCTTTCCTTAAAGAGAAAAATGTTTCTGGTCCATTCATGATCGCAGCACCGCTGAGTACGGTGAGTAATTGGGTGGATGAATTCGCCCGATGGACCCCGGGAATAAAAACAGTCTTGTATCATGGTTCAAAGGATGAGCGCGCCGCCATGCGCCAAAAGCATATGAAGATGAAAAACCAGGGAGACATGGATTTCCCCGTTGTGTGCACCTCCTACGAGATATGCATGAATGACCGAAAGTTCTTGAGTCAATATCAATGGCGTTATATTGTTGTTGTACGTTTTCTTCAGTTATTTTTCATTTACAAGACGCTGACCGATCTGTAGGATGAGGGACATCGCTTGAAAAACATGAATTGCAAGCTTGTCAAAGAACTCTTGACCTATAACTCGGCCAATCGTCTGCTGATAACTGGAACACCCCTCCAAAACAACATCTCAGAGTTGTGGTCACTTCTACATTTCCTGCTCCCTGAGGTTTTCAACGACCTCAACTCGTTCGAAGGATGGTTTGATTTCTCTTCTGTCCTGGATAACAAGGGCCAGGCAGAGCTTGTTGAACAACGCAAGCGCAACTTGGTTACCAGCATGCACGCCATTCTGAAGCCCTTCCTTCTCCGACGTCTAAAAACAGATGTTGAAACTACTCTTCCTAAAAAGCGCGAATACATTCTGTACGCGCCTCTAACCACAGAGCAGAAAGATCTCTATCGAGAGATAATCAATGGTACAGGACGCCAGTACCTTGAAGGTAAGGCTCTGGAGCGTCTGGAGAGTAAGAGCGGCAACTCTACGCGCTCGCAAAGTATGAAGCGCAAACGGAATGGTAATGACGATGCAATGTCGATCAAGAGCGCTAGATCTAGCGGGGAATCCACGCCGGCTAGCAATGGAAATAATTCTAGCCGCCGACGCCGACGCAGCACGCGTCAGAGTTACAATGACCTAAGTGAAGGAGAATTTGATGAGCACCTCCGCAAACTCGAACTGGGAATTGAAGAAGAGGAGAAGACGCTCGAGCCCAGCGATGCTGAGCTTGAAGAGATGCAGCAGGCTGCGAATCTGAAGCTTGCCAGTACGGCACTTTCCGGTCACATTTCCTAGTCCTTTTGCTAATATTGTTCCCATAGAGAAAGAGATTGGCCAAAAGAAGATGCAAAACCCGGTCCTACAGGCTCGCCTTGCCTGCAACTCTCCACACAATTTCTATTGGCCGTGGATGGATGAGTCCTCTACCGTAGACGAAACACTCGTCTCCGCTTCTGGAAAAATGCTCTTGTTAGACCGCTTGGTCTCATGCTTGCTTAAGAAGGGCCACAAGATTCTAATTTTTTCTCAATTCAAGACTCAACTTGATATCATCGAAGAGTGGGCAGTGACACTCCGCTCCTGGGATTGCTGCCGTATCGACGGTGCTATTGCACAGTCAGAACGCCAGGCTCAGATCAAAAACTTTAATACCAAGAAGAGTCACAAGATCTTCCTCTTGAGCACCCGAGCTGGTGGCCAAGGAATTAATCTCACCTCCGCCGACACCGTGATCATCTTCGATTCTGACTGGAACCCCCAGCAGGATCTGCAGGCTCAGGATCGAGCCCACCGCATTGGCCAGACCAAGCCAGTGATTATCTACAGATTGGCAACGAAGGGTACCGTTGAGCAGACACTCCTTGAGAAAGCGGATTCCAAGCGTCGCCTTGAACGTCTAGTCATTCAAAAAGGCAAATTCCGCTCCTTGCTCGACCCCAGTGCGAATTCCCAAGATATCGACGAACTGCGCAAGGCTCTCGGCGAGAACGAGTTCGAGCGGTTCGAGGTTGGCGCTGACCCTGCGTCCATTTTGTCAAATGAAGATCTCGATATCTTGACAGATCGTTCGGAGGAGGCCTATCTCCGTGCTGAGAAGGGGTTGGATACGAAAGGTGCTGCATTTGTTGCAGTTGAAACGAAGCGCGATTCTGGTGAGAACATTCTCTCTTGAGGTGTTCAGTAGCTGTCTACTTTGCTTTTTTTTTCCTTCTTCCATCTAAGCTACATGCTGGATGATATCCAGTGGTTACTGGATTGTAACAATATCTGTGGTCGGCTGGCTGATTTGCTTGGCGTTGGCATACAGGGTGGGATTGGTGACTTGTCCATGTATCGATTGCTACAGTTCGCGTTTCCTGGTCAGGTAGATGCCTAGACTACGATACATCCTTGCTGTTGTACCATGTGTTAAATTATTTCGATATTCTTACACTAATCAGAAATAAAAATTCAAAGAATATCCATTTGCTCCATAGGCATAATCTTCTGCCACTTGATAGACCTTTTCCTACAAGCGTGGCTAGCCAGACTGACATTTACATCTCATGTTTAGTTTTATTTTCTTATATTTAGATCATTAGATCATTATCACAGATCTTTTCCCAGTTGCTCTTCGAAGAGTATTCTGGTTAGTTAGGTACATGGGCCACGACCTCAATTTCCACACGCATATCATCCTCACCAAGACGAGTAACACCGACACAAGTCCAAATAGGTTGGTGCCCGGGCATGTACTTCTCAAAGTTGCGCACCATTGCTGCCAATGCCTCATCGTTGATAGGCACATGGTACGAGTTGACGCGGAAAACCTGGTTCCAGCCTTCACCGCCAGCATCCTTCAGGTTATGCTCGACATTGGCGAACGCTTGGTCGATTTGTTCATTGATTTCCCGGTAAAACTCGCCAGTCTCACGGTTCCAACCACCTATAGCCGGCGAAGTTAGCAAATAAAGTAAACTATACAGTCAATCTGACTGCTCACCTTGACCTGCGCACTCGATCCGATCTCCGATTCTAACAGCTTGGCTGTACTTGAATTTCTGGCGATTCTTCTCGCCAACGCCCTTGTAGGAGAAATATTGAAGGTGAGACATGATGAATGTTTAGTTATGTTGTGAATTGTCTGCAGTTTTGGGGAAATACCACGCTATAAGTCTTGTCGAAGGGTGTAGCGGAATATACATTCCGCAGTCAGGACTAGCGTCTGTGGGGTGGCGGAGCGGGGCGGAGAGCTTCTAGTGGGGCAGCATTAGTCTTATCTATCCATGACACTGGACGTCCCCTGCAAGCCTTTATATAGGTATATGTGAGCTGTTTTAACAATTGGTGCTCAGGATTAAACTCTGCCGGGATTCTCCCAAAGTTGCTGTCGGCCATATCTTGGGTTTTCCGCATTGCAGATTCATCCCAGGTACCTTGATTCCATTGGCGAAGCGCACTTGTCCGTGGGGGGTATCTCTCAAGGCCAGATGAGGGATGATAGGATATATACCACACGCTTTGAGCTCCGTCGAGCTCTTCTGAAGACAAACTTGCGAACCACCAAAGAAATGTTCTGGCTGACGGAGTAACAGTTGAAGATATTTATAAATACATGTAGCGGCTAACGATTCCCCTAACCGCTCTTTCAGATACACTGCTTCCTCTTCCTAAGGGAATGCACCCGTCGATAGGACCGTGGATGTGACCATTCATGCTGTCAAGTAGTTCCTCTATCCCGAGACTTGAGGCTGAGATATGTGTTGCGTCTGCCTTGGATGGTTTGGCCATGTTAAAAAAAAAAGACGAGCGACTAGAGATGGGTAACTACTGGTTGCTAAGAAGTTGGTATGTCGCCGGGGTATTAGAGCTTAGACCAACAGACCATTCAAGTCAATAAACATAATGAAATATAACATTTAACATGTGCTGGTGTGACTCACTTTGTGGACTTGGGTCTGTAGCTACGGCAGACAGTCTACGCAGTCCACTCGCCCTTTGGGATGGATTCATCCACTGACTGTTATTAATCATAGTTAGGGACCCTGAGTGCCCTCATCAAATGGCAACGCCCTGATCGGGAACATAGTTGCCACTGCCTAAAATTCGATATATAGAGCAACATATATGCAGCGAAAGGGGTCAATGAAAGAAAAACGAGAAACAAAAAGCATTACGCCGACAATTTCGCTAGTACATATTCACACAGTAATCAATCACCGCCGAGCTTTCTCGTCCTCAATCTGGTTGCGGAGGTCTGAAAGGACATTATGCCGTTGGGCCATATGGCTCTTCAGCCCGTCCACCTGTTCCCCAACAGCCTTGACATCCTCCCGAAGTCGCTCCAAATCCTGACCATCCTTAGCACGGCCAGTACCCTCACGTAACTCCCGTAACTCCCGCTCCTTATACTCCAAGAGCGAAAGCGCCTCCTTCTTAATGAGAACCCAGTTGGGCCGGCCATCATGACGCGGGCCATCCCGTCTAGAGTCGGAGGCTTTATTGGCGGAGCTCAGCTTCTTCTCCAACTCCGCAAGCTCACGGCGCAGCCGTACCTTCTCCCACTCCTCATCCTGGATCGTGTCGCTGAAATCTGTTCCCTTGGGCTGGTATGAGCCCTTGCCGCCAACGCCTAGACGGCCGAGGTAAGTATCGCCGAACTTGGCCTTGCGGCCTGTCCGTGTTTCCGTATCGCCGTCTGCGCCGTAGCGCTGTGCGGGTCGTGCCTTGTCGACTTGGTAGTCGATTTGGTTGTGCTCGAATGAGGCGCGCAAGGATGCGGGGATGGTGCGTGGGATGCGGAAACCCTCGTGGCGGAAGTTCAGGATGTGCAGGAAGGCAAGTGTTGCATCTTTGTTGATTGCGGGTGATGCGGACGGGTTGACCAGGTTCCAGGCGGAGTGGACATCGGTATCGGGGACGTCAAGTGATTCGTAGAGTGGTTGTAGTTGTTGGACTGGGAGATGGTCAGCGGGTTGTTGTTCGAGCGCGCTGTGCGCGCTGTGCGGGTTACTCACATTCTACTTGGCCGCGCGCGTTCCGGTTGGCATCATAGATCTCGGTGTACTTGTTCTTGTCGTCGGGCTTCATATACCAATCGAAGCCGTCCTTAAGACCAAGCGAGTCGTCCTCGTCTTCTATCCGTTCAAATTGTTCTTGTCCACTGCTTAGTGCGCGGGTCGCATGGACGAGATGTGACTTTGACTCTGGGACTAGCCAATCTGGCAGGACATTTGGGACATCTTGTAGTTCCTATACAGATAAGACGTTGTGTTAGAACGATTTGGTGGTGATTTGAGATGGTGGATCACTTACGCCGTTGACCAGGTCGAAGACTAAGCGCATCGCAACACAGAACTCCTCGAAATCCAGCTCCCCGTCTCCGTCGACATCGGCAATGTCCCATACCTTCTCGAGCTGGTCATCACGCAGCCGGCTGTTCCTCAGCACGGAGGCGGCCTGAGAGCTGTTGAGGTGTTTTTGGCCATTTGATAATGAGGCGAAAATCTCCCAATATCGCTCAATCTCCCATTGCTCAATCTTTTTAGTAGCCATGATGTATGGAGCTCCAATGAATGGCGTGGAGGATGAGGTGGGAACAATGGGGGGAGAGACTCGGATTTACCTACTTCCGTCAGGGGCTCTGAGGTCATTGGACTTACAATGTAATTATCTTTTTGTGTACAGAGTAACTAACTAACTATATCGTTCATATTCAAATGTTCATAATAATTATCGTCTATATGGTTCTCTATTGAAATCCGATGTGTTCCCTTGCATTATGGTACATGACCCCCTTCATTTGTTGAGTAGAAGAGCTCAATGTCTCCTTCCCAGAACATAGTGATTAAACCCCTCGTTATGAATCTTTCTTCTCGTCTTTCGTATTTTGTTTCGACTTTGCTGCAGCCTCAAGCTGCTCATTGACTTGAATGATGGCTCGTTCGGCTTCCAATGCAAGCTCCGGTGCATCCAAAATCGTAGCCAACTTCTTGGCATCAGACATCTTCAACAGGACCCGGTCCTCACTCTGCTCTATGTCCTCGGCAACCTCGGAATATGAGGTCTCGGTTGTGGTACGTTCGAGTGTTTGGGATGCGCGTTTGACATATAGCTGTTCTAGCTCCGGTAATGAGATGGGGTTGAGGAGATTCTTCTCGACGAGAAATTCTAGATGTCTTGAGCCATTCAATGCTGTGTATTAATCGTCAGTATCATGAACCAGGTCCGTGTAGAATATCAAACTAACCACGCCAGTGGGACCAGCCCCGGTATGCCAAATAGAAAAAGGGAATATTCGGAACCCTGATCTTGATTAGTATATCATATCACCGGGGAAAACTTGTCGCATTCACATACACTGGTACCAACCCAAAAGGTGCTGTAATTGGGGCAGCAATCAAGCTCCACATCATCCTCTTTCGATGAATTTCCTGCCTCTCCGTGGCGATCGTTCGCACCACTTGTTGGATTCGCTCCAACCGCACCGCATTACCGGGGAACAGCACATCCACCTTGGACTTTCCATGATCTCCATTAATTCGCAATTGGGTTTTGAATGAAGGAATGCTTTTGAGGGCCCATTCTTCGTATGGTATCCGTTGCTGAACTCGATTGCCCCAACGAACAAGGTGCATCTTCCATCCTTTGTCGGCTTCCTCCCACTTCGCCCATGTTTCAGCCGCCTTTGTTGTAATTCTGTCAAGATAAGAAAGCTCCTTCGCTAAATCCTTGTTAAGGGGTCGAGCATATATGAGAGCTCGTTTTGTCGAGATCGGAATTAGGAAAAGGCGCATGGTGGAGGATGCCTGAGACCTGAGACAATTGAGAGATCGACAATCGCTTGATCGCGGGGATAATAATAAATATCAAATGGAACAGAATAAATGAAATAGAAGAAGACTTTCACAATAGATAGACCGTTGAAACTTGAAATTTGTTTTTTTTTCATGTGGGTGAAAAAGGGATGCGGGAGCAAAGCAGGTCCACGCGTTTGGATAATTCGAGACGTCATTTCCGAGGTCCGCGTACACTTTCATCTTAGGGAGGCCATCCCTGAACAACCATACTTCCTCCCTGATCAGCAATTGGGGATTCGCGGGTAAACTGTTGGTTTGAAAGTTTCCCGCGGCTCCCGAGTTTCAGGTTTTAACTTCTATATAGCATGGACAGCCCCAAACACAGCGCTACAGGGCGAGCCTTTGATGGGAGGCTGGCAGAGAAGTTTCCACCCATCGCAGAGTCATCACCGCTGCCAGGCCCTAATAACGTCGATACCGAGTCTGCTGTTAGCAATAAAACCTCCGATCCAGCACTTGCGCGTACAGACGGTCAAACAGTGGAAGAAACCGCGTACTCTCAACGCTCCGTCTTACGATCTCTACCTGGTATGTGTCGCATTTGAAAGCTCGATTCGATGATCAGTCCCTAATAGCGAGCCTTTGCAGCCTGGATCCGGTCGGTCGATGAGCCCGAGGAGGACGGAGATGAAGCTACGGCAACCGATCGCTTACTCCCTTCCCAACCAAATGACGCATTTGTCGCTCAGCACAACCACTCGCCCTATTCATCGTCGAAGCCGCAACCTAATCACACGACCACTAACGGCCTGTTTGAGGATGAGTCTCCACCCGTCAACCATGAATCGCGCTGGGTGACATTCTCACGAACCATCCAATACCCCCGAGAGCCTGGTAGAGAGGAACAGCATGTCACGTCAGAATGGCTGAATGAGAATCACGGTGATTACTTGCAACCATGGCGAGGAAAGCACCTGGAGGGCGATAGTCCGGAGTATCCGCTACACAGCGGAGGCCGAAGGGAAATATGGATCACGCGTTTCAGGAAGACCCTTCTGCGAAGCCCGATCGTGCCGCTGATTCTTCGAATGACCGTTTGGTGCTTCTCACTCTCTGCACTAGCTCTGGGTGGGTCGATTCAGCACATGGCTAATCAAGGGCATCACCCTCAAGGCCCATCTGCATTGATGGCGATCATCGTCGATGCAGTCGCCCTGGTTTACCTCTTATATATCACCTTTGATGAATACACATCAAAGCCCTTGGGTTTGCGCTCTCCCTCGGCTAAAGCACGTCTCCTCCTCCTGGATATCTTCTTCATTGTCTTCGATTCCGCAAATCTTAGTTTGGCATTTGCTTCACTCTCCGAGGTAACAGGATCCTGCACCGAAGCGGAGGTCAATCAAGCCATCGATCCTCGAAATGATGGTATATGTACGCGACAAAAGGCACTTGCTTCCGTATTGCTGGTTGCACTCTTGGCTTGGCTCATGACATTTTCCATTAGTGTCCTCAGGTAAGGCTCCTTGTCTATAATTGGCATACTCGCTCCATTTTCTAACACTCTTACTAGGCTTGTCGAAAGAGTAACACAGTGATTTCCCGGTCTGGTTGTGTTTCATGAATCTTTTGGCTGTTGATTAAATATACTATTTAAGCGAGACTTGATTTTGCGCATGCGCAACTTTTAGCTAGACGTGCAAAGCAGGACCATCAACGCCATACAACGGATCTTGACGGAACCAAGCCACATCCTTGATTCTCTGCGCCTTTGCTTTCTCTTCTGGCTTCCCATAACACATATCCCAGTGTTTGCCATGTGGATATGCGCCGACCATTTGGAACTCCTCCTGGTTCCCTTGCAGGTCCTCTAGGAGTCGATGACCCACCCCCCGCAGGCACAATGATCAAATCACCACGCTGGACCGTCGGCTCAAATCGCTCGGGGTTCTCCTCACCTCCAAAGCAAAGACGCGCGCTCCCTGAAACGATCCCCAGCACCTCATGCGTTGTGGAGTGGAAGTGGGTTTGGCTGTACATGCTATATACCCATTGAGGAACAACCTCGCCTACTGCTTTCAGGTGCTCCTCGAGCTCCGTAGATGTGGCATTGAAGGCTCCATGGTATATCATCAACGGCTTGGATTGGATCGAAGTGTTCGGTATATGGTACCACTCGGGAATCTGTCGAGTGGTCACTTGAGTGTTTGATAGTGGAGTTATGGTCATAGCGATTCTCTATTTTGTTTTGCTTTGCTTTTTGGCTGAAGAAAGGGAGTTTGCATTGAATTGGATCTGGGATCTACTTCAGGTGACGTCATATATAGTGGGGCCGTCAATATAAACTTGAACTATGAAGGAATGAACTAGTTACCTAGGTAGTTAACTGTGTATATACTATGTACTTTATAGATTCTACACCTTTAACACTGTTGGATATTGACTTTGATCTATGACGATTATGGCAAGGTCAAAATTAAGTTTAGTACCGCTCGTTTCTAGCTATTACTACCAGTATTAAGAATCAAGAGAAGATGTTCATTGATTTCTCAGTCAGGTAAGCTCCTAGACTAGAGAGTGGACACTCATTCATATTAGCATCTTCTAGTCATATATAAGGGTGCCCTTTGTACAGAAGGTAAGGGTTTCCTCTCACTTAGTTCCTTCCAGGGCAAACAACAAGTCACTTTTTATATGCTGGTTATGGTGGGCAGCAGTAGAAGGATAGGATGGGTTCCTGTAAAGAACCCAAAAAAGGGAATAAGGGCAGAGGAGTGTTCCAGGAATCTACCTAGGTATCCATGAATGGATTAGGTAGGGAGCTTAAACCAGTGTCCAAGGTAACTAACTGTATTAGTACTGGTTAGAAACGTATATATAGATCAAGTGTCACTAGAAACCTATGTTGCGATACAAGGATAGAGACAGGTTTATAGAGGAACAGCTCAAAAGTATATATCTCATCATGTTAGAAAAATACTAATGATCTACAAGAATAGTCCGCTCATGCAGCTTTGTCATGTCTTTGGTGGTCTTCTTAAATATTCTTTTTATCTGTCTTTTTAAGAGTATACAAAGATGGTAAAAAAAATCTTAAGTACAGGAGCATAAGCATTTTGTCTATAAATAACCATTGATATAACCCGGTTGGATGTCGCTTTGATCGAAGCATCAAAGCCGATGATGTAGATTTGGCGGGAAAGCTCCGCCACCTCACCGCCTGCGGCAACAATGCCATCCCCACGCTCTGGTCCATCTCAGCCTCATCACTTCCCTCTTCTGCCTAATCTCTTTTCCAAATTCTTGATCTAGAAGTTCCCGAGGAGGGTTGCATTCTCTCACTCGTTTTATTCGACTGTCCGAACCCCGCTCTTGCCGACCCCTCCCCCTCCCAAGCGTCTACCCTCATCTGATCACCCGAAGATCTTTGAGGCGTGACGTGTGGCGCTACAATTGTCTTGAGGTAATATCCATGATCTGTAACTTACTCATTACTGTCGAGAGTTAAGAGCGCGTTACTGACCACTGGACCAGGTCCCTCGGTCTCGACTACTCACCTTCTTCCGCATCCCACCTGACTCCCCTGCAACCGCAATGTCTCTCGCGATGCCGCCGGTACCTCACAAGGATGACCTTGATTCAACGTGAGCAGACAATGATTGGCGATCTGCTTTAACACGGTGGACATGAGCTAACTGTGGGTTAGTTGGTCATTCCTCGAAACAGGAATCGAGAGCGTCATGCTCAACCTTGATTCCGGTATCGATATGAAGACTGTAAGTGAAATGCTGTTTCACTCACTATTGACCGGTGAGGGTGTTTGAAAACACAGGCTGACTGACTGTTTTTGTCTAGTACATGGGTTTATACACGTGTGTTCAAGATTCGATCCTACCTCTTGCCTGACGAGAACCGCGCTCACAATTTGATATTAGGGCTGTCCACAATTTTTGCACATCCCAAAAAGCCGTCGCTAGCGGTCAAGGCTTACAAGGACAACGTGGTGGTTGGTCTTCTTCCCTCCATGCCGCTCCCTCGGCTTCCCGATATGGGCTGACCTTGGACTATAGCTCATTTACTGGGTGAGGAACTTTACAAATTACTCGGCGAATACCTTACCTCCCATCTGAGTAAGGTTTACAAACAATCACAGAGCCACACCGAAGAAGGCTTGCTTGGCTTCTACATTCGCGAGTGGTACCGCTACACAACTGCCGCCAAATACGTGAACCACCTCTTTCGCTACCTGAATCGTCACTGGGTTAAGCGTGAGATCGACGAGGGTAAGAAAAACGTCTACGATGTTTACACCCTGCACTTGGTCAAATGGAAAGGGGACTTCTTCGAAAAAGTCCATGACAAGGTCATGGACGCTGTTCTGAATCTGATCGAAAAGCAACGAAATGGAGAAACCATTGAACAATCGCAGATTAAATCCATTGTGGACTCCTTCGTTTCGCTGGGTCTGGATGAGAATGATAGCTCCAAGTCAACACTAGATGTCTACCGGCATTACTTCCAGCAGCCGTTCATCCGTTCCACCAAAACATATTACGAAAATGAGTCACGGCAGTTTGTGGCCGAAAACAGCGTGGTGGAATATATGAAGAAGGCAGAAGCTCGTCTGGAGGAAGAGAAGCTCCGGGTCGGTTTGTATCTACACCCAGATGACACCAAGGGCTTGACCGAGACCTGTCTGTCTGTTCTCGTCACCGCCCACTCAACTTTGCTTCGCGACGAGTTCCAAATCCTGCTGGATAACGAACGCCAGGAGGATCTTGCCCGTATGTATCGACTCCTATCACGGATCAGGGAGGGTTTGGATCCTCTGCGCACAACCTTCGAGAACCACGTGAGACGGGCTGGTCTGGCTGCTGTCGAGAAGGTTGCTCCAGAGGGAGAAACACTCGAGCCCAAGTTGTACGTTGATGCCCTACTGCAGGTTCACACACGGTACCAGAGCTTGGTCGATGAGGCCTTCAATGGCGAGGCTGAGTTCGTGCGTTCTCTTGATAACGCCTGCCGAGAGTTCGTCAACCGAAACCGTATCTGCAAGACGAGCTCTTCCAAGTCTCCCGAGCTACTGGCGAAATACACAGACTCACTGCTCAAGAAGGGATCCAAGTCGGCTGAAGAGTCGGAGCTTGAGGAGATGCTAGTGCAGATTATGACAGTCTTCAAGTACATTGAAGACAAAGACGTCTTCCAGAAGTTCTATTCCAAGAACCTGGCGAAACGGCTGGTCCATGTGAGCTCTGTTTCCGATGATGCTGAAACAAGCATGATCAGCAAGCTGAAGGAGGCATGTGGTTTTGAATATACCAACAAGCTGCAACGCATGTTCCAGGACATGCAGATCTCCAAGGATCTTAATAACAACTACAAGGTCTGGCAGGACAAAGTGCTAGAGGATGATGATCGAAAGAAAATGGCCGATGCCCACTTCCAGATTTTGGGAACTGGCTTCTGGCCCCTCAATGCCCCGACCACACCATTCCTCGCGCCACCGGAGATAGTGAAGACTGCCGAACGGTTCCAGACATTCTACTTTGACAAGCATAGCGGCCGCAAGTTGACATGGCTGTGGCAGCTATGCAAGGGTGAAATCAAGGCTAACTATATCAAAAACACCAAAGTACCCTACACTTTCCAGGTGTCGACCTACCAGATGGGCATTCTGCTTCTTTTCAACGAAGCCGACACTCTGTCCTACGACGAGATCGAAAAGGCCACCACACTGTCTACCGAAATTCTCGACCCCAACCTCAGCATCCTGCTGAAGGCCAAGGTCCTCATCGCCAACCCTGAGGGCGCTAAACCAGAGCCCTCCACATCGTTCACATTGAACTACAACTTCAAAAGCAAGAAGGTCAAAGTCAACCTCAACATTCAGATCAAATCTGAGCAAAAGGTTGAGGCCGACGACACCCACAAAACCATAGAAGAGGACAGGAAGCTTCTTCTTCAGGTATGTATCCTAGCTAATCACCAATCCTCACACAGTCCATTTGTCCTAACCTTGTTGTAGTCCGCCATTGTTCGAATCATGAAGTCGCGCAAGAAGATGAAGCACGTCCAGCTTGTTCAGGAGGTTATTCAGCAGGTCAAGTCCCGCTTCCCACCTAAAATCCCCGACATCAAGAAGAACATTGAAGCCCTCATGGAGAAGGACTACATTGAGCGCATGGACGGCGATGAAATCTCATACATTGCTTAACTCGAACCAAACCCTTTTCCCTTTTCCAAATATTACACAACCAACTTGCTTCTATTCCCTTTTTTCTGTTGCTCTCTGCTTTTGCTACTGTCTCTTTCCGACACCAGTGGCTGGCTTCCTGCGTCCATCTCTTGTCCTTCTATTCCATTCACTATGGAAAGCCAGGGCGAGGGGGAGTGGGGCCCCTGCTGGTCCAGGATAGGACTCCTACAAATGGATAACTGGCGGATGGAATCAGGCTGATAGGAGCAAAATTTCTTTTTCATTGTGTCGGCGACTTCTTTTATGCTTCTTCATAGCGCTGAGACGACAAACAAATGATGACCTGGTTATTTTCTTTTCTTTTCCTTTATCTAGAAATACTAAAATAATAAATTGATGGTCATGGTCTACGTAGCTACCCATCTGGACTTTGAATGTTTGAAGACCTAGCCTCATATAAACACCATGACCACACATAATAAAAAGTTGAGGATTAAAGTGATGTGTTAACCCAAATATCTTTGCTTGGATATTATCCTGGCCCTGACGAAACAAGACGACAGCCACAAGACAGCCTGATGTATTCTAATGACAAGAATGGACACTAAAACAACGCTGATCAAGATCGAATACATTAGAAACTATTTCACTTTAGTATTTCATTCAGTGGACGGATATGCGTAGCACTATCCAGACCCAATGTATATTTATGTATAATCAACACGTGGACCGTGTTAGAATGTAAATGCTATGCAAAGCTAGAGACAACAAGAACAGACGACAGAAGGTCCATAAAGTACTGAATCATCCTAAATGCGAAAATGCAAATCAACCCCAGCCTCCCAAACCCAGTGCGCTAATTCGTACCAGACGAGTCTTTGCTCTGGACTGGATGCGCCTCCTCTTTGACAGGGAGTGGAGTAACCAAGTCCTCAGGCTGTGTATCTACCTTCACCCCACTCGAGGGTGTGGGTTCCTTCTGGGTCTGGGAAACAGTCTCCTCAGTCCCCAAACTCAATCCTAGGCCTTCATTCGGTGTGAGAGTCACAGGAGAGAACCCATCTGCATCAACGGTATCCTGTCTAGTAGTCTTTCCATCCGGGAGGATGTCCTGGGTCTGCTTTTGCTCTGTATCATCCGCATAAGCCGGGAATCCCTGCGATAGAGGAGATTTCGGGAAGGGAGTTTCGATAGAGTCGGACGTGGAAACATCATCGCGACGCTGGAACTCGCCGCTGTCGCGTCTGAGCAGGATATTACTCCATCTCTTTCTTCGGCTGGTGCTGCGACTAAGACCATCCTCGGGGTTATCGTTGCCTTCACTATTGTGCTGGATGGAACCGCGACGGCCGCGGTCCAAATCGGCTGTTTCGGTAACGACGGACAAGGCCGGGGTGGATGATGAAGTCAATTCGGCATTGGGAGTGGGATTCGAGTTCGGGGATGTGACGCGCTTTTCTTGCCACTCGCGGCGCTTTTCGCTCGCCCATGAGCCCCACGAGCTGAAATAGGAGCCTGCTTTTTGGCTGGCTACGGTCACGGAGGCTTGGGCCTGTGTCATGTCCACAGATGCCCTTTGGCGGCCTGCGAACCAGGAGGCATCGGCAGGATCTTGTGAGGAGGGGGTTGGCGAGGTTGGGGTTTCTTTGTCGATGGAGGTGCGTTGCGATTGGGAGGCGGTTTTCTCTTCATTACGTTTGCGTTGCGCTTCCCGCATTGTTTCAATGTCGGACCAGAAGCTTGTGAATGCGGCGCTCACTTTCTTTTGTCCGGTTGAGATATGGCGGTTCAGGGCCTCACGGCCTTCGCGGACACGCTCATCGAGGTGCAGGTCTGCTACCTGTTGTGCAAGTCGTCTTTGGACATCTTCCATTGTCAGCCCCCAGCGTTTGGGTGTCGAGGTTCGGTGATGGAAAATAGAAGCGCATCCGAAGTGAGTCGCGAAAACAGGGCGTAATTAGATGTGGTTTTCCACTGGGTCAGGAATTCCGTATTGAAGTCGACGGCAGGGTCTCCTTCAATGTTGAGGTTTTGCAGCTGGGTTCTGCTGCGATTCCCCGATTCTCCGACGTCGCATGGGTAGAGCTCCTCGTGGTACTTCATGGACGATAATAATGCCAACAAATATTCTTCGAACTGTAGTCGAATGAATTCTTCTGAGCCCATGAAGCCAAGGGTCTTGGGTTGTGAGGGATGTTCCTCGTCCCAAGTGTCATTGACAATTTGTGTGAGCAGGTCAATCCAGCGTCTATCGGCCGCAGAAAGGACTAAGGCACTGCGGAGAGAAGGAGAATTTATGACGATACTGTCTTCGTCAAGGTTAATTAGAATATCACTGTAACGGTCCTTTTGCTGGAGAAGTAGCGAGTTTGTTGAGCCAACCACATATGATTTTGTGCCATCATCCGCCAGCAGATCCAGCAACTGAAGAGGTGTGTAGGGGCCAAACATGCTGCCTTTTCCGAAGATCTGCAGTGGAAGCCCCATGTATGCTAACAAGGAGCTTCTGTCACTCGTCTTGAGAGACGTTGGCTTCTCAACAGTCTGAGAATAGGTATCAAAGGCAGGATCCGCGCAATCTTGCAAGCTGTGGATGAGGCCGGGTATTAAAGATATAAGTGAGAACTGAATCATGCACAAGCGTTCACAGCGCGTCCCGAAGAAAAGCATCTTGGGTTGCAACAGTAGTGCCTTAAAAAGAACCAAAGTCTGAAATTTGAATTCGTGAATCATCTCCCGAAGCGAAAGGCCTTCATAAATTAGCATATTTCACACATATCGGAACAGATGATATCCTTACCCAAGTTCTGATCTTTTGGGCCATCATTCAGCAGGGCAATTACCAAGCCCTCGCGGAATTTCTGCATCCATGTCAGCATTTCCTTCCATACACCATCACAGCTAATTACATACCTTCAAGATATCGACATCCGAGAAGTCGCTATTAAGAAGAGTACTCAATTAGCCACATTTATTCATTCAAAGTCGGGTTCTATCCCGATCCTATGCCAGCGCATTGGGAAAGAAAATAGTCCAGGGAAAGTATATTCAATTTTCCACCTACCGTTGCGCGAACCAAGCCGAAGTTACCACGGAAAGCTTCTGACGTAGTTGACCAACTCGCTGCGGACTATCCGTCACGACCACAACGGCCTTTTGTACCGTTGAGCGAGTCACATCGGCCGAGCGGTTGATAAGCAGACTCGAATCGATCTGGCGGGAGCAGGCGATGCCAAAGAGGGAGGTTTCGGGTATTGTCGATGCACCCTTTCGGCAGAGTGTGAAGTATGAGAATTCCTCGGTCGACCTGAATTCCAACAAGTTAGATGGTCCGGCGCAAATCGGCTCTCCTCGTCACGGGTTTACGCCAGAGACTAAGAAGGGGAGGGAACAAAATCTTCATCGGAGACAGGGGCATCATACAGATGTGCTCCATCAGATAGGGCCATGAATGGGAGGAGAGACCAGTCATTCTCGGTTGCTGGGTCAGTTCCTTCGTCGGCAAGGCAATGTTCGATCTCGGGGCCGCTACAGGGGTATGTCTCAGTCAGCCAGGTTCCACTATGGATCCATCTTCGTCTTGGTTTCAAAGATACAAGTCCGGGGGTTTTGAGAGTCTCAATGCTCACCGTGCATGGTGGAAATCTATAACCAAAACAATTGGGTCTTGTTTATGCTGGACAGCCATGGCGCCGAACCTTGCGACGGGAGATTCGGTTCGGCTGTGAGAAATGCAATTAAAATGCTGGGAATGAATGGCTGGAATGAATGGTTTGCAATATGTCGAAAAGAGGTGCTTCTCCTCCAAAACCTCGAGGTGGGTTTCCCATGAAACTAAGATCGTCGCAAACAGGGGAACATCGCTGATACGGTTATCACACGGGGAGCGGGCGGTGAATGGTAGCCCCGCCAATATCGGAGGGCATCAACATCACGGGTATACCTCTAGGGTCTAACTAAAGAAAAGTGATATAGGTATTGGAGAAATAATTTAGATCGCGTAGATATTTCAAAGGATTAAAGGTTATGAGGTGCTCCATCTCTGAACTAAATCAGATCCCCTGTATGATTTCTCCTAATCACCAACCAATTCTTAACGACGCCGGAAGAGCTATGGACAATGACTTCCACCAAGACAAAAAGAAGAACAAAGTAGGAAATAAAAAAATAAAATAAAAAAGACAAGAGAACACGCTAGCCTCGTAGCACCTTGAACGGAAATAGGGCCAGACTTCAAATTTGGAGACCGGAATTCAATGGCAGAAGAGCGTTTCTAAGGGAAATTTCGCGTGAAACCATTATGCGAATGCCTGTCCAGTAGTGTTGCCCTGCACTGCTCCCTGTACCAAGGCTTGACCAGCCTCATTGCCTTGTTCAATGTTGTGGAAGTCGAGAATTTCCGAGTACCTGTAGTGGTGGAAAATTAGTAAAAAGGAATCGTGGTGGAGTAACAAATCAAGCACGTACATCATGATCTTCCAAGTATCTACAGGCAGATCGGCATCATTGAACGACCAATCAAACTTATCTTGCGCGACAGGCTCATCGGTCGGGTCATGGTAAGGTGCGAGGTACTCATGTGCCAATGCTTCGGGAGCTTGAATGCGCTGCTTCGGGTTGAAAACGAGCATGCGCTCGAGCAGGTCAACCGCTAAAATAGGAGGGACAAGTTAGTGTCGTGCTCATAATCCTCATAGTCGGCTCAAATATCACATACCATCGGCATCGGCATTCTTGAATTTATTCGCGAGGGGTTGGCGCTCGCGCTTTGGTAGGGACTTGACAAATCGGAGGGTCTGAATCATCATCTATTAGCATGTTTTCGTCTTTCACCACGCAAAGAAATAACCACTCACATTCTCGCTACAGATGGTCTGGATCACATCATCGGGAGGAGTACCAAGCAACTCCGTAATGATCGAAAACTGGTTCACATGGTCCTTTCCAGGGAACAGCGGCTTTCCTTCCAACATCTCGGCAAAGATGCAGCCCGCGCTCCAGATGTCTACCTCGACATCGTACTTTTGCCAGGTGAGCATGATCTCGGGCGCGCGATAGTATCGTGTTGAGACATAGCCAGTCATTTGAGGGTCCTGGATACGGGCAAGACCAAAGTCGCAGATTTTCAGATCACAGTTCTCGTTAATCAGGATGTTGCTGGGTTTCAGATCCCGGTGAACCACACCGGCGGAGTGAACATATTTCAACCCACGCTATCAAAAAGTCAGATTCTTGCATCCCAGATATTATTCCCATAGAAATCTTACCAGAATTTGATATAAAAAGTACTGAATGAATTGTTTTTCAAGGGGTCGCGAAGTAAGAAGTCGATGGAGGTCAGTTCCCAAAAGTTCGGTGACAAAGTAGCTGTGGTCATTAGTTCACACCGTTCAACCCCACTTTGCAGATGAGGGGAACATACATGTCTTCCAAAGGCGAAATGAAAATGTCACTCAAGCTGATAATCTGCAGAGTGTCAGCATATAAGCCTGGTTTATTTCTTCTTTGACGGAGTACGGACGTTCTCGTGGCGGAGATGTTTGAGCAACTTTAGCTCCCGGTAGGTTCGCTTGGATAGAACGGGGGTACTGAAGGGCTTCATGATTTTTTTAACTGCGACTGGCTGTGCAGTCAATTGGTCTTTGGCAGAACTGTTATATTAAATGGCCTTGTTAGCATGTACTTCGAGGGCTTGGGAGTTGTCTTGTGCAACACAGGATACAACATACCAGACCAGTCCGAAGGCACCCATTCCCACTGGCTGCAGTTCCGTATACCTAAAAATCAAGTTAGCACTAATATTCCCCTGGATGCGCCTGCTGAAGCGCCCATAGTAAATATAGCAGAACAAGGCATTGCGAACCGGCTGGTGATCTCAAAAGTGGTGCCGAAAATCTGGGCACGCACGAATTCCGCCATGATGGAAGGTGGGGGGGTTTTGGGTTATGCAAGCAGATAAACAGAGAAAGAGAGAAAATTCCAAGAATTTTAAGTCAAAGAAGACTAAAGCGAGAGAAGATGAAGGCTTTGAAAAGAAAACCAGAAGAAAGGGGTCGCAAAGAGAGCAAGTGTGTTGGCAACAGGTGTGGGGAAGGGACTGGGTGAAAAGCGCAGAAAACAAGGCCGATGACGTTGGCGAAGCCCGGTTTGGTGATGACTCAGCAGGGTCCAGGTTGGAGCCTGTATATAATTAAAATATTTTCTTATTGTTATTTCATTTTCATGATACATTGAATTACTACATACATAGTATATACTATTGCAACTCTTGTACATTATATGTATACAATCATATACAATAACATCCTTCCAATGTCCATTGTGAACTTCCAAGGTTGAAATGTTGCCCTTGCTCCACAACCACGCGGCCCAGACCCCGGTCTTTATCTTGGAAGATGTTTCCCTTGCAACATTATTGCTCTATAATATTGTTGATATAAACTATAGAACTTACATGGAGGTCAATTCGATAAGTTTGATCTACTATTTATATTAATTTTTCTTAAATCTGCACTTAACTTGCCCGAGAACAAGTATACGAGAACAAGTATAACTAGTATACGGAGAGTTCTTGGGCCTCTATTTAGAACCTTGGCAGGTCAGAGTATAACCCCTCACCCTTCAAATTAAAGCAGATAGTTATAATAACTAAACAGTAACTAACTAACTAGAGTTTAGTTAACTATCAACTTCTACATATGTGTAAGCTCTACCATAGCTTCCTCTTTTTGATACTCTTATAGGTCCGGTAGACTGTCCCGGGTAACATTGCCATACAAGAGGGACCGCTGCCAACCGCTCCCATGTCTAGAACAAGGTCGCACGCCTCCAACATATATCGAATACACAATAGAGTGCGCCTTCTAAACTAAGCCAGCTCTGATCTTCTACGACGTGGTCTTGTTGGTTTGCAACGCTATCTCACATCTTACATCTTACACCGTACATCGTACATCGTACATCTTACATACTATAACTATCAACGGACCTGGAATCTGCACCCTACTAGAATGACCATGTACAATGCAACCCCCAAAGGAAATTAACCAGAGACCTTAACTCAGATATCAGTTTCAAGGGGCTGCTCGGGTTCTGTCACCGTCTGATGCGGATGCGGATTTGGCGGCTGAGACATGTGAAACAATGCCTACCACGCTACTGCGGAAATGCAACTGCGGACACGCAACAAAGACATGCAACAAAGACCTCTGAATGATGTGTGTGACTGGATAGGGGTGCAGCTCATTTTAAACTCTAAGGGTACCTTTGAGCGTTTCATATTCCTTGGGACATATCTGATAAGAAAGTGCACGTTCGTATCTATAGTCAACCCTTCGGGAAATATATATGTAGTCATTCTTCGAGGTGCCTGATAATTACCTCTACTTCACACCCCTGCTTGAGTGTTAATAATATCAAGATCAACAAGCCCCCAAGTCTTGGTTTTTGCCCGTAACGCCCCATTAAATCTGCCTACAGGGCTGAATTGACTTCTTGAGGGGAGAGGTCAGTGCCCAACTTCCAAGGTTCATCGCAGATCCGAATAAGTCAATGGTGGAGGGTTGAAAGCAACATGCACTTTATATAGAGTTGAATTCATCGCATATCTAAGTATATATAATAATGGAGAGCATGTAACTAGCTGGAGTACGGAGTACGGAGTACTTTATACATAACTAGATGTCAGATACACACCGAAGACCTGAGACCGCAACACAGCCCCGCCTGTCTGCCTAAGGCAACGCCCCAAATTTTGCGTCACTCTCCACTTTAAAGCTCCAGAGTGGGTTGGAAGAGTATGAAACGGAGTACGGAGTACAGAACTCCTGATCAGAGAGATTTGGAGTGAAGATTCGTAGTAAATTTATATGTATATATAAAATCAAAAAAGAACAATTTGATATCTAATTAATATGTAGGAAGAATGCATGATCGCACAGACAAGTCATCTGGTGGCGCCCCATTAAATTAGAATCCCCGTTCTCTTTATAAGGAGTATTAGTATTACAATTGTGATTGTGATTATTGCCTGGGCTAAAAAAGAGAATTTCATACTAGATCATACTGATCATACCTTACAGGTGGGATCTGACAGGAGAACGTGCCCAATTTCCCCCGGGTTTTTCCTTGGTTATATACGGAATAACGTTAGATGATATATATACATATCTACATATGTATAGGTAGACGAAAGAAGTAAATGCATATAACAATAAGCTCAAATATACAACCTTGGAAATAAAATATATCAATAACCTATAACTACAACAGAAAAGAAAAGGAAAGAGAAAAAAGAAAAAAGAAAAAAAAAAAAAAAAAAGGAAGAAAACGGGTGAATTACATTAATTACCAGACTGTGCGAATGTAAGCTGAACCGTACGTGTTTTTTTTTTATTACATTTCTTACCACCTCTTTCTTCCCCCAAGTCATCTCCACTCCCCCAGCATGACGATGGTCGCACTGACACTCTCTGATTCTTTAAACTCTTGACACCTTTATTACCCTTCCTACCCTTACTACCTTGACTACTCTTACTTGACTCTTACCTTTTTATTACTCTGGAACTCTCAACATCTTATCCCCCCCATCTTATCCCTGATTCTCCACGTTTATCCTTCGGCCCCCCCGTCCTAACCGCTATACCCGAACGACTCTCCTTCCAAACTCGCTTGTCGCAATTCCTTCAACCTCAACCTTTCACCTTGACATTATTCTCAACCTACCTTCCACTGGAGTTGATTCCGATCTTACGTGTCGCCTTTTCTATCCCCGGTCGCGCTGATCCTTTCCCGTGTGTGGCGCTTGGCAGTCTTAGCAAACGAAGGCTCCGGCCGTTTTCGCCGGCACATTTTGTTCCTGCGCGTGGTTGATGAGTCTCCTCCCTGCTGGTCTGGGTCACTGAGGATTCCATAATGGGGTCGTGTTTCAGCTCAGAGTCCGCGGGGGACGCGGAACAGAAGAAGCGAAGCCAACAGATCGATCGCAAGCTAGAAGAGGATTCTAGGCGGCTACGAAGGGAGTGCAAGATCCTTCTCTTGGGTAGGTATCCTGATATTCACTTGGAGGAGAGCGGATGGTTGGCTGACTTTCAAACGCAGGATCTGGAGAAAGCGGTAAATCAACCATCGTAAAACAGATGAAGATCATCCACCAAAATGGGTACACCGTGGAAGAACTTGCGCTGTATCGATTGACCGTCTACAAGAATCTCTT